CCAGCCAATTAGAAGCGACTTGGAGTATTCTCCGCCTTTCATCTGTGTTAAAAAGATGGATGAGCAGCTGATGGCAGTCAGCCCAGATGGGGTTATGAGCCTGAATAACGGTTTGCAGTAGATCAATGAGAGCTTGGGGTTTCTCGGTATAAGACGGGTTGTTATTTTTCCAATTGATAAGATCGGCCGAGGTGAACAGCAGGTATGTGAAAACACGCCTTTCTACCTTGTGGCCATCCTTGTCCACTCCCGTGTACCGCTGCTCTCTCAAAGGCATCTGCACCGCAGCCTTGGGTCACAGACAAGCTGCCAGAGGGGGAGTTCCCTCTGGGAAGCCGGCAGCAATGGGCACAGTTTTTTACATTTTCTTTTGTCTGCACTGGAGGATTTAGGAGTGTGCAGCTCTGGTGGGGATGCTGAGGCTTGTGGCCCTGGGGCAGGGAGTCCTTGAGAAGGAGCAGGAGGCATTATCGACAAAAAGTCTTCTGCCACTGGGTGGACCAAAACCTTGGGAGTCATTGTTTCTGGCACTGAATTCGCCCGGGCCTTGGGAGTCCGCTTTTCTTGGCGGTGAGGGGGATGGTGGTTTCCAGCGGTCTGTCCCTTGGCTACTAAAACAGTCGCTGCCTGCTCTCTTAGCCACTTAGGAGGGTGTAACACTAACTGCACCCATGAGTCTATGTATGGAAACTGATCGAGGTGTTCTAGCTTGCCATATACAACCTCATGCCTTACTCTGGAGACAAGGGGCCTGTCTAGGGTCCCCTCTGGGGGCAAACCTACCCTAAATGCTGGCCAGTCTTCCCTACATAAAGCCTTGATTTCTCTGGGGTCATAGTTACTCTATAATTCCCACCAAATCCCTTCTTGAAAGTTTTCAGCATGGTTTCTAAAGGGGTGGGATGGCTATGGGAGTGACCCGTATTAACACTTCAGAGAAACAGTTCCCACAGTTAGGAGCCTGTCACTTCACTCACAGCAGAAGCACCGACTTACATTCACTTCAGTTCTTTCACAATGCCCACAGGCTTCTTCACTCAGCCTTCTGTGGACTTGGAGTATTCTGTGGACTCCAATTCTTACAAATTGCTCGACGCATGAGGCCCTTCCTAACGGGCCGATACCTCTCACGACTGATGAGTCCAGTCGGACACATCTACACACAGACACACATCTGATCGCTCTCCTTGCAATTCAAAACCATAGGCAAAAGCTTCCAAGGTTGGCTACAGAGAGAGCTACCTTCAAAAGTGCCGATCTGGGCACCCGTGGGTGATCAGGCCACGCTTCCACCCAAAATGGGGTGGGCTGCTTTCCCGGGTTCAATCTTACCAAATTCAAATAATCGTTCCTCCTCAGTGTTCAGCCACCGGGTTGATCCTCAGTGCAGGGCCTCCCTGCTCCACTCTGGCGAGGCTTTTCCACCGGGCAAATACCTGCCCGGGAGCGCTCTGAGGATGCGCCACCCCAGCGAGCAGGAGTCCCCTGAAGGGATGCCCCACAGAGCTCGGGAAACCACCTAAGAGACTTTTCCCCACCGTCTGCTATCTGAGACTCACTTCCCAGCCAATGCACCAAAATGTAGCAGGAGCGGCCGCAGGAAACGGATCTCTGGGACACCGAATACAGGAGGGAGGAGGGTTTATTGGGCCAGGAGCCAGGTGGCATAGGTGCCTAAGAGCCAAGCTCCCCTAACAAAGGAAGGCTCCGTCTTTATATAGACTTATACTTTAGATGTTACACGTGAAAGAATCTTAGGTTTATAGCTTAACATATGAAAAGGGTCTCGGTTTACAGTCTCAGGAATTACATGTGAAAAGGGTCTCAGTTTACAGTCTCAGGAATTACATGTGAAAAGGGCTTTGGTTTACAATCTTAGGAATGAAAAGGGGAAGTTTACAGTCTCAGGAATGAAAAGGAGAAGCTGGTCTGAGATGCCTGGGTCTCCCTCTTCAGTATAAATATCACAACTAATGAGCCACCGCTTCATTGAGAGTTCCTCGGCTCTTACCTACTGTCCTCTGTTCCAGGACCCATATAACAAGTAGTTTTCATGCTTCCTTAGGCCTTTTTTTTTCTTTTGAGATGGAGTCTCTCTGTCACGCAGGCTGGAGTGTAGTGGGAGGTGAACCCTTCACCTCCTATCCTGCCTCAGCCTCTTGAGTAGCTGGGATTACAGGCAGGCACCACCATACCCGGCTAATTTTTGTGTTTTTAGTAGAGATGGGGTTCCACCGTGTTAGTCAGGCTGGTCTGGAACTCCTCACCACGTGATCCGCCAACCTCGGCCTCCCAAAGTGCTGTGATTACACTTGTGAACGACCACACCCAGCCCTTAGGCACATTATGGCTATGACAGTTTCTCAGACTCCTGATGATCGTGGCCTCCTGGTTGGGTATTTCGTAGAAGGTCCCTCAGTTGAGATTAAGTCTAATGTTTTTCTCATGATTACACTGGAGTTATTTATTTATTTATTTATTTTTGAGACCGAGTCTCGCTCTGTCATCCAGGCTGGAGTGCAGTGGAGCAGTCTCTGCTCACTGCAGCCTCCATGTCCCAGGTTCAGGCAATTCTCCTGCCTCATCCTCCTGAGTAGCTGGTACTACAGGTGCCCACCACCATGCCTGGCTAACTTTTGTATTTTTAGTAGAGACAGGGTTTCACCATATTGGCCAGGCTGGTCTCAAACTCCTAACTTTGTGATCCGCCTACCTCTGTCGCCCAAAGTGCTGGGATTATAGGCATGAGCCACCGTGCCTGGAGTTGTATTCTTTTTTAAAAAATCAGTACAATATTCTGAATTTCTAAGGAAACAGATTCACTCTGAGGTTAAAGAATTTGAGGCCGGGCGCGGTGCCTCACACCTGTAATCCCAGCACTTTGGGAGGCCAAGGCGGGGGGATCACAAAGTCAAGAGATCAAGGCCATTCTGGCCAACATGGTGAAACCCCATCTCTACTAAAAATACAAAAATTAGCTGTGCATGGTGGTGCACACCCGTAGTCCCAGCTACCTGGGATCCCATCACTGCACTCAGCCTGGTGACAGAACGAGACTCCATCTCAAAAAAAAAGAACTTGAAGTAGGCCGGGCACGGTGGCTCACGCCTGTAATCCCGGCACTTTGGGAGGCTGAGGCAGGCGGATCACTTGAGGTCAGGAATTCAAGACCAGCCTGGCCAACATGGCAAAACCCCGTCTCTACTAAAAATACAAAACCTAGCCAGGCATGGTGGCAGTCACCTGTAATCCCAGCTACTTGGGAGGCTGAGGCTGTAGTGAGCCGAGATCGTGCCACCACACTCCAGCCTGGGTGATAGAGCAAGACCCTGTCTCAAAAATAAATAAACGCGTAACTTGAAGTAGAACCGGGAGTTGAGCCCAGCCTTTTGTCACTGAAGCAGGTATTCTGTATTTGCTTGCCACGTCCGGGGAGAAGTGAACTGGGCTTTGTGGGCTGGGGAAGGACTCGTACGGACAGAAGGCACGAACTACTACAGCAAGGTGCTAGAAGACAGCATGTTTCCTCCTGCGTCTCACTTCCCCATGCTGGGAAGTTCCAGAGCCCCATGCAGTGCTGGGCTTCCTGTCTCGGAGCCTACAGCTCCCAAATGTTTTCTCTGGCTCAGCCTGACTCCCCCGTACCTGCCAGTGTGAGTCTTGGCCTGGTTTGTGACAGGCTGGCCATGGCCCTTGAGTGACCACTGTGTCCTTCCAAAGCTTCCTTTTCCGCCGCTGTCGCCGGTGTGACCTGTGCTATTGGACTTTTTTGGTCGTTGAGACAGGGTCTTGCTCTGTTTCCTAGGATGGAGCACAGTGCAGTGCAATGGTGAGATCATGGCTCCTTCCCAGGCTCAAGCAGTACTCTCACCTCAGCCTGAGTAGCTAGGACTACAGCTGCAGGCCACCTTGCCTGGCTAATTTTCCTGTTTTTGTAGGGACGGGGTCTTCCTGTCTTGCCCAGGCTGATCTTGAACTCCTGGGCCCAAGCTATCCACCCATCTTTGTCTTCCAAAGTGCTAGGATTCCAGGTGTGAGCCATGAGGTGGTGATCCCTGGCCCCCAGCTGAGCAGCTCTTTCAGATTCCAGCAGCTCTGGAACAGGGCTTCGTAATGGGAATGTTTCCTTCTCACTGTCTGATTTGATAGTCACTACCCCATGTAGCTACTGAGCGTTTGTTTTATATTTTGTGGAGACAGAGTCTCACTCTGTTGCCCAGGCTGGAGTGCAGTGGCACAATCACGGCTCACTGCAACCTTTGCCTCCTGGGTTCAAGGGATTCTCATGCCTCAGCCTTCCAAGTAGCTGGGAATACAGGCACGCGCCACCATGCCTTGGCTAATTTTTGTATTTTTAGTAGTGACGGGGTTTTACCATGTCAGCCAGGATAGTCTCAAACTCCTGACCGCAAGTGATCCACCCGCCTCAGCCTCCCAGAGCGTTGGGAATACAGGTGTGAGCCACTGCACTCAGCCCTGAGTGTCTAAAATGTACTTAGTATGACTGAGGACATGGTGTTTTACTTAATTTTGCTTATTTTGAACTGAAACAGCCGCATAGCTGGTAGCTGCTGTTGGGCATCACGGTTCTAGCTTGTGCTGGCGCATCATGGTCAGGGAGACCATCCTGGCCCCGTGGGCACTTCCCGCCTCCTGTCCTCTTTCCTGGCCTGGCGTTCTCCACGCCCGGGGTTGCGTTCTGGGTGGTCTGTCTCCTCCTGCTGTTCACGGTCTCCCTCCCTTTGTTAGAGAAGAAGGTGCACAGGACTTGGGTGTTTTATTCTTCAGTGCTTTTTCACTCAGAACAGGCAGGAACTAGCTTTGTCGGGGAGAGAGGTGGTGTCCTTGAGACGCCTTCCTGGGGCTGCGCCAAGAGCCTTGTCTTCTCTCCAGGCTCTTCCCAAGTAGTCTGACAATTTGGAAATAACATCTTGTCAGAAAAACTCAAAAGTGATTTGGGAACAGAGGTCGTAAGGACGAATCTTGTATTTCAACATTAGGCGAGAACCACTGTCTCTGATCAACCTGCGGAAGAGGAACGTGGAATCTGGGGAAGAGGAGCTGGCGTCTAAGCTGGACCACTACAAAGCGAAGGCCACACGGCACATCTTCCTCATTAGGCACTCCCAGTACCATGTGGATGGTTCCCAGGAGAAGGACCGCACTCTGACCCCGCTGGGTATGTGGAGGGAGTCAGATAATCTACAGCCCCCTTGGTTATGTAGTGGGGGGAATCAGATCCTCCAAAGATCACTCTTGGTTATGTGGGGGGGGTCAGATCCTCCACAGACCCCCTTGGTTATGTGGGGAGCGTCAGATCCTCCACGGACCCCCTTGGTTACGTGGGGGGGGTCAGATCCTCCATGGACCACCCCCTTGGTTGTGGGAGGGGTCAGATCCTCCACGGACCCCCTTGGTTATGTGGGGGGGGGTTCAGATCCTCCACGGACCCCCTTGGTTATGTGGGGGGGGGTCAGATCCTCCGTGGACCACCCCCTTGGCTGTGGGAGGGGTCAGATCCTCCACGTACCCCCTTGGTTATGTGGGGGGGCGGTTCAGATCCTCCACGGACCCCCTTGGTTATGTGGGAGGGGTCAGATCCTCCACAGACCCCCTTGGTTATGTGGGGGGGGGTCAATCCTCCACGGACCCCCTTGGTTATGTGGGGGGGGGTCAGATCCTCCATGGACCCCCCCGTTGGTTGTGGGAGGGGTCAGATCCTCCACGGACCCCCTTGGTTATGTGGGGTGGGGGGGTCAGATTCTCCACGGACCCCCTTGGTTATGTGGGGTGGGGGGGTCAGATCCTCCACGGACCCTCCCTTGGTTATGTGCGGGGGGTCAGATCCTCCATGAACCCCCTGGGTTATGTGACTGGGCACAGGTCTCCAGAGATCCCCTGGTCGGCCTTTTTGAAAGTGCTTGGGGCACGGGGCCTCCTGGAGCCTGTGTCCGAGACCATCACCCCTGAATCAAACGTTGTCATTACCAGTAACTGTCAGCTGCACTTGGACAGAAGACAAGCTTTTTAAAATGTGGGGTTCACGCCTGAAATCCCAGCATTTTGGGAGGCCGAGGCAGGCAGATCGCCTGAGGTCAGGAGTTTGAAACCAGCCTGGCCAACATGGTGAACTCTCATCTCTACTAAAGTACAAAAATTAGCCAGGTGTGATGGCGCATGCCTGTAGTCCCAGCTATTCGGGAGGCACAGGCAAGAGAATTGCTTGAACCTGGGAGGTGGAGGTTGCAGTGAGCCGAGTTCACGCCATTGCACTCCAGCAATGTCAGGCCAGGCGCGGTGGATCACAAGGTAAAGTGTTCGAGACCAGGCTGACCAACATGGTGAAACCCCGGCTCTACTGAAAATACAAAAAATTAGCTAGGCATGGTGGTACGTGCCTGTAATCCCAGCTACTCGAGAGGCAGGCAGGAGAATCGCTTGAAGCCAGGAGGGGGAGGTTGCAATGAGCCGAGATTATGCCATTGCACTCTGGCCTGGGCGACAGAGCGAGAGACTGTCTCAAAAAACAAATGTCCTTACCTTTTAGCAAATGTTAGATCTTGTCTGCATGAGACCAAATTGAGTGCATATCCCAGCAGGGGCTTTGTGCCCTCTGCTGCTCTCCTGGATCTGCTACCAAAGACCGTCCCTTCTGCACTCACGGGCCTGCTATTTGGCACCTGCCTCCTAACGCTGCCGAGCGGGCGACTCAGCGAAGGGATCCCGCCCGTCCCCACGGGCAGATGCTGGCAGACAGCGCCAGGAGGTCCTTCCGCCTTTGTCCTTGTGTCTGTGTGCCGGCGGAGCTGTAGGATAAATGCCTAGGAAAGGAAACGCACGCTGGGCTGAGGTGGAGTTTTCAAGTTCTGAATGGGGTAGTGTCCATCAGGCACATATTAAAAATTACAGCATTTATAGGCCTGTCCTCCAGCAGACGCCTCCCCCAGCCCCAAGAGCTGTCCCGGCTGCTTGTGGAAAATGGGAAGTGAAGGGGACGCAGGTGCGGCTGCACCGAGTGGACCCGGCCTTCCTGAGGACGTTTTCACCTGGGTGCCAAAGTTCACAAGAGAAAAGGCGTCAGCACTGGCGTTGGCCCCCACATACCAGCGCGGGTGCTCAGGTTCCGCTGTGCTGGCCTCTGAATGTTGCTTGGCTGGTGGGCCACCGAGGCTCAGGTTTTGGGCTGCCACCTGGTTTGCTCGCTGCTGCTACTGATGGAATCCGATGCATTTTTTTTTTTTTTTTTGAGACGGAGTTTTGCTCTTGTTACCCAGGCTGGAGTGGGTTCAGGCAATTCTCCCGCCTCAGCCTCCTGAGTAGCTGGGATTACAGGCACGCGCCACCATGCCCAGCTAATTTTTTGTATTTTTAGTAGAGACGGGGTTTCACCATGTTGACCAGGATGGTCTCCATCTCTAGACCTCGTGATCCACCCGCCTCGGCCTCCCAAAGTGCTGGGATTACAGGCGTGAGCCACCACGCCCGGCCTCTGCATTTTTTTTTCCTGTACGGTGGGTGAAGACAACTGGATGATCTTGCGATCTTGCTGCTTGTTCTGAGGGCCGGCCCCTCAGGCCCAAGCCCCAGGAGGGCAGGAGCCCTCCGATGCACTGGTCGCCCTGTCTGTGGAGCAGAGGAGGGTGTGCCTGTGTGCATCCCTCTCAGGCGTGTTTTGCCTCCAGGTCGGGAGCAGGCTGAACTCACTGGGCTCCGCCTCGCAAGTCTGGGGTTGAAGTTTAATAAAATCGTCCATTCCTCTATGACCCGAGCTGTAGAGACCACTGACATCATCAGCCGGCACCTGCCAGGTGAGCTGCAGCGCGGGGCCTGTGCCTGCAGTGGGCTCCTGGTCGCTGGGTGGTCACGGCAGCTCCTCCGGCAGGGCCTGGGCATGATGATGGCTGCATTCAGAGCCCCCATGCTTCTCCCCAGGCGTCTGCAAAGTCAGCACAGACCTGCTACGGGAAGGCGCCCCCATCGAGCCGGACCCACCTGTGTCTCACTGGAAGCCAGAAGCTGTGGTAAAAACCTCCCCAGCTCCCCTGGCTTTGCAGCTCTGCTGGGCTCAGCATCCACAGGCCCAGCTGTCCCATGCTTCCCGGGCAGTGATGGGCTTCGTCCTTCCGATCCCTGCCTTACCCTGTATTCCACACTGACGGTTCTCCACTCTGCCCCCAGCAGTATTACGAAGATGGAGCCCGGATCGAGGCCGCCTTCCGGAACTATATCCACCGGGCAGACGCCAGGCAGGAGGAGGACAGTTATGAGATCTTCATCTGTCACGCCAACGTCATCCGCTACATTGTGTGCAGGTGGGCAGCTGCCGGCTGGGCTGGGTGTGGCCTCAAGTGATTTCAGACCTCTAGGAAAGCCTGAGGAAGGATGGAAAAGCTGAGCGAGCCTCCCCTCCCCTGCCCCTCTGCTGCCTATGCCACCCTAGTGAGGCCCCTCCAGCCCACAGGCTTCCGCTCCCAGTGAGTCCAGGGCACTTACGCAGTAGGCCTGTTATTTGGAGTTTCTCATGAGTATGTGTTTTGGGCAGACGCGGAAGGTGCAGGTGTGCTTCTACCCTGTGGTGCCTCGGCTAGGGCCTAGGGCGTGCGCTGGGCATCCGCACGGCCCTGGTTGTTTACCTGGTTGTAATTGAGCATCTCGGGAGACCCCGTTTCCCCCCACACTCAGCCTCCTCTGCCTCCGGCTGGGGATCCTGTCTCGTTCACTTGCCCATCTGTAGGTGCTCCCACCTGTGTGCTGGTGTGATGGCACGGGACGGCCACTCCCTTTGGGTTGAGGCCCAGGGCTGAGGCTCGTTGCTGCTCAGGCTGCTCCCCCAGCCCCCCACTCTGGTACACCACGGAAGTGGTGATATGGGAGCAGGTCGCATGTCCCTTGCCACTGCTCCGCAATCAGCCACTTTAAGGAGCTCCTTATGCAGTCACATTAGAGGCCCCTCCGGGAACAGGGCCAGCTCTATGGTTACGTACTTGGAGCAGTCAGAGTGTTGACCAAACCTCACTAAATGCAAATTTGAAGTAAATGTGCCTCTCTCCAGATCCATCAGGAATATGTGTGTGGGCTTCACAGTGAGGGCCCCTCAGGTGTGGCGAGTCCTGCGGTGGGGGCGGGATGCCACTGGTCAGTGATGCCACCTGAGGCCCTGGTTTCTGCCCACCTGTCCCCTTGGCCTTTCACCAGGGGTGGGGCTGGCTGGCAGGAGCACCCAGGAACTCCAGGAGGTTGGGAGTTGGCTTGGAGCCTCCGGTTGATGTGGTCTCGGGCTGCTGTGCTAAGTGAGCATCTGTTTGCTGTGGGTCGTCCACTGCCTCGTGTACGTGTGAGAGTGTGAAGGAGCCACATGGGTGGTTTCTGTGCTGCTAACACCACCTTGTGTGTCCCATGACACTGTCACCCCACGGCCACCAGCACTGCAGAGCAGCAGGCCATAGTGTGAGGGTGGCTTCGCCGTCCACTGTGGCAGAGGGTGGTGGGCAGCTGGAGGCGGTGATGCCAGCATGGAGCGTTTCCGCAAATGCGGACTGTGCCTAAGACGTGTGTGAAGATACCTCGGGCTGCGGCTCACATTACTGTCCTTCGCTTTCCCAGGAAGGGACCTGCTGCACTAACTGGCTGCCCCCTGCTTTTTTTATATGGAAAAAGCAGAAATTAAATTGTTTATTTGTAAGAAAGTAGTTTTCTGATTTGTGCAAATCTTGAGTTGGGGTTGGGCCCTTGTCCTTAAGAGGGCAGGTCCCCAAGTGTGACCGCTCGATTAACGTGGATCCCATGCAGCTCTTTCCCGAGAAGCTAATGCGCACCCCAGCCCTGAGGCTGCCCTGAGACTTGTTACTGAGGGGCTCAGCCCCCGTGCATAGGACAGAGCCCCTGGTTCTAGCGTGCTTTCTCCCTCCTCAGAGCACTGCAGTTCCCCCCGGAAGGCTGGCTCCGGCTCTCCCTCAACAACGGCAGCATCACCCACCTAGTCATCCGACCCAACGGCCGAGTTGCACTCAGGACCCTCGGGGACACAGGGTTCATGCCCCCCGACAAAATCACCCGGTCCTGAGGGTGCCCGTCAGGCTGCGGCCTCTCCGTCCCTCTGCCCTCCCTGCACCGGCTGCACCGAGGTCACGTCTTGTTCCTGAGGAGGCCGGCAGGAAGTAGAAACCCACGATGCTGCACCTGGGGACTGACTTCTGGCCAGGCTGGAAAGGGGAGAGTTTGGGTCAGATGGCCTGACTTCTCTGCAAGGTTTTCCACCTGGCCGTGACCTGCCAGCATGGCATGGGGTTCAAGGTGAACGCCTCTCGTACAGAAGTCAGGCCTGGACCAGACCACCATGTTGGCAGCCACAGCCCACCCTTGCTGAGGGTCCATGCTCCGCTGGCAAAGCCGGACAGGCACAGGCAACCAAGGCACACGGATGAGGGCACTGGGGTTCTGTTCACAACTCACTGCACTTCATACATCCTCTTAATTTCTTAAAACCCTCCTGTCACTTAAATGTTTGTCAATTAAAGCTTTTCTGGCTGGGCACAGTGGTGCACACCTGTATTCCCAGCTGCTCGGGAGGCCAAGGTGGGAGGATCACTTGAGCCCAGGAGTTCAAAACCAGCCTGGACAAGGCAACAGCAAGACCCCACCTCTACTAACAGTACAAAAGTGAGCTGGGTGTGGTGGTGGGCCTCTGTAGTCCCAGTGACGGGAGGCTGAGGTGTCCAGGTCATGGGCCCGGGAGTTGGAGGCTGCAGTGAGCTGTGATTGTGTCACGGCACTCCGGCCTGGGCAACCAAGGGAGACAGGAAAAAGTTTCTCCAAATTTACAGATTCCTGGTGATGTTGGATCTGACCCCACCAATTTGATTAGGCATTTCAGGGCTGAAGGACTAGCCAGCTACACAAGTGACTCTGGACAGGGAAGAGTGGCCGGGTCTTTGGCCTTCATGCTGCTCTCAAAGTTGAGGTGACACGCTGGAGATAGCCCAGCAGGGGGTCTTCCTTATTCAGTAAAATATTCCAAATTGACAGCTCAGTCTTACCTTAAGGATTAAAATACTTAAACATGTATATCCCAGGTATTCTGTTAATTCAGGAAAAGCTGTACAATTTCTATAAAGTGGTTGTATTTTCTGTAGTCAATACAAGTGGGATATTTGATCTATTTCTCTGTCCACTTTGGAAATAATTACATAATAAAATTTTACTGTTTTTTTTTTTTTTTAAAGGACTAGTTTCGACTGTGTTAAAATGGGAAACTGGCTGGGTGCAGTGGCTCACTCCTATAATCCCAGCACTACAGGAGGCCAAGGCAGGCAGATCACCAGGTCAGGAGTTTGAGACCAGCCTAACCAACATGGTGAAACCCTGTCTCTACTAAAAATACAGAAACTAGCTGGGCATGGTGCTATCCCAGCTACTTAGGAGACCGAGGCAGGAGAATTGCTTGAACCCAAGAGGCGGAGGTTGCAGTGAAATCTTGCCATTGCACTCCAGCCTGGGTGACAGAGCGAGACTTCCATCTCAAAAAAACGGAAACATGCAGTGTGACAAAGGAACACTTTGCACAGAGTCCTGCCTCCCCTTGGCTGAACCTCTGCCTGCGTCGCACCAACTGCCTGCTCACAGGACTTCTGCCAGCGGCCTGGGCCCTCTGAATCCCTGACCGGTGGCTGTGGAGATGATAGCCGACAGCCACAGCAACCGTACACAGCTGTCTAGAAACAGTCTGGTAAGCCAGGGCCGCACCAACTCCAAAAACAAATACCAGGCACACTCACGTTGGACCTCAGATGGGAGCAAGGCTCATGCCTGCATGCAGGCCCCACACTGGGCCTGTAGGGATGGGGCCGCGCTGCAGGGCTGAGCCTTTGTTTTGCTTAGGGCCCCGGCTCCTCTGTAAAGGGGGAAAGCTTGCAGATAGGGGCTGGGCCAGCAGGTTTGCTGGGCAGCAAAGCTCATCACTATGTGGAAAAGACCACACGCAGCTGGCTGCCACCCCCCACCCACCCTGCGGCCACTGCCATCGCTCACGTCACAGGTGTGAAGATCTGGATGGACAACCTGGTCAAAGGGGGAGCAGGAGGGAGAACCTGAGCAGTTCTCAAATGGATTACAAGAAACCAGGGACCCAGAAGGAAAGAAAACCTGATTATGCTGCTTAAGTCAGATTTAAAGTCCAGGATGTGAAATGGGCTTTCAGATTTTGAAAAGTTAAGCTCATCAAGGATTAACCAATGTTTAATTATTTTTTAAGAGCACATAGCAATGACGACCTGTATTTTTCTTTTTCAAGTCTACAGCCCTTGGTATTCCCAGGCAGCCTCCAATCCACGCCCCAACCAGGCCCTGCCCTGCTGCTTATCTGCCAAAATCAGAGATTGAGAGCGTTCAGGGTGGTGTGGCCACAGATGATTACCTAAGTTAAATTTAAAATAATTTTCAGTTTCTTTCTCTAGTGCAAATTCCCAGCATGCTTTTTTTTTTTTTTGAGACGTAGTCTAGCTCCGTCACCCAGGTGGGAGTGCAGTGCCATAATCTTGGCTCACTACAACCTCTGCTTTCGAGGCTAAAGCAATCCTCATGGCTCAGCCTCCCAAGCAGCTTGTTCTACGGGTGTGCATCACTGCATCTGGCTAATTTTTGTATTTTTAGTAGAGATGGGGTTTCATTATGTTGGCCAGGCCAGTCTCAAGCTCCTGGCCTCAAGTGATCTGCCCACCTCAGCCTCCCAAGCATATGAGCCACTGCACCTGGCAGGCTTTTCCATTCTCAAATACCTGCTGTTCCATGTGGTCCCTCCATCAACGGCCTTTTCAGTCTTCTGCATTTGGGACAGACGTAGATTCAGCCAAGTGAGAGGATGGCTTCTGGCTTGGCCAGTACCTGGTGGGGTCTAATTTCTGAATGCCAGACTCGGGGCAGGTGCAGTTGGGGAGACCAGGGAGTGGGGAGCCGACGGACATCAGGGCAGCCCCCAGGGATCTCAGCACGTGAGTGTGCGTGTTGTGTGTTGTGAACGTCTTTGTGGAGGGAGCCTGCAGGAGGGGAGGGCTGAGAGCATCTGGACTGGGCCAGTCACAGGGGCCCAGGGACGCCAATGATGGAAACTGTCCCCTAGTCTGGGACAAATGACTGAAGACTTCTCCAGTGTTGGAGAAGTAACAATACCCTCAGTCTGGCCAAAGTGAAACTGCACATCAGAAGCCTGATTGAGACCGGCGGGAACGGCGTGCCACCAGATGGCAGCCAGCTGCCAGGGACTGTCCTGCTGATGTTTATCCACAGCCTTTTCTCAAGACAGCTGAGAAAAGAGCACCGGCAGGGCAATCAGCAGCTAGAGTGGTCACGGGGTTTCCAACCACGCCAAGCAGACACCTGCGCCCTGCACACGCACACAGCCTGGCCTCAGTGAGGGTTCGTTCTGCCCCAGCCCTTCCCTGACAAAGCGCTGCTGGCTTCTGGAAACATCCAGATAACTCAGGAGGACCTGGCTGTGGTCCCTGCCATGGCACTGCTGGCACTCCCACAGCTGGCACGAGGCACCATAGTTGCTTTTACCCTAGAAACGAGCAGCAGACTCACCAGGAGTCTCCCTCACAGCTGTCACCACCTGCCCCACTCAGGGTGCCGGGCATCACGCTTTCAAACCAAAACCATCATACCAACTGTTAACGCCACAAAGGTTCCCGCTGCCGAGAGCCACGATAACATCTGTGCTCCTTCTGCTCCTTTAACTGATGCCAGAAAGTCTTTCACAACTGAGCTAGTCAAGAAAGGGGCCTAAAAACAGCAGGTAAATGTGAGGGCGCCCGGGATGACACGCCACGTAACCAACATACTGCAGTGTGCCCGGGCGGGCACAGGTGAGAGGGATGGATCCTTCTGAAAGCTTAGAATTATTACCACATGGTTTAGAAGTAATTCATTTCTTTAAGTGTTTCGTAAAGGACATAAACCCCCTGGGACACACAAGAATGCCTTTGCTGGGACCAGAATCACCTCCCACAAACAGAGAAAGTCACAGGCGGCCTAAGCCGTGGGCAATCACAGCAGCAGTCTACATACAAAATGAGGGCAAGAAACTTTTACTTTCTATTAGAATTTACAACAATATACAGACAATATGGTAAGATTTTAGAGAAAACACATCATCACTATGAATATCCACAATCTGATTTCTTTTGAGAACCAAGATGGCTTTTGAAAAGGCTGCTTTTTAGAACAAAATGTGTTGTTTCTGTCTGGTATCTAGATCTTGTATGCTACAGCCTGTGTAACAAACTTGAATTTTAACATTTAAATCTTGATTCCAATATTCCTGACCTATCTTTTGTCATGTAAAAGAAATAAGCTTTTTTTTTTGAGACGGAGTCTCGCTCTGTTGCCAGGCTGGAAGGCTGTCGGGCAATCTCAGTTCACTGCAACCTCTGCCTCCCGAGTATTTGGGACTACAGGCATGCGCCACCACACCCAGCTAAATTTTTTTTTTTTAATAGAGATGGGGTTTCACCATATTGGCCATGCTGGTCTCAAACTCCTGACCTTGTGATCCACCCGCCTCGGCCTCCCAAAGTGCTGCGATTACAGGCGTGAGCCACTGCCCCTGGCCAAGCTTTTTTTTTTTTTTTTTTTTTAAAGAAAGTTTCAATTTAGATTTTTTATGAACAAAACAATCTTACACCTACTTAATATCACTATATATTCTCAGCAAGTTCAGGAAATTTTAAAATGATTTACAAAAGGCACTGAAGTTAGCAAAAGCACTGGTGGGCTTTCATTTTGGATTAAACATTGGAAATGTCCACAGAGTAACCACTGTGTGAGCGGCTGTCCATAACACCCAGGAAGACACTGACCCCCGTTAGTGCCTCCTGGTCACCTCGGTGGCACTCACGGCTGCTGCGTTCCCAGCTCCTCACACATTCTGACCAGACCTCCATGAAAGTCTAGGTGAAGGCTACAATAAGCACTGCCGGGAATTGAAACGCGGCTCAAACCTCTAGCTTCTGTACCGTAACGCAACAAAAATCCCAAATGAAACCAACTCCAAAATAAAGGATAACCTTACCATATCATCATTTATGCTCAACGGATCCTCAGGATAAATGTCACACAAAACAATCGACGGGTTTTATGACTGCTCCACTGGCATCTAAACGAGGTGGGTGAGAAAGCTCAAGGGCTGATGAAACCTAGAAACACTTGGGTATCACTGCTGGGAACTTTGTGTGGCTGCTGGCATCACTCCCACGGGATACAAGACTTCCCAGGAGAAGCTATTTTTATCTTCTCATCAGTGATTTAAATATTGCGGTTACTGCAACTCTGAGGTGCACTCAGGCTCCCTGCTCTCTGCCAGCCACCTTCTCACTTTGTCTAACCCATGAGACCCACAGGCGAGCCAGCAGGGACTCTGCTACCATCAGACAAGGCAAGGAGGCATACAGTTCAGGTATTTCGGGGACATCAGTGCTAAGGCCTCCATCAAGCCCCTCCCCGTCCACAGTGTATGGGATACTGTAGTGAGTGCGTGGCTGCCTGCCCTCCCTGCTGTTTCCTCTGCTACATTTCAGACCTAGAAATTGCCCCCTGAAGTCTACCATTACCACACTGACATTTTCCAGAAAACTGGTATCTGAGTTTCAGCAACTTATAACTTCTTCCAAAATATCAGAAATCTAAGTTTTATAGAGAACATTTAAATTTTCTAAAATTCTCACACCCTCAAAGTGAGGATTAATAATTTAATCAGAATATACTCCTTTGTGACATTTTAGCAATAAACATATGACCCTTCTTCCTTTAAAAATGAAGACCGAAGGGAGCCCCAGCTGTGAGCCTACAGGGCAGTGAGCTCGGCCAGGCGCGTCATCCTACGGAGCTGGCTCCCGTGCGCGGGGCTGTAGCGCCCAGGGCTGCCCGGGCCCGGCTTTCTGGGGCTGCTCCCGGCCGCACCATTTCTCCCTGGACTGTAGCTGTGAGGTCCGCTGACATCCGGCAGCCAAGACTTGAACTTTCCTTTTAGCGCGAGGCTGGGCCAACTACAGAAAGCAAGAAAGAACAGTCAGCAGACAGGCAGGCCTGGAGATGAACAGTGAGAACGGTGGGGGGTCGAGGCCCAGCAGAGTCCCGGCACCGCGGCACTGGGAGAGTCAAGCTCATGGGGTTCCCAGGAGAGTCTTGTGTGACCCTGAGTATAAATCCTGTTTCCGCCCCCACAGCCCTCAGCTTCTCAGCAGCAGACCCGTCCTAGTTTCCACCCAACTCGAGACCTGTCCTGGGTGCAGAGCCACAACACGCAAACCGACAGCCTGGCTGATGGGCCTGGCAGCATTAGGCAAGAGCCACTGATACATTCGTGTGAAGTGGCGCGGCTCTCTGGGTGGGTCCCATGTACCTCTGTCTGTTGGAGGGTGAGTAGCACAGGACAGCACTCTTCCATCTGTGCACAGCCGGGAACTGATGGGGGTCGACATCCACACATTCAAGAGCAGCAAAAACATCCTGATCTAGTTTTGACGGCTCCTCTCTAGAAAGCACAATACAAGAAGCTCAAATATCTTTGGTAAAAAAAATAAAGAATTCTAAAATATCACATTTTTTTTTTTGAGACGGAGTCTCACTCTGTTGCGATGGTGCCATCTCAGCTCACTGCAACCACCGCCTCCCGGGTTCAAGCGATTCTCTGCCTCAGCCTCCTGAGTAGCTAAGAGTTACAGGCACATGCCACAATACCCAGCTAATTTTTGTATTTTTAGTAGAGACAGGGGTTTCACCATGTTGACCAGGATGGTCTTGATCTCTTGACTTCAAGTGATCCGCCCACCTTGGCCTCCCAAAGTGCGGGGATTACAGGCGTGAGCCACCACACCAGCCAGCTTTCTTCTTAAAATAATCTAATTCATAGAGCAGATCAATGACACTGGTGGCAGGCACTTCCCTAGCAAATAACAGCAAACACTAGGACCAGCCACAGTCCAAGTGGAAGGAAACCCTGAAGGACACCTAGAAGCTACAAACTCAAACATGTGAGCTGAAAGCACACGTCAAGTCCACACGGAGGTTTATGTGGGGACTGGGTGCTGTGGTCAGGCCTGTCATCCCAGCACTGTGGGAGGCCGAGGTGGGCAGATCACCTGAGGTCAGCCTGTCTCTACCAAAAGTATAAAAATTAGCCAGGCATGGTGGTGGGCACCTGTAGTCCCAGCTACTCAGGAGGCTGAGGCAGGAGAATCGCTAGAAGCCGGGAGGTGGAGGTTGCAGGGAGCTGAGATGGCATCACCGCACTCCAGCCTGGGTGACTGAGTGAGATTCCCTCTCAACCAAAAACAAAGTGTGTGTGGGAAAGGAAGAGGTTTAAAAACAGTGCTGCAGGCATGCACACGGTTACCCAAAAAGGAAGAGCCGCCTGGCCGATTCTCTCGTGGGCTCTAGCTGCTGATCCTCGTGCCCGGGGCAGCTGGGGCCCAAGGACATTCTAGCAATATTGGCTGACGTTTCCCACTCTGTCCTCCCCTGGTCATTCCCGAGTTGGTCTGCAGGAGAAGCAACCTCCAACAAGTCACTTCCTACTGCATCGATTCTTGAAGTCGGGATCTTATCTTTAGTTTTCATATTTTCATCTGGTGTCTTAGAAACGCTACTTCCTAGATTTTGCAAAGTCAGTTTATCAAACTCAGCAGATAAACCGGCGACAGGTGGCAAATGAGCTTCCTCCCCACGGGGTGCCTTTGCTTTCTTGCTCTCCATAGTCTTGCTGTGACTCAGAGGAGGGCAGAACCCATTTCTGCCGCTGTGCAGACCACCTGGCTCTGAGGTTTCTATGAGGTCTGCCTCCTGCTCCAAGGGGAAGGCGCTGCACCCCGTGTTTCCAAAAGCACCCAACCTGGGCTGGCCATTGTTTCGAGCTGTATTTTGCCGATTTTTTATTTCTTCCAAGCTCATGTCATCTTCATCTAGAAACGCCCTCACAGAAATGGAATTGCTGCCTGTGAGGACAAAAAAGGAGCATGTCAGTGATGGGGATGATAGGAGGACACGGAGCTGCTCTGCTCCAAGCATGACCCCCCCCCATATCCAGAACCTCCTCAGCAGTGACCCCCACATCCAGAACCTCCTCTTCAGACTTAAGACAGAAAGCCACCAGCACAACTCCCTGGAAAATGGCAAACAGAAGCCTGCAGACAGAATCAGGCTGCTGGGGCCTGGCGCAGCAGCTCTCGCCTATAATTCCAGCACTCTGGGAGGCCATGGCAGGAGGGTTGCTGGATCAGTAGTTCAAGACCACCTGGGCAACATAGCGAAACCCCATTCACTACAAAAAAATAGAAAAACGACGGCCAGGCACGGTGGCTCAAGCCTGTAATCCCAGCCCTTTGGGAGGCCAAGGCGGGTGGATCATGACGTCAAGAAATCGAGACCATCCTGGTCAACATGGTGAGACCCTATCTCTACTAAAAATACAGAAAATTAGCTGGGCATGGTGGTGCATGCCTATAATCCCAGCTACTCAGGAGGCTGAGGCAGGAGAATTGCCTGAACCCAGGAGGCGGTGGTTGCGGTGAGCAGAGATCGCGCCATTGCACTCCAGCCTGGGTAACAAGAGCGAAACTCCATCTCAAAAAAAAAAAAAAAAGAAAAACGAGCTGGCATGGTGGTATGCACCTGTAGTTTCAGCTATTTGGGAGGCTCAAGTGGTAGGACGGCCTGAGCCCAGGAGGTTGAGGCTGCAGTGTGCTGTGCTCGTGCCACTACTCTCCAGCTTGGGCCACACAGTGAAACCCTATTTCAGAAGGGGCGGGGAAGGTGCCAGACCGACTGCTTTTCTTTCAAAGGCAGGGAAATGAACAGGCCAAGGGCAGCCCAGGTGATGGGCAAGATGACCACCGTATACTTCCAGCCACCCTCCGGCTCTGACCTACTGGGACCCCAGGGGCTCTGAGTGTCACAGTGCCCCGCAGGGTCCTGGAAGCCTGTCCAGAACAACTCCATGAAATAGCACTGCTGCACTTCATTCTGTGACCACAACACAAGAGAGGTCCTGAGAGCAGCACTGCCCTGTTTGGTGTTCACGACGGTGACCCCGGCGCCACAGGTGCATCCGGAACACTTTAACTGTGGCTCATGCTACTTTTGAAATTAGTCAACTTTATTTAATATTTACTAATTAAAATTTAAATAGTCACAAGACAACAGAGTAAATGAGGCCACTTTACAGAAGTTAGTTATGTACCACTGTCAGCTACAACCCAGCAAGGCCAGATTCTCATTTTTTTCCTATCATTCCAGGGAGTTTGTTTTATAAATGAAGTGTCTTACGGGCTAATGGTCCTATTTTGGCCTTAAAAAAACACACACACACACACACGTTTAAATGTAGTATCTTCTTTAATTTTGATTTTGGCAAATTCAAATCTCTAGTTATCAGAAAATTTTTGCTTTTAATAAATAGAGACGGAGTCTCACTATGTTGCTCAGGCTGCTGTCGAACTCCTGGGCTTCAGCAACCCCCTACATTGGCCTCCCAAGGTGCTGGGATTACAGGTGTGAGCCACCACACCCGGCCTTCGGTGATGTTTTCTGTTTCTTTTGCAGACAGACTTGCACTGTCGCCCAGGCTGGAGCACAGGGGTGTGATCTCGGCTCACTGCAACCTCCATCTCCCAGGTTTAAGCGATTCTCCTGCCACAGCCTCCAAAGTAGCTGGAACTATTGGCACCCGTCACCACGCCTGGCTAATTTTTGTATTTTTTAGTAGAGATGGGGCTGGTCTTGAACGTGTGACCTTGTAATCTACCCACCTTGGCCTCCCAAAGTGCTGAGATTACAGGCATGAGCCATCGCACTCGGCCATTCATGTTTTTATGAATGACTTTTATATTCTGTGTAATCTCTTCCATCGTTATATTTCCATTCACTGTGTCTGTGCTTTGGGAGCACTTTGCGTCCTGGCGTCTGATACACACCTTGTGAAGGGCTTTGGATCCTGGCGTCTGATACACACCTTGTGAAGGGCTTTGCGTCCTGGCATCTGATATAAACCTTGTGAAGGGCTTTGCGTCCTGGCATCTGATATAAACCTTGTGAAGGGCTTTGCGTCCTGGCATCTGATATAAACCTTGTGAAGGGCTTTGCGTCCTGGCATCTGATATAAACCTTGTGAAGGGCTTTGCGTCCTGGCATCTGATATAAACCTTGTGAAGGGCTTTGCGTCCTGGCATCTGATATAAACCTTGTGAAGGGCTTTACATCCTGGCGTCTGATACACACCTTGTGAAGGGCTTTGCGTCCTGGCGTCTGATACACACCTTGTGAAGGGCTTCGAATCCGGGTGTCTCATACACACCTTGTGAAGGGCTTTGCATGCTGGCATCTGATATAAATCTTGTGAAAGGCTTTGCATCCTGGCGTCTGATACACACCTCGTGAAGGGCTTTGGGTCCTGGCTTCTCATATACACCTTGTGAAGGGCTTTGGGTCCTGGTGTCTCATATACACCTTGTGAAGGGCTTTGCGTCCTGGCGTCTCATACACACCTTGTGAAGGGCTTTGGGTCCTGGCGTCTCATATACACCTTGTGAAGGGCTTTGCGTCCTGGTGTCTCATATACACCTTGTGAAGGGCTTTGCGTCCTGGTGTCTGATACACACCTTGTGAAGGGCTTTGCGTCCTGGTGTCTCATATACACCTTGTGAAGGGCTTTGCGTCCTGGTGTCTGATACACACCTTGTGAAGGGCTTTGCGTCCTGGTGTCTCATATACACCTTGTGAAGGGCTTTGCGTCCTGGCATCTGATACACACTTTGTGAAGGGCTTCGAATCCGGGTGTCTCATACACACCTCGTGAAGGGCTTTGCGTCCTGGCGTCTCATACACACCGTGAAGGGCTTTGCGTCCTGGCGTCTGATACACACCTCGTGAAGGGCTTTGGGTCCTGGCATCTGATACACACCTTGTGAAGGGCTTTGCGTCCTGGCATCTGATACACACCTCGTGAAGGGCTTTGGGTCCTGGCGTCTGATACACACCTTGTGAAGGGCTTTGCGTCCTGGCGTCTGATACACACCTCGTGAAGGGCTTTGCGTCCTGGCGTCTCATATACACCTCGTGAAGGGCTTTGCATCCTGGCGTCTGATACACACCGTGAAGGGCTTTGCATCCTGGCGTCTGATACACACCTCATGAAGGGCTTTGCGTCCTGGCGTCTGATACACACCTCGTGAAGGGCTTTGTGTCCTGGCGTCTCATATACACCTTGTGAAGTGCTTTGTGCCGTGGTGTCTGATATATACCAGTATTCTGGTGTGCAGTCCTCCTTGTCTTTTTCCTGACAATTATACCAAACCTACAATATTATAGTCTCAGCCACTGTAGTTCAGCTATTATGAGTTTTGAGAAAATGGCACAGAATGAAGTAATATTACATTCTGGGCACTGAAACCACAAGCAGAAATAGCAATACTGCTCCAAGCGATGCCACATTTTTCATATCTCCCCCCCAACGCATACCCCACTGAACGTAAACCTAAGGAACAGTTCCCACCTTTACATTAAAAACACAGACAGAGATAAGAAACAGATGTGCGCTTCCTGTCGGACCCCGGCCACAGATGCCCAGTCCCAGCTGCCACGGCCGTGCCTGTGTGTACTTACCAGATGTGGTGGCTTTATCTCGGCAGGCTTCCCTTTCTCCTGTTTCTTGTTGAGCCTTTTTGCCTATTTCCTGCTGAGTAAGATAATCTTCCAGTCTTTGCAGGCCTTCCTGGGAAGACAGATCAACAAAACAGCCCAGAAATTCCCAGTATTCAACCCAGGGATACCCAAGCTCATGAGCTAGCTCCCTGTAAGAAATAAAACACAATTAACCAGTTGTAAAACCAGAAAAGGCTCAACTACACAGAAAACAGCCACTAATGCTTCAAGTACCAAAGAAATGTCTGCAATCATGGTTGTAACTTTATTCCCGAATCTGCAGCTGAAACGATACTTTGCATTTTCTGAACCAGCACTCCTCCTCATAGGGTAAGCAGGAGCCCGCAGAGTTCTCACGAGCAGCGAACCAGTGGCAGGACGAAAGGAGACCTCTGCCTACATGGACCCTCCCACCAGCAACCTTGTGCTGGGAGGCCACACAGTTCACCTCCACCCAGACAGGCTTGTTCATGTCCGTGGAACAGCGCTGTGGGCTTCCCCGTGGCGCTAGTCATGGCCAGGCACAGGAAAGCCTAGAGGTTCTTCCTGGTTTCTGGTTGTACACATGATGCTGGGCACATATTTTGAGAAAATACTTAACAATTCCACAAAGCTTTATTTGATTACAACTAATTTAGCTTTGTGACTGTGGACCTTTCATTCCCAAAGAAACTGTACCATTCTATGGTACCTTCTATAAAATATCAAGGTTCCTTAGAAACATGTCCCCAAATCAACAAGGAATGGCACTTTGAAAAGGGAAAGGCAGCGCTGCAGACATGCTCCAGGTCTGAGGCCAGACCGGCTTAAGCTCTAATTCTGCACAAACTGCAATGTGCCCAGCATCTGCAAGGAACTGGACCTTCGTGAAAACGACCAGCTCTCCCAGGAAAGGCTTCCTGGGAATTGGCATTTTGAAGCTGTAATGTGATTTTCTCTCATTAATCAAAACATAACCAACAGTGCGCTCCACGGCGCCACAGCTCGGCCTCTTTCAGTACCTCCCCACTCTCTCAAAGCCTCTTTCCGGGTCTGATTTCTTGATGTTGTGAAGGAAGCCTGCTTTCTCTCGAGGTGGAGTTTTCCAGAGTTTGCGAAAATCTTCCGCCTATGAGGAAAACAAAATGTACTGAGCTATGACAGGCATCGCGCCCTTCACTGGGGAAGCCTGAAGAGCAACAGGGTCGCAGCAGCAGCTGCCGTCTCCCGACACCCTTCCTCCTCTCCTTTCACCAACAGATCCCTGGGCTGCATGCCCACCTGTGGCATGGCTGAGAGTGGCTATGTGATTGCACTCCGACCTGGGTGAGGGGAGGCAGTCTTCCTTCCTGCAGCCTGGTCTGGGCTGTGAGGTTCAGAACCAGGGGGACCCGAGCATGAGGCCTCGCCCTGAGGACAGCCGACAGCTTAGAGCTGCCACCCGACAGCAGAATTAACACTGTTCCCATCACAGGAGAAGAAACCAACGTTGATCTTTCTGAGTTACGCTTCCTCAAATTTTGTTTTATGGATCTGACCTAACCCTACCTGATACCACCTAATTTTGAAGCCATTTTCCTCATAATAACTTATTTAGAAAGTTTTTAGCACAATATTGTATGTATAAGTCAGTATATGAAATATTTCAACAGTAGAAAGAATTGTCAACTGTAAACAAAAAAATGTGTATAAGCTCTGACCCCACACCACCACCATTAAGAACTTCTTTGAGGCCAGGCGCAGTGGCTCAAACCTGTAATCCCAGCACTTTGGGAGGCCAAGGCGTGTGGATCATGAGGTCAAGAGATCAAGACCATCCTGGTCAACATGGAGAAACCCCGTCTCTACTAAAAATACAAAAAATTAGCCGGGCGTGGTGGCGCGTGCCTGTAATCCCAGCTACTCGGGAGGCTGAGGCAGGAGAATTGCCTGAACCCAGGAGGCGGAGGTTGCGGTGAGCCGAGATCGCGCCATTGCACTCCAGCCTGGGTAACAAGGGCGAAAAACTCCGTCTCAAAAAAAAAAAAAGAACTTCTTTGAACATCAGGGATAAGTGGAACCCAAGGGGGCTGAAGCCTCCAGGAGAGGGATTGAACTGACGCACTTTGTCTGAGGAAGCCAGTGGGAGCTCAGCTGCGGAGACTCAGGAAGTGAACATGCGCACGGAGGTTTCCTAGTCACAGCGGGCAGCCTTGCTAGACCAGCCAGTAGCCCTGAGAAGGGCCAGCCATACAGAAAGAACGGGCAGCGCACGCCTAGGACAGGACTTTGCTGAGATGTGTGGCCCCAGCACATTGGCCCTGGCGAGCAGGCCATACACCCAAGAACACACGTTTCTCTGGAAACGTTCTCATCACAAGCTCACTGCTGGATGGTTTGAGATGAGGACAACCTTGGAGTTCCACAGGACACAGTCCCTGAGACCAAGCACAAAGCAACAGGCTAGAACACCCAGCACTGCAGCGTAGGGACAGTTAGGCGCTGCTTCCAGAAGCTTCCACAGCAGCTCACCTTGGCTGGACTCAGGGGCCCCGCGAAGGCTCTCAGGGTCAGCACAGGGTCTCGGGGGCTGCCTCCGTAACGGCCGACGTGAGAGGCCTCAGCCGTCTGATCTGGGGACCACAGCTCCCCAATGACTGGAGAAGATGTGTCTTCTGCTCTCAGGAGTGGCACATAGTAGTGACCTACGGGAGGAGACAGGCACTGGCTGTAGGCCCCACCCCCCACTCCCTAGGTCAGGTCTGGATGATCAGCACAGGGATCACACAAGCCCCTGCCACGGCCTCTGCAAATGGATGCCATGGAAACAGCAAGTCACACAAGGTCTGCAACCGACGGACAGGGCAGAGGCCAGCGTGTGCCAGAGCTGACTTCACCTAACCAGCCTCACTGTCCTCCATTGCTAAAAGAAAGAAGAAAAGAAAAGGAAGCCCCAGGTAGTTAAAGGACTGAGGGGTCAGACCTGAGGGAATAAGATTAGCACACAGCAAGAGCTTAATACATTTTTAAAATAAGTTATATTTCATTCTGGCCAAGTGTGGTGGCTCACGCCTGTAATTCATTCCAACTCTTTGGGAGGCTGAGGTGGGTGAATCAATTGACATCAGGAGTTCGAGACCAGCCTGGCCAACATGGTGAAACCCCGTCTCTACTAACAAAATAAAAATTAGCTGGGCATGATGGTGCGTACCTGTAATCCCAGCTACTCAGGAGGCTGAGGTAGGAGAATCACTTGAACCCGGGTTGCAGTGAGTTGAGATTGCGCCACTGCAGTCTAGCCTGGGCGAGAGAGACTCTGTCTCAAAAAAAAAAGTTGTATTTCATTCCATCTCTCCTTTTTTTTCCCTCTTAGTTTCAGGTATCTCACTGTCACCCAGGCTGGAGTGCTATGGGGCAACCATGGCTCACTACGCCCTTAAACTCCCTCAATCCTCCCACCTCAGCCTCTTGAGTAGCTGGGACCACAAGCACGCGCCACCATACCCAGCTAATTTTGTACTTTTTTGTAGAGACAGGATCTTGCTATGTTGCCCAGGCTGGTCTCTAACTCCAGGATGCAAGTGATCATCCTACCTCTGCCTCCAAAAGTGCTGGGATCACAGGTGTGAGCTACTGTGCCCAGCATCCTCTACTTCTCAATTCCTTGCTTCTGTTGTACTTTTCAGTTTGTATCACTGAATACACATCTCTCAACAGATCTGGAATCACACAGCACTTGGGTGTGAGGTATGGAAGGCATGAGGAAAAGTAGCGTCTTAAGGTCCCATGGGACGGCGCAGCAGAGTCCTATGGGATAGTGTCATGAGATTCTGCAGGACTGCGTGGAGGTCACACACCACCTCATCCTGCTTTCAGACCTAGCCCCAGGAGACCCACCGTCAAGAGGCTTCCTTTAAAGTCGTCACGCTGCTCATGAACGCCTGGGCATTTCTTATGTTAAATGCTTATTACAGTTTTTATGCTTCTAATTTTTTTCTAGTTATAAAAGTACTGTATGGCCATCAACGTATATTAGATAAAAGAAAATGTGGTACATCTATACCATGGGATATTATGTAGCCATAAAAAAGAACAAGATCATGTCCTTTGCAGCAACGTGGATGGAGCTGGAGGCCATTATTCTATAGGAACTGACATAGAACAGAAAACCAAACACCACATGCTCTCACTTATGAGTAGGAACTAAACGCTGAGCACACATGGACACGAAGGAGGAGGAGCAGTCACCAGGGCCTGCCTGAGGGAGGAGGGAGGAGGAGGGGGAAAATGGAAAAGCTGCTTATTGGGTACTATGCTATCACCTGGGAAATAATCCCCATGTCAAACCCCTGACATGCAGGTTACCTAATAAGGAACCTGCACACGTACCCCTGAACCTAAAAGTAAAGTTTAAAAAGAGTACTATAATTTCCATTCAAGAGTACTAATTTTCCATAGTGAAAATCAGGGCAATTCAAATACTGTATCTCACATTTTAACATCATATATCTGGATGCTTCGTATGTCCACTGGCTTTTTACAGGGAACTGGCAGTTTTTTCTTCTCTTAGTGGTACATGAAAAGAAAACATACCGTACACAGTAGACAGCAAGTATACGGTTAAATTCACCTGTAATTTACTCATAAAAAACTACTGTTTACTTTTTTGGCGTATTGAAGTCCCTTTTAAAAATTTCTGTCTACAGATTGGACTCATGGTCTCTGGACGGTTTTGTGGCTGGCTCTCTGGTCCTCCCTCCTAACACATTAGAGTCCCTCCTCATCTTCACACAAGCATGGGTCTGTCTCTGAGGAACTGGGCAGGACACAGAATGCAGCCAGGCCTGCAGCAGGCTCTGTGGCATGTGACTGAGGCCACAGCGTAACCACGGGCGCTGGCCCATGCCTGGGCTTTGCATGAGCCTCAGAAGGACCAGGAAGGAGGTACGGGAGCTCTGGAGGGCCGAGTAGCTCAGCCCTCAGGAGCACGAACATCACAGTGCTGCCTTCTCCTCAGCAAACAGCTGCCGGGGCAGACCTAGAGGTGACAGTGTGCTACTGTCACAGACAGGCAAGGACTTCTCAGACAACTGCTTCCTCAATACCGTCACAAAGCAGTGTTTAACATGTCAATGCCGTAAAGCATTCCTGACAGTATGGTTTGCAAATACAGAGCAGACTCTTGGTTCTTTAGGATATTCTGGCAACACAGCTGTGTGTTCCGAGGGCTTCCAAAGGTTCCAGCTGGGCCTGTGGAGCAATACCCCAATGGCTCTGAGGAGGAACTCTCACCACTTCCAGCAGGATTCAATTCCCTGCATGAAGTGCGGAACATTTCCTGTGCACATCCACAGAAGCTGAAGAAGTATCATTCACAAATTGTACTTAGGACTGGAAGGGATCCGGGGACAAGGAGAGGCTCCTGATACCTGAGACCGGGTGGTAGACTTCTACACAAGGTCAGACAGTAAATAACCAGGCTCAAGGGGCCACAAGTCACTGTGTGCTGGCAAAGAGCCCAGACAGTGTTCAAACGGTGGTCACAGCTTCATGCCAGTATTTATAAAATTGGTGCTGGGCCAGTTATCTGCAGACCCTGCTTGAAACAGAGACTGAATTTTGGACAGGAATGGAATCCGAGAGAGAGAAAAGCAGGCAGGAGAATGAGAGGATGTCAGTGCCTGCTGCAGAAGCACCAGACTTCAAGCTAAGATGGCAAAGAAGAGGCGCTCCTGGCCAGGCGCAGTGGCTCACTCCTGTAATCCCAGCACTTTGTGAGGCTGAGGTGGGCGGATCACAAGGTCAAAAGATGGAGGCCATCCTGGCCAACATGGTGAAACCCCGTCTCTACTAAAAATACAAAAATTAGCCAGGCGTGGTGGCACACGCCTGTGGTCCCAGCTACTCAGGAGGCTGAGGCGGAAGAATCAGTTGAACCCAGGAGGCAGAGGTTGCAGTGAGCCGAGATTGCGCCACTGCACTCCAGCCTGGTGACGGAGCAAGACTCTAACTTAAAAAAAAAAAAAAAGGCGCTTCTAGAAGTGTCATCTTCCAAAATTCACCGAAAACAGGAAGATGGCAGGGAAAAGCCTCCCTGAAACCAGCCATTTTCACATGCCTGGCGCCTACAAACCACAACACAGTGGCCGACAGGAAGCTCCTGATCAGAGGAGGGCGGCCCAGAAAGCAAAGGCCTCCTTCCCAGAGGCGAGTGGGCAGGGTGTGTCCAGAGCCAAGGCAGGAGCCGTCCTGGGAGTGCACCAAAGAGGGACAGGAGGAGGAAGGAGACAGTGTCAGAACAAAGAGAGTGACAGGGAGCAACCCCCACCCGACACACACACACACATAAAACCCAAGCCAGCCAGCCAGCCAACTGAGGAGCTATGTGCCCTGCCTCTCCCTAAGCTGTTCTTTGCCAACCGTAGGCTCCGCCTGAAGAGAAGTAAGTCATCACAGTGAAGCTGCCACGAAACAGCCCTAGACATCCAGGGGTGAGACCGTGGCCACAGTCAGCAACACACAACCTCAGAGAAAGTTCTCTTGCAAAAAACTCAAGGGACAGATAACAAGACTTCAAAGAAGGGATAATAGGAAAAGAGGTGGAAAGCGAGCTGGGAGAGCTAAAAAGAAAGGGTGTCCGAGAAGAGGCTTCCGAGGAAAGCCCGCAAACGCCCGGGAGCTCCTAAGAAAGCTGTGCTCCGTTCCCACAACACTCCAAGGCCCTTCCCAGCGTGGACCCCAAAATCCAGGCACTGACTCCCCATCTTACCCTTCAAATACTCTCTGATCCGTTCCTTCAGTTCCACAGATTTGTTTTTGCTTCTTTCACAAATTACCTATTGAAAAAAAAAAGTGTCTAAATCTTATCTTATCGTAACATTTCCTTATCATTACAATGATTTTAGAAAGTGAGCTAAAGTCAGTGAAGTGGAATAGTATCTTAATGCTAAAGATTTAATAAAGCTCACACAAAAAATATTTCTAAAAGTCTCAGGGGACAGGTAAGAGAACACTGTGGGACTCTGCGTATATTTCCCTTTTCTTCGTGCTGCCCTACAGTTTCTAAGGTCTGCGAGGAGAGGAAATTGAAAAGTGCACCATCCAGTCAAACCAGAAGCATGTGAGCACGTCTGCACTTCCTCAGTTGTCTGAGTTTCGCTTACAGGAAGCCTGGTCATATATAAACTTTCTGTTGTGAGGCTGTGTCAAGGCGGAGCTCCTAACACGAAACACAAAAGTTATATTTTTGCAACTATAGATGACAGAAATCAGCTTTCTTGGCCCTTGGAGAATTGCAGCAATAAGCATTTTTGCTAGAAACTATAGGAAAACCAACAACCTTCAAATAAGAGGAAAGAAAGGAACCAGCCTCTGAGAAAAACTAACTAAAACTATCAATGCAATTACATTTTTGAGTCTGTAACTAGTTGTGAGCTTGAAAAAGTCAAATGCTTTTTAAAATGCCAAGAATGTTAAGTTGGTTACTAAATAACATTTTTATGTTGAAGAAGGGCAGATACACACATATACACACAAAACTGAATCACATACATGCAAAATAATGGCAATTTCTCAGCTGTAGAATTTTCTGGTGAATTTTATTCTTTCTGGTCATGTGGTATTTTAACTTTTCTACAGCAAGTGGGTATTGCTTATGCCTATGTAGTAACAGGAATTACAGAGGGGGTGTGGGAGAGAACACTGCCACCAGAAGACCCTTACAGCTTTTCTTTCTAAAAGGTTGGGAGACCGTGAGCAGCTCACAGCTGTGCTACAGAACAAATCAAACTCGTCCTTCAGTTCTCAGAGCGTCCAGATCCCTCTTGCACCTTCTGGGCATAAAGCACACATCTGCCCCCTGTAAGGTGCACTTTGCTCAGTTCATAATGCTTGACTGACAAGGCTTGTCTGGGTCAGGTGAGTTTAAGTGCGTGAGCAGCTTAGCACAGCGTCTAGTACACACTGAGCTGAATACAATTTGGCTGCTTTCAGCACCACCATCCCCACCATCATCATCCCCATCACCACCATCACCACCACCCTCCTCCTCACCATCATCATCCCCATCACCACCATCACCACCACCCTCCTCCTCACCATCATCATCCCCATCATCACCATCATCTTCACCGTCACTACCTTCAGCACCACCACCATCCTCATCAGCATCACAACCACCACCATCGCCATTATCCTCACCACCATCATCCCCATCACCAGCACCCTCATCCTCACCACCATCACCATCATCACCATCATCACCATCAAAATCACCATCAGCACCACCATTACCACCTCGGTTCTCTCTGACTCTGGCCAACTGATGTGTTCAGAGAGGGAACTTGGTAAAAGACTGTAAGCTGTTCAGAGCAACTGACTGCCAGTTTTAGAAAAATAAAATCACCAAACTGTGTGACTTCCTCCCCTCCGGGTTCTACAGATGCATCATCTTCACAAAATGCATCTTACTCAACAGCAGGACTCTAACGTGTGCCCGTAGGGCAAACACAACTCATACAGAGCTCCATGTGGCTTCACTGTGCCTGTCTGTGACCACAGACTGTAAAGTTACATCTTTTCTTTTCCTTTTCTTTTTTTTTTTTTTGAGACGGAGTTTCGCTCTTTGTTACCCAGGCTGGAGTGCAATGGTGCAGTCACCATGCCCAACTAATTTTTTGCATTTTTAGTAGAGACGGGGTTTCACCATGTTGACCAGGATGGTCTCGATCTCTTGACCTCGTGATCCACCCGCCTCGGCCTCCCAAAGTGCTGGGATTACAGGCTTGAGCCACTGCGCCCGGCCTAAAGTTACATATTTTGATCTCTAAGTCTAGAGAGTGACTGCATCTTAACAAGTACTTACATCTTCAGGTGTTTTATCATATTTGTTCCTTGGGTTTTTTACAGTCAAATGATGTGATGAAAGCACACTGACCACGTCTGCATTTCCAAACTTACAAGCAAAGTGCAACGGTGTGTCATAGCCCTGGAAAAAGGTGCAGAGGAAACAATTATTTACACTTGTCTCCTAAGGTGGCTCTAGGCTGAAAATACTTACGCATTTTTTTAAAAAAGACTCACAAACAAAACAGCCATAAAAGACACTGCTTGTATAATGGAAAAATAATTGGCATTCTAGCACATACCCACTTCATGCCAAGGCTTGAGCTCAGCCATGGACCTGGGTGATCAGGCCCTGGAGGAGCTTACATTCTCCACAAACAGTGAACAGTAGTTTTAATCTTTCAGGGCCTACTATAATGTCACATAACACATGCCCAAACAGTGAAATAAACCATAGTGAAGAAAAAGCTTCCGGGGGTAGGATGGGTCAAGAGAAGGAAAAGCCTGTCTTTAGTACCCTTTAAAAGAGGGGTGTCCCCCTTCACAGTGCTGCCTCTGCGTGGGCCTGGCCCGGCTGGCTGGCACTCATCAGTGACTCCAACCTGCCTGTTAGGTGCACTTAAGATCAAACAACCCCACAGGTCAGGTGGAGGGTGGGGCGTGGGCATCAGCCAGGATAGGATTGCTGCCACCTTTCCTCAGGAGCTACGAAGATCCTTCCTGTTTGTGAGCGGTCACACCCCAGCAGCGTGTATCCTACACCAGGGCCCTGTGTGCCAGGGTGTCAGGTGGCATGATCTGCAGGGGCAGCTCTGTGCCTTAGAGGCTCTTGGCAGGATGCTGAGGACTTGCTTGCCGTGTGCATGGCTCTGCCACTCCCAGGGGGAAGAGCTGCTCAGCTCAAGGTTTTCTGCTCAGTAGTGTGTGTGTGTCCTCTGACAACCATGTCCCCAGACAGTTTAGACACCCTTGGGGACGACATTCCACACACGACAAAGACACAGGGGCCAGGGAACCCCAGCACGTGGTACCCTTCATCCAGGGTTAAAATCAGCCTGTGGGATTTGGCAAGAAGGCAAGTCACAGGGGTGTAACTGATGTATCTTTCCCTTAAAGTCATTCTAATGAGTCACCTGTCGATAAAGCATTCTTTTAAAAAAAAAAACTTTACAAAGTTAAAACATAAAAGCGCGAGTGGAGGGTGGGCACGCACCATCTTGTCGGGGGTGTTCAGGTAGAGGTCGACAACATAGCGGATGCGCTTCTGCAGCATGGCCTCGTCATCATCGGGGTACATCAGCCTCATGAAGTCAGGGTTCTCCAGGACGTCCAGAGTCAGCTGGCAGATGGAAGCCTGATCCTCCTTGGCGGCAACATGCATCACGTTGTACCTACACCCTTCCTGAAAGAGAACCATGTGCTCTGAGCTTCCTCCCTGTCTCGTGGACGCACCCCGTGGAAAGTGCCATGGCCATGAAGGAAGCAGCGACACTGCACACCCACCTGCACGATGGTTGGGTTGTCGCCTGAGCCAATCAGATACCGGGGGTTGCTCCAGATGAGATCAGAAAAGGTGTCCTCCTCTCCCTTCTCCACAGCTTTCCGAAGCTTGGCAGTGAGGTCCTGCGTGCGGGGATTTTTGTAACTGTTGGCTCGCTCTTTGTTGACTGTTTCTGATTCAGATAAGCACAAACCATCTGACAGTAAGAGACAGAATTTAAGAATGATTAGTTTCACCAAAAGTCACTGATCACCCACACACCCTGTAATGAGGGATAAAGAGCTTCCAGGGCTGGCTCATGCCTGTAATCCCAACACTTTGAGGTTGAGGCGGGCAGATCACAAGGTCAAGAGTTCAAGACCAGCGTGGCCAACGTGCTGAAACCCCATCTCTACTAAAAATACAAAAATTAGCAGGGTGTGGTGTTAAGTGCCTTAATTCCAGCTACTGGGGAGGCTGAGGCAGGAGAATTGCTTGAACCCGGGAGGCAGAGGCTGCAGTGAGCTGAGGGGAGGCACAGGTGAGAAATAACGAGATGGGCTCATGGCCACCAACCCCAGCCCGCAAAGGCAGTCAGCGCACCCCTGTGAGCAGAGCAAGCTGGGAGAGCAGCCAGACCTGGCTGCTATCTTGCTAGGAAAGGCTGTGTGAATGAGGCAAAGTTTGGTGAATTTTTTTTTTTTTTCAGAGACAGGGTCTGGCTCTGTCTCCAAGGCTGGAGTGTGGTGGCACGATCATAGCTCACTGCAGCCTCGACCCTCCTGGGCTCAAGTGATCTTCCCACCTCAGCCTCTCAAGTAGCTGGGACTACAGTTGTATGCCAGCATACCTGGTTATATATGTGTATATATATGTATGTATTTTTAGAGATGGGGTCTCACTATGTTGCCCAGAATGGTCTCAAACTCCTGGCTTCAAGAGATCCTTCTGCCTCAGTTCCCAAAAGCGTTAGAATTACAGGCATGAGTCACCACACCCGGCCAGTGAACTTTGAAAGCTTGGTCAGTAGGTAGAGAAGGAATAATGGCAGCTGCAGCATTAGACCAGCAATCACACAAGACTTGTCACATGTGTGCAGTGTCCCTGCAGAGGCCGAGTCACACCAGGAGACCTCCAGTGTGCACAGGGTCCCTGCAAAGGCCGAGTGCTCCACAAGTGATTTCTGTCTGGTTTTTTTGAGACGGAGTCTCGCTCTGTCGCCCAGGCTGGAGTGCAATGGCACAATCTCAGCTCACTGGAACCTCTGCCTCCCAGGTTCGAGCAATTCTCCTGCCTCAGCCTCCTGAGTAGCTGGGATTACAGGTGCAGGCCACCATGCCCAGCTATTTTTTTGGGGGGTGGGACAGAGTTTGCTCTTTCACCCAGGCTGGAAGTGCAGTGGCGCTATATTGGCTCACTGCACTTCCGTCTTCTGGTTTCAACCGGTTCTCTTGCCTCAGCCTCCTAAGTAGCTGGGATTACAGGTGCCTGCCACCACACCCAGCTAATTTTTGTATTTTTAGTAGAGATGGGATTTCACCATATTAGCCAGGCTGGTCTCGAACTCCGGACCTCATGATCCGCCCGCTTCGGCCTCCCAAAGTGCTGAGATTACAGGTATGTGAGCCACCATGCCCGGCCCGATTTATGTCTTAAAGTGATTTCCTTCTGAGGAAGCTTCCCCACCTGAAGTTATACCTCCTTCCAGGACTGGGGCATCTGCACAATCAGGCTCATCTGTAGGAGCGTCGAGCCGGAAGTCTGACCCATACCCACCTCCCAGCTCAGAACGAGGGTTTTGTTTGAAGACACTCAGCTGGGGAACTGAGGCCAGACAAAAGGGAAAGCCAATGATCTGTAACACGCACCTTCAAACAAAAGCCTCGTTCTCAGCTGGGAGGTGGGTATGGGTCAGACTTCCGGCTGGACGCTCCTACAGATGAGCCTGATTGTGCAGATGTCCCAGTCCTAGAAGTAGGTATAGCTTCAGGTGGGGAAGTAGACTGATCTCAGTATCAAAAAAGACCCGAGCCCAGGCGTAGGGGCTCATGCCTGTAATCTCAGCACTTCGGGAGGCTGAGACGGGAGGACTCAATAGCAATGTAGAGGCATGTGAGTACATGAATTGCTTGATGCCAGCAATTCAACCAGCCTGGGCAACATGGCAAAACCCTGTCTCCATAAAGCATTTTTAAATTCCATGGCGAGGCATGGTGGCTCATGCCTGTAATCCCTGCACTTTGGGAGGCTGAGGTGGGGGGGATCACAAGATCAGGAGTTCAAGACCAGCCTAACACAGTGAAACCCCATCTCTACTAAAAATACAAAAAATTAGCTGAGCATGGTGGCGTGCACCTGCAGCCCCAAGTACTCAAGAGGCTGAGGCAGGAGAATCGCTTGAACCTGGGAGGCAGAGGTTGTAGGCAGCAGTGAGCTGAAATTGTGCCACTGCACTCCACCCTGGGCAACAGAACGAGACTCTTATTTAAAAAAAAAAAAAGGAGGAGGGGATTTCCAGCTCTCTGGAGTCCCCTTCCACACTCTTCATGGAAGTCAAAAAAGAAAAAAAAAATTTTAATTCCAGCCTGGTCAACAAGGTGAAACCCGTCTCTCCTAAAAATACAAAAATTGGCTTGGCATAGTGGTGGGCACCTGTAATCCCAGCTACTCAGGAAGCTGAGGCAGGAGAATTACTTGAACCCGGGAGGCAGAGGTTGCAGTGAGTCAAGATCGTGCCACTGCACTCCAGCCTGGGCAACAGAGTGAGACTCCATCAAAAAAAAAAAAAATTTAATTTGCTGGGTGTGGCGGTGCACACCCATTTCTTAGCCACTTGGGAGGCTGAAGCACATGGACTGCTTAAGCCCAGGAGTTCAAGGCTGCAGTGAGCGCACAAGAGTGCACTCCAGGCTGGCAAAAGAACAAGACCCTGTCTGTTTACAAAAAGACAAAAGAACAAAGCATCCAACAGGCAGGAGGGAGAGACACAGGGCAGTTGGATGGGCCGCAGCGTCCTTTTCAGCACTTCTCCACAGTCAAGATGCTAAATACTGGCACATCAGCATCCGAGCTAGAGTGGCTTCCTGGTCTGCTCAGACCCCACTGACTCTACCCTCATGGAGAAAACAAGTTACAGCAGAGGAGGTAAGAAGGCACAAAACAGTGTGGGCTAAAAGACGTGAACTGCTGCATCATTTACCTTTTGACCCATCACTGCTAGAGAGTGGTGAGGTTTTCACAGGAGAAAGTGGTAAGGATGTTTTGCTTGGCGAAGGGAAATAATCACAAATTCCTCTAGCAAATTTCTCAGCATCTTCTCTGGTTGAAAAAGCTTTAAATCGGGACCCTTTGATCATTTTGACAGCTTGCAGTGCTTCCTTTTTATTTACGTAAACATGGATCCTTTCTGGGTAGGAAAAGTAACAAACGAAAATCAGAAAGGAGTGTCTGTAGCAGGTCACGCCCTTTCATCATCAGCTCACATGTCTGCTACCCAGTCACCAGGCTTAGTTCAAACCTTTAATCCTGAAGAAAAAGGGCCTTAGCTAGCCAAAATAACACAATAAACAAGCTGGATCATGTATGTAGAGGCACGTGAATAACATGATACATATTATAGACACGTATGCAATTATACATCCCAAGATTCTACCTTGAAAAATAAATTTCATATAAAGATCTAATTGGCCGGGCGCAGTGGCTCAAGCCTGTAATCCTAGCATTTTGGGAGGCCGAGGCGGGTGGATCACAAGGTCAAGACATCGAGACCATCCTGGTCATCCTGGTGAAACCCCGCCTCTACTGAAAATACAAAAAATTAGCTTGGCATGGTGGTGCACGCCTGTAATCCCAGCTACTCGGGAGGCTGAGGCATGAGAATATATATATATATATAATTAAAAATAATTAAGGCCAGGGACTGTGGCTCACACCTGTAATCCCAACACTTTGGGAGGCCAGGGTGGGAGGATCACCTGAGGTCAGGAGTTCAAGACCAACCTGGCCAACATGGTGAAACCCCATCTCCATTAAAAATACAAAAACTAGCTGAGCGTGGTGGCGCATGGCTGTAACCCCAACTACTTGGGAAGCTGAGGCAGGAGAATCACTTGAACCTAGGAGGCAGAGGTTGCAGTGAGCCAAGATCACGCCACTGCACTACAGCCTGGGCGATAAGAGCGAAACTTCATTTCAAAAACATAAATAAATAAATAATTGAAAGGCAAGTTAAAAAAAAAAAAAAAACTATGAAGGTGCAGCGGTTCACACCTGTAATCCCAGCATTTTGGGAGGCCGAAGTGGGTGGATCACCCGAGGTACGGAGTTCGAAACCAGCCTGACCAACAAGGTGAAACCCCATCTCTTAAAAACAAAACAAAATAAAACAAAACTATGAAGATGTCAGCCAAGAACATAAGAGAATTTTAAACATAATTTTGGATGGGAAATGCCTTTTTATTTTTTTGAGATGGAGTTTTGCTCTTGTTGCCCATGGTGGGGTACAATGGTGTGATCTCTGCTCACTGCAACCTCCGCCTCCCAAATTCAAGTGATTCTCCTGCCTCAGCCTCCCAGGCAGCTGAGATTACAGGCCTTCACTACCATGCCCCACTAATTTTTTGTATTTTTACTAGAGACGGGGTTTCACCATGTTGCACAGGCTGCTCTTAAATGCCTAACCTCAGGTGATCCACCTGCCTCACCCTCCCAAAGTGCTGGGATTACAGACGTGAACCACCTCGCCCACCCAGGAATGCCTTTTTTTTTCTTTGAGAAAGTGTCTCGCTCTGTTTCCTAGGCTTGAGTGCAGTGGCGCAATCTCAGCTCACTGCAACTATCGTCTCTTGGGTTCAAGCGATTCTCCTGTCTTAGCCTGCCGAGTAGCCGGGATTACAGGCACCCGCCACATCATGCTCAGCTGATTTTTGCATTTTAATAGAGACAGGGTTTCCCCATGCTGGTCAGGCTGGTCTTGAACTCCCGACCTCAGGTGATCCACCCACCTAGGCCTCCCAAAGTGCTGGGATTACAGGCGTGAGCCAGAGTCCCTGGCCACAATTATTTTTAATTAGATTAGCCATTCTGGCTGAGAATGGCTTTCTTAATGTGCCAAGAAACCATCTAAAATAAGATAATAATATTTTACAAAAATATTAAAGCTCTGTAGTGAAACTATCACAATCAAGTTTTGTATGAGACTATCATAAATACATAAAATATAAACAATTGGCCAGCAGACAGAAATTTATAAGCAATATAACAAAAGAATAGTTACTGTCCACTACTGGATAAAAATGGCCATGGTAATATGACCAAGCAATCATCCGACACAAAAGACTAAAGGCATGAACAAAGGTAACCAACCTCACACAGGAAGGCGGGCGTCCCTTCAAAAGATGAAAGGTAACATTTACCAACGCACACTCTGGTGGAAAGCGTGGAAACAATGACCATTTCCCAGTGTTACTAAAGTTTTTTTTTTTTTTTTTTTTTTTTTTTTTTTGAGACAGTGTCTCACTCCGTTACCCAGGTTGGAGTGCAGTGGCGTGATCTCGGCTCACTGCAACCTCTGCCTCCAGGGTTCAAGGAATTCTCCTGCCTCAGCCTCCCAAGTAGCTGGGACTAAAGGCACATGCCACCACACCCACCTAATTTTGTGCTATTTCTAGTAGTGACGGGGTTTCACCATGTTGGCCAGGATGGTCTTGAACTCCTGACCTCATGATCCACTTGCCTCTGCCTCCCAAAGTGCCTCTAAAAAAATAATGATAATAATAAAAATTTATAAGCCTTATCAGTGAAAAAAAAAAAAGGATCTTATGGAGCTGGGTGTGGTGGCACGTGCCTGTAGTCCCAGCTACTCAGGAGGCTGGCTGGAGGATGCTTGAGCCCAGGAGTTCTGGTCTGTAGTGTACTATGCCGATCAAGTGTCCACACTAAGTTTGGCATCAATATGCTGACCCCCCGGGAGCAGGGGACCACCAGGTTGCCTAAGGAGGGGTGAACTGACCCAGGTCGAACACGGAGTAGGTCAAAACTCCCGTGCTGATCAGCAGTGGGATCAAACCTGTGAACAGCCACTGCACTCCCGCCTGGGCAACATAGCAGGACCTCATCTCACAAAAAAAAAAAAAAAAAAAAAAAATCTTATGGAAGAGTAATATTCCATTCTATTCATGGTGTTCACAGACATCACCACAAATGACATCACAGTAATACTACTACTACTAATGACAGTGTGCAGTTTCTGGCATTCCAATCGATATTGAGTTCTCATTTTTTTCAGTGCTAAATCTTGTTTAAAATTACAATTCTTGGGCTGGTCACAGTGGGTCACACCTGTAATCGCAGTACTTTGGGAGGCTCACATGGGAGAACTGCTTTAAGTCAGGAGTTCAAGACCAGTCTCTTTAAAAAAAAAAAAAAATGGCCAGGCACAGTGGCTCACGCCTATAATCCCAGCACTTCGGGTGGCCAAGGTGGGCAGATTACGAGGTCAAGAGAACAAGACCATTCTGGCCAACATGGTGAAACCCCGTCTCTACTAAAAACACAAAAATTAGCCAGGTGTGGTAGCAGGCACCTGTAATCCCAGCTACTTGGAAGGCTGAGGCTTGAACCCGGCAAGCAGAGGTTGCAGTGAGTTGAAATGCACCATTTCACTCCAGCCTGGGGGTCAAGAGCAACATTCATCCCCCCCCAAAAAATTTTAAATTAACCAGGTGGCTCATGCCTGTAATCCCAGCATTTTGGGTGGCCACAGTGGGCAGATCACTTGAGCCCAGGAGTTGGAGACCAGATTGGGCAACATGGGGAAACCTCATCTCTACCAAACACACAAAAATGGCCAGCATACTGGCCCATGCCTGCGATCCCAGCTACTCAGGAGGCTGACATGGGAGGATTACTTGAGCCTGGGAGGCAGACATTGCAGTGAGTAGTTGAGATCACACCACTGCACCCAACCTGGATGAGAGTGAGACCCCAGTTTCAAAAATAAAAACAACCCAATTAGCTAGGCATGGTGGTGTGTGCCTATAATCTTGGCAGTTTGGGAGGCCAAGATGGGTGGACTGCTCAAGGCCAGGAGTTCGAGAGCAGCCTGGGCAACATGGCGAAACCCTAGCTCTATGAAAAAGACAACAATTAGCTGGGTGTAGTGGCTGCCTGCCTGCGATCCCAGCTACTCAGGAGGCTGAGTTGGGAGGATCACCTGAGCCCAGAGAGGTTGAGGCTGCAGTAAGCCATGACTGCACCACTGCGTTACAGCCTAGGTGACAAAGTGAGACCCTGTCTCAGATGAATGAATAAATAAAAACAATAAATTACGATTATTTGATGCTGAAAATTACTTATACAATCACCGGCCATTTGCATTCATTATCATAAAAGGTGTTCAGGTTACAATGAATTTTAAAAAGGGAGAGATAACAAAGTTCCCAGCCAACAGCAGCAGTCAGTTAATATGAATAGTAATATCTCTAAGCCCAGGACGTCTCACAGTCAGTTAATATGAATAGTAATATCTCTAAGCCCAGGACGTCTCACAGTCAGTTAATATGAATAGTAATATCTCTAAGCCCAGGACGTCTCACAGTCAGTTAATATGAATAGTAATATCTCTAAGCCCAGGACATCTCACAGAATCCAATTTACCTAACACACTTTAAAAGTTCTCATGTATTGGGAGGCCAAACAGGTAGATCACGAGGTCAAGAGATCGAGACCATCCTGGTCAACATGGTGAAACCCCGTCTCTACTAAAAATACAAAAAATTAGCCGGGCATGGTGGCGTGTGCCTGTAATCCCAACTGCTCGGGAGGCTGAGGCAGGAGAATTGCCTGAACCCAGGAGGCGGAGGTTGTGGTGAGCTGAGATCACACCATTGCACTCCAGCCTGGGTAACAAGAGCGAAACTCCATCTCAAAAAAAAAAGTTCTCATGTAGAGCCACACGCGGTGGCTCATGCCTGTAATCCCAGCACTTCAGGAGACTGAGGCGGGTGGATCATGAGGTCAGGAATTCAAGACCAGCCTGGCCAATATGGTGAAACCCCGTCTCTACTAAAATATAAAAATTCGCCGGGCGTGGTGGCACATGCCTGTAGTCCCAGCTACTCGGGAGGCTGAGGCAGAAGAACTGCTTGAGCTGAGATCATGCCTCCGTGCTCCAGCCTGGACAACAAAGCAAGACTCTGTCTCTTAAAAAAAATTCTCACACACATTCACAAATATTTCAGAAAACTTCTATATAAAAATGTTAACAGTGGTTGACTGGGACAAAGAGATTATGGTGATTGGATCTTTTCTTTAATCTCTATTTTTCCATTTTGAAACCTCATTCTGCCCCTCCCCGCATGTGCCATCTGTGCAAGGAAATACTAGACAACGGTCCCATTACCATTTTTCGCTGGAACGTCCTCATACACTGGACACACCCCATAGTACAGAGGAGGCTCCGTAAACTCAGTCGCCCCAGCTCTGGGGGTCCCGGCCCCCGCCACAGTGCTGGGGGGCAACGAGCAGGTCTTGGACGTCAGAGCTTCCTCCTCTGGAGGATTCAGGCCCACACTGTAATCAAAATCTCTGTCTTCAGAAAAACCAGCCTGATCAGTTGGGTTCCCTTCAGCTGCCTTCAAAATCCTTTGTGTGTCTTGTCTGAGAGCTATGGCAGCTGCCTCATGGTGGTCAAAAGAAGACAGCCTTCCTCCTTGCTCCAGTAAAGCCTGAGCCAATTTTTTCTCAAAAATAAACCTTGTAGTTGATGTAATGGGTCCACATTTCAATCCAGCTTTGATGATTTCCTCTCTAAGGTCATCTGGATTCAGAAGTTTCAATTGAGCCAAGACGGCATCCATTGTCATTTCACCTAGGGCCAAGACAACAAAAGTCAAACAGAGTCACAAAACACTAGCACGTGCTAAAGCTGGTGATGGGTACTAGGGTTCATTATTCTTGTATCAATTTCTGTGTATTCCATCAAAAAGTTCTCAGCCAGGCGCGGTGGCTCAAGCCTAGTACAAACCTAGTACTTTGGGAGGCCAAGGTGGGCAGATCACGAGGTCAGGAGATAGAGACAATCCTGGCTAACACGGTGAAACTCTATCTCTACTGAAAATACAAAAAGTTAGACGGGTGTGGTGGCACGTGCCTGTAGTCCCAGCTACTTGGGAGGCTGAGGCAGGAGAATCACTTAAATCTGGGAGGCAGAGGTTGTAGTGAGTTGAGATCGCACCACTGCACTCCAGCTTGGTCAGCAAGAGCAAAACTCCATCCCTTAAGAAAAAAAAAACTTTCTTTTATTTTTTAAGACGGAGTCTCACTCTTTCACCAAGTCTGGAGTGCAGTGGCAGGACCTTGGTTCACTGCCACCTCCACCTCCCGGTTCAAGCAATTCTGCCTCAGCCTCCCAAGTAGCTGAGATTACAGGTGTGTACCACCATGCCCTGCTAATTTTTGTATTTTTAGTAGAGACAGGATTTCACCATGTTGGCCAGGCTGGTCTCAAACCGCTGACTTCAAGTGATCTGCCCACCTTCCCCTCCCAAAATGTTGGGATTAGAGGCGTAAGCCACCATGCCCGGCAAAAAACATTTTTATGATGCCAACCCCTAACCTGCGCAATTCCAAGAACATTTTTTTTTTTTGAGACAGAGTCTCACTGTCATCAGACGCCAGGCTGGAGTGCAGTGGCGCGATCTCAATTCACTGCAACCTCCACCTCCCGAGTTCAAGCAATTCTGCCTCAGCCTCCCAAGTAGCTGGGACTACAGGCGCATGCTACCACGCCCAGCTAATTTTTGTATTTTTAGTAGAGACAGGGTTTCACCATGCTGCCCAGGATGGTCTCGGTCTTCTTGACCTCTTGATCCGCCCGCCTTGGCTTCCCAAAGTGCTGGGATTACAGGAGTGAACCACCGTACCTGGCCAAGAAAATTTTTAAAATGCTGTTATTTATTGGCAGAGGGGATGGTCTTTTCAACAATGAATGAAATCTGCGAAAGACCCCGGAGAGGGAACCTCGTGATCCCAAAATTCTGCCCAGGCATAAGCATGTCACCAGGTTCTCTACGCAGAGACAGTGTGGTGTTGAGGAACTGCTGTGAAGGGCTCTAGCAATCTACAGTGGAGCAGGCACACAGTAGGTCAAAGCCATGTGCAGGGCACAGTTTGAGGGCTGCGGACAAGTGGAGAATAATTATGAATAAACAGAGAGGGTCTGTCTCAGTCCCAGGCAGTGTTCCACTTTTCATACGAACTCTGTCCTTACTCTAATGTCACCTTTTTGGGTTTTTGTTGAGACAGAGTCTCACTCTGCCACTCAGTGTAGTTGCGGAACTACAACCTCTGCCTCTTGGGTTCAAGCAATTCTCCTGCCTCGGCCTCCCAAATAGGTGGGATTATAGGCACCCGCCATCATGACTGGCTAATTTTGGTATTTTTAGTAGAGAGAGGGTTTCACTATGTTGGCCAGGTTAGTTTCCAACTCCTGATCTCAGGTGATCCATCCACCTCAGCCTCCCAAAGTGTTGGGATTATAGGCATGAGCCATCACACCCAGCCTAATGCCACCTTTTTAACATGAGCTAACTGGAGGGAGGTTTTGTCCCTGCAACCAAGCAAGCCCTAAATAGAAAAAGTACATTATATGGCATCACTAATTGTGCAGCCTTAGCCAAGTTATTTAAAACTTTAGACCTCGGTTTCCTCATCTATAAAATGGACATATTGCTGGGCAGGGTGGCTCACGCCTGTAATCCCAACACTTTGGGAAGGCAAGGAGGGTGAATCACCTGAGGTCAGATGTTTGAGACCAGCCTGGCAAACATGGCGAAATCCCATCTCTACTAAATATACAAAAACATTAGCCAGGCGTGGTGGTAGATGCCTGTATTCCCAGCTACTTGGGAGGCTGAGGCCAAGTATCACTTGAACCCAGGAGGCAGAGGCTACAGTGAGCCAAGATCACACCACTGCACTCCAGCCTGGGTGACAGAGTGAGACTGCATCTCAAAAAAATAAAATAAATAAAATGGACATACTAACAGCTCTCCTCCTTAGGGCATAGTGAAAATTGTATAAAATAACGCAGGAGGTCTATGACACTGTGCCTGGCACTGACAAATGACCACAAATGTTAGCAGCTGCTGCTATGCTGTCAAGGGATACAAACTTATTAATCCTTCAGAGTAAGCACATAACATGTTAGAAAGTCGGCTTGAATAAAAAAATGTATGCTGTTACTAACACTCTTAATACAAAACGCAAACGTCTATTCATGTGTGCACAAAGAGAGGAGAAAGTGGAAACTGGGTGGGAACCAGATGGCAAGAACGGAATAAAACAAATGGAGCAGAAGAGATGGGGCGGGTGCTGTGGCACAAGCCTGTCATTCCAGCATGGTGGGAGGCTGAGGTGCGCAGATCACTTGAGTTCAGAAGTTTGAGACCAGCCTGGGTGGGCAACATAGTAAAACCTGGTCTCTACCAAAAAAATTAGCTGAGCACAAAGGTGCGTACCTATGGTCCCAGCTACTCAGGGGGCTAAGCCAGGAGAATCACTTGAGTCTAGGAGATGGAGGCCACAGTGAGCCAAGACAGCACCCCTGCAGTTCATCCTGGGTGACAGAATCAGACCCTGTCTCAAAAAAAAATAAAAAAGAAGAAGAAGGAGGGATGGGGGAGTAATACTTCTGAATTTAAGTTTCTATAGGGTTCTGACTCTTAAAATCATGTTCGTGATTTACATACTCAAGAAATAAGTAAAGCCAGGTGCAGTGACTCACACCTGCAATCATAGCACTTTGGGAGGCCAAGGCTGGTGGATCACTTGAGGTAAGGAGTTTGAAACCAGCCTGACCAACATGGTAAAACCCCGTCTCTACTAAAAACACAAACATTAGCCGGACATGGTGGCACGTGAATCACGGTGCCAGGCCGTCCGTTAATGTTATTTCCTGGTTTGCACATCTGCGGCGTGATTAGGTAAGACATTAACATTTGGGGAATGTAAGCCCTGATACACAAGATTTCTTTTTCTTTTTTGAGACGGAGTCTCTCTCTGTCACCCAGCCTGGAGTACAGTGGTGCAATCTCGACTGCAACCTCCCTCTTCCAAGTTCAAGCGATTCTCCTGCCTCAGCCTCCCGAGTAGCTGGGACTATAGGCATTCGCCACCACACCCAGCTAATTTTTTCTATTTTAGTAGAGACGGGTTTCACTGTGTTGCCCAGGCTGGTCTCAAACTCCTGAGCTCAGGCAATACACCTGCCTCGGCCTCCCAAAAGTTTAGGATTACAGGTGTCAGCCACCCTGCCTGGCCCACAGGATTTAACTTCTCATTTGGCAATAATTACAGACCTAAGTCTATAACATCTAAATGTTGCAAAAACTGAACAGAGAGATCCTGTGAGCCCACCGCCCAGCTTCCCCCAGTGGTTGACATCTTATGTAACTAAAACATTACCAAAACCAGGAAACTGGCACTAGCACAACACAACATCCTCGGACCTCACCAGTCCCCGCAGGCCTTTGTGTAGGTGTCTTGGTGTATAATTCTATGGCAGTTTATCACACGTACAGACTTGTATTAATCACTGTAACAATCAAATACAAAATGGTCCCACTGCCACAAAGACCTCCCTCTGCCGTTCTAGAGACAAGTCCCATCTCCCCCATGACCCCCAGCCTCTGGCAACCACGAATTTGCTCTATCCCACAACTGTGTCATTTTAAGAATGTTACAGAAATGGAATCTTACAGTACACAGCTTTTGAGATTGGCTTTTCCCATTCAGCATAATGCCCTTTAGATCCACCACGTGGCAGAGTGGATGGCTAACGTGTGGCACCCTGTGGCATCAACATGTACGTTTAACCATTCACCCCTAGAGGGACATTTGGGTTATTTCACTTTCTGGCAATTACAAATAGAGTGCCTATGAACATCAAACTTAGGTTTTTGTGTGAAAATAGTTTTAATTTGTCTAAGAGCTCAGGAGTGCAGGGCAGGGTTAACTTCCTAGAAACCTGCCAGGCTGACTTCCAGAGTAGCTGCACTACTTACCATGCCCACCCGCAATGCATGAGACCCAGTTTCTCTACAGCTCTGCTGACTTGTGACAGTATCAGTGTTTTTAATTGCAGCCATTCTCAGAACACCAGCCTCACCCCCAGCCAACTGGTCCAGAGCTCTGCTTGGAGGATGCCACTGGTGACAGTAATAGAGCACTTAGTGGTGCTTCACACATACCAAGTGCTGCACTTGCCCAACTCCCAAAGTATCCTACTGACCAGGCAGCATCATCATCCCTATTCCTAACCCAGCAGGCTAAAAACAGACACATTAAACCCACAGCAATAAGTGGTAAGGCCGGTGTGGTGGCTCATGTCTGTAATCCCAGCACTTTGGGAGGCCGAGGGAGGAGGATCACCTGAGGTCAGGAGTTCAAGACCAGCCTGACCAACATGGTGAAGCCCCGTTTCTACTAAAATTACAAAAATTAGCCGGGCATGGCAGCAGGCACCTATAGTCCCAGCTAGTCGGGAGGCTGAGGCAGGAGAATCACTTGAGCCCGGGAGATGGAGGCTGTAGTGAGTCAAGTTCGCACCACTGCACTCCAGCCTGGGCAACAGAGCGAGACTCGGTCTCAAAAATAAATAAATAAATAAGTGGTAGGGCCAGGACACAAACTCACACAATCGTACAGGAATCCCCACTCAATCATCAGAAAGCACTGCTCTCCAGCAACTCACAGTCTGACAATTCAGAGTAAAAACAAACTCAGCGTCCCCCACTGGAGTCTAGCACCATGCTTCAGACGCCAGATATGTGGGGTTTTCTCCCCACAAATCACGAGGTGATCAGTTCTGCTGTGGACACAGGCTGGGTGTGGTCTGTGCAGTTCCATTCTTTTTTTTTTTTTGAGATGGAGTTTCGCTCTTGTTACCCAGGCTGGAGTGCAATGGCACGATCTTGGCTCACCGCAACCTCCGCCTCCTGGGTTCAGGCAATTCTCCTGCCTCAGCCTCCTGAGTAGTTGGGATTACAGGCACGTGCCACCATGCCCAGCTAATTTTTTGTATTTTTAGTAGAGACGGGGTTTCACCTTGTTGACCAGGATGGTCTCCATCTCTAGACCTCGTGATCCACCCGCCTCGGCCTCCCAAAGTGCTGGGATTACAGGTGTGAGCCACCGCGCCCGGCATGTCCAGTTCCATTCTAATTCGGTAATCTCTTCTGAGAGCATCTTCCTGGAGACAGCCTCAGACCCCACAGGTTAAGGGCTCAGCCCCACAAGACTGCCCCCCACCCCCAGGGCCAAGGCTTTTTGACCTGCGCTTCCGACGGAGCACAACTGGGGTCCCCACAATCCCCTTCTCCAGTTCCATTAATTTGCTAGAGTGGCTCCCGAACTCAGACATGTTTTATTTACTTACACTAATCAGCAAAATATAAAGGGTTACATAGAACACAGGTGGAGAGATGCGTGAGGGAAAACTGGGGGAAAGGGCTTGGAGATTCAGGGCCTCTCGGGCACCGCCCCCAGGAACCCCCGCGTGCTATGTGGAAGCTCCCTGAACCCAGCCCTTTCTGGTTTTTACAGAATCTTCATTTCACAGGCATGATTCATCAGCCATTGGTGATCAGCTCCACCTTCAGCCCTCCCCGGAGGTTGGGGATGGGACTGAAAGTCCCCAAAACCTCTAACCCTGCCTTGGTCTTTCCTGCGACCAGCCACCAGTCCACTCAGCCCACAAAGGACATCAGTTTGGAGGTTCCAGGGACTTTAGGAGTTGTGCTCCGGGAAAAGGGAATAGAAATGGAGTAATATACAGTTCACAATATCAGTTACCTCAAACTTAAAATGACCCAAACCCACTTCTGCTCTCCACACCCCCAGACCCGACAGCCTACCCCAAAGCAATGAACACCCACGTCTCCGTGGCCTCCAGCCGCAAACGCCGAAGTCACACTCGCCTTGACGTCTCTACCTTACGTTCAGTGGCGAGTAACTGCGGTGGCTTCACACTCCAAACACAACCGGGATCCAGGGGCTTCCTCCCCCGGCCACCCCCACCCGAGCCGTCCCTCCCAGGTCTCCATCTGCCACGGCAAGCGTCTACGCCAACGCCTCGCCGAGCCCCGCCGCCTCCTGGCCCCCGACGCGCCGCTACCTCGCAGCCCTCCCCGGAGGCTGCTCCCGATCCCCCGACCCCAGCCCGGGAAGCCAGGTCCCCCCAACTGCCCTTTCCGCGGTCGGAATGGCCTTTCCCGAGCGTCCGCGGGCCGGCCACCCTCCCGCCAGGTCCCGAGCGTCTCGCGCCGCGCTCCGGTTCTCGCGGTGGCCTCGCCCAACTGCAGCCGGCGCTGGGAGCTGGAGGAGCGCGGCCGGGCCGGAGCCAGGGGACAGGGTCAGGGCGGGGAACGGGCCGGGGTGCCGGGGCCCAGCGACTGCCCGGGCCTTACCTGAGGCTAGGGCCGCGGCCGCGCGCGGCGGAGGGACGGGGGTCCCGCTGCGGCCCAGGACCCCCGGCCGCGGGCCCAGCCGCCGCACCAGCCACCGCACAGCGATCAGCAGCACCGAGGCGCCCAGCAGCTCCCAGGCCAGAGCTGCCCACTCGGCCGCCGCCAACCGCGGCCACAGCATCGCAACCACCCGGGCCACAGCCGCCTCAGAGCCCGCGCCCCGCGCCGCGCCCGTCCCAGGACCCCGCGCCGGGCTGCCCGCGCCCTGCCTGACGGCGCCGCGCTCGGGGCGGCAGGGGCAGCCCGGGCGGCGCGGGGACACGAGCAGCGGCCCCACTCACGGAGGCCCAGCTAGGGCGCGGTCCCGGCTCGGGGACCCAAGCGGGCGGGGACAGGCGAGCGCACGGGCGGGCGTGGCAGGCGGGTCGCGGGCAGCCCGACGCGGGGTCCTGGGACCTGCGCGTCGCGCGGAGCGTAAAGTGCAGGCGGGGGCGGGGGCCACGGAGGCCGCCGGGGCTGGGATTGGGACGGTGGTTGTCCGCTGCCTTCGGGGCCTGGACCTGGCCTCCCTGCGGCGCTCCGTGGCTACGAGAGCAGAGCGGCCTTCTGGGCGTGCGGCCGCCAGGTTCGTGTGCTCCGAGCCCGAGGACCGCTTGCGGCCGCCGCCCAGTCCCGGGGCAGGAGTGAGGAGGCGCCTCTCACTTCCACGCGAACCGGCAGGACGCGGCGCGGGGGAGGCCGCTGGAGCTTCCAGTTTACGTTTCTTCACCAAGCTGTCGAAAGCGTGGATTTTGCCGGGCGCAGCGGCTACGTCCGGAGTCCTAGCGCCTTGGGAGTCCAGGCGGGCGGATCTCCTGGACCTAGGAGTTTGAGACCAGCCTGGGCAAATATTTTTAAAGTCATGGCAAAAGCCGCAGTTACTTTTGCACCAACCTAATAGACCCTGTCTCGAAAAAAGGTGCAGGAGGATTTTACTGTATGTAAACCCTGTAACCCCAACACTTTGGGAGGCCGAGGCGGGCGGATCACCGGAGGTCAGGAGTTCGAGACCAGCCTGGGCAACATGGCGAAACCCCATCTCTACTAAAAATACAAAAACTAGCCGGGTGCGGTGGCACGCGCTTGTAATCCCAGCTACTTAGGAGGCTGAGGCGAGAGAATCGCTTGAACCCGGGAGGCGGAGGTTGCAGTGAGCCAAGATCGCGCCACTGCGCTCCAGCCTGGGGACAGAGCGAGACTCGGGAAGGCCCCTCGATACACTAGAAGTGGGTCCTCACCACCTACTCAATCTGCAGGCACCTGATTTTGCATTTCCAAGCCTGCAGAACTGAGAGATCTCCGCTAATCGTAATCTCCCAGTTTACAGTATTTTATTAGAGCAGCCACAACGACTAAACGGATTGAGACAACCTTCCAGTGGCACAGCCGTGCAGCCCTAGGGATTTACCCTAGAGCAACGAACTTGGAAATCCACAGAGATTTGTTCATAGCAGCTTTGTTCAAAATATGGTAGCCTCAAACTGGGAACACCCCAAAAGAATGTCAGTAGGTAAACAGACAAATTGTGAAATTGTCATAGGCACATGCTGTCATCACATAGTCATATACTATTCAGGAACAACATGGCTGAATCTCAAAAATACACCATGCAAAAGAAACCAAATATAAAAGAATGCATACTATACAATTTCATTTGGTTGTGTTTTTTTGTTTTGTTTTTTTTTGAGATGGAGTCTCTGTGTTTCCCAGGCTGGAGTGCAGTGGTACGGTCTCACCTCACTGCAACCTCCGCTCCCCTGGGGTTAAAGTGATTCTCTTACCTCAGCCTCCCAAGTAGCTGGGATTATAGGTGCATGCCACCACGCCTGGCTAATTTTTGTATTTTGAGTAGAGACAGGGTTTTGCCATATTGGCCGGGCTGGTCTCGAACTCCAGACCTCTGGTGATGCACCCCTCCCCCTGCCACCCGGCCTCCCAAAGTGCTGGGATTACAAACATGAGCCATCCCATCCGGCTGCCATTTATGTCTTAAGCACAGGAAAGCTTATGGTGAGAGAACTCAGAACGGCCGCTGACTCTAACGGGGTGGTTACATGGAAAGGGGCATGAGGAGCTTTCTCAAGGAGATGCTCTATATCTTGTGTGGGTTGATAATAAACTGGGCACACATTTGTCAAAACTCATCAAAGTTTTGGATACAAGGTTGATAAATGGGAAGAAAAATTTATTAAACTGTAAAATCTGCCTAGCTGGGCATGATGGCTCACACCGTAATCCCAGCACTTTGAGAGGCCAACGGAGGCGGATCACCTGAGGTCAGGAGTTCGAGATCAGCCTGATAACATGGAGAAACCCTGTCTCTACTAAAAATACAAAATTAGCCAAGCATGGTAGCGCATGCCTGTAATCCCAGCTACTTTGGAGGCTGAGGTAGGAGAATCGCTTGAACCAAGGAGGCGGAGGTTGCGATGCGCCCAGATGGCGCAATTGCACTCTAGCCTAGGCAACAAGAGCGAGACTGTCTCCAAAAAAAAAAAAAATCTACCTAAATTTAAAAACAGAATAAGGAGTACCTTGTTAGAGGGAAAGCTTGCCACTGCCATTTTTGGTTAGTACTGTCGTCAGCACCTCCCAGCTTTGACTTCTACGAACATGTGCCATCTCCGCTGCCTGCCTCTGGGTAACTGGGTGAATTACTTACTTCCCTGAGCCTCAGGCTTCTTACTGGTAAAATGAGGATGATCATAGTGTCTACCTGGCTGGTCATGGTGGTTTATACGTATAATCCCAGCATCCTGGGAGGCGAATGGAGCATCACTTGAGCCTAGGAGGTGGAGACCAGCCTGGGCAACATGGCAAGACACTGTCTGTACTAAAAATTAAAAAATTAGCTGGATGTGGTGGCACATGCTTTGTGGAGGGAGGATCACTTGAGCCTGGGAGGTCAAGGCTGCAGTGAGCCAAGATTGCGCCACTGCACTCCAGCGTGGGAGAGAGAGAGACAGAGGGAGACCCTGTCTAAAAAAGAAACAAACATATACATACATAAATAAAAAGGTAATTACATAAGTCCTTGCCACAGAGCGCTCCATACACAAGTTTTTACACTACTTTGATAGTTTAAACCTTAAATTCAAGTGTTACATAGATGCATGCTATACAGGGGTGGCAGGGTTCCTGCCCATCATAGGGACTTTGTCATCTGAATCATAAACCCAAGTAGCTCTGGGAGACCTGAGAACTGACTTGGAAAGTGGTCAGCTGTGGTCAACTGCTGCCACAGTGTCCACACTCCAGCCTTAATAACAGAACCTCCCAGTGGGCAGTGGACACGCTGCCATCCCCTGAACACATCCAGCGGCCACGTGACTAAGCAAAGGCGATGGAGGGTGGACGGACGGTGACGGATGCAGCCCCGAAGCTGACCTTACAGGAGCATCCACAGTGTGCGTCCCCGTCCTTCCTCTCCCTTCTCACCTTGGAGGGGGACTGGAAGTGGGACCGGGAGAGCTGTTCTCAGCAGGCGGACGCTGAGGATCAGCAGGGATGGATGGCATTTTTGTTCTCGCACTGTGAAGCTGTCCTGGTTAGTCCTGTTTTCATGCTTGAGGGCTCTGGTGCAGCAATTCCACCAGCCTGAGCAGATCATGACACCAGGACTTCTGTGGAATCCAGGAAAGCAGCTAGGCTCCTGCTGGGCTGTGCCCTCACCCCCATCTAATGCATTCACACTCAGTTAAATGAGAAGAGAATAATCACAGGAAAACGTGGAGAAAAACTCCACTGTTCAGCTGCCAACCCTATACTGACCGCTGTTTAGGTAAAAATGAAAACATTTGAGATGTAAACTTCTGCAGATAGAAGTAGACTCCCAATGAATGAACGAAATGAAACTTACTAGAATCAGCGGCCTTTTCTGAGAGCAGTTCTGATTTTATTGCTAAGTGTAGCTTAACTTCACTTCATGTCTGATCCCAGGTCACAAGGGGGCCGTGTGAGCCCCAGGGATTGAGTGGGGAGGTCTAATCCACACCTGTCTCGAACATCCTTCAGTGAGAGAAGAGTGAGAACCTGCTTGTTTGGGGAATCGAGACATTCTGGAGGGCAGGAGATGAGGATGGAGGTCTGCCCAGAGGGTGGCAAGCACTGCTACTTCGGTTGGTGAGGATTTGACCATGAGACCAACTTCCCACCGGCCACAGAAAGGTTTAACTGGAGGAGTAAGAGGGTCTGATCCGCGTTTTCAAGGGAGGCCACTGCTGTAGCGTGAGGAACGCATTGGAAAGGTGTGGAGTCGAGGCAGCGAGTTCTTGTAAAATAAGCCTACAGGCTAGCCCCCAGGCCTGGCTGTAAAATGCCCCCGGACACACATGCCAGCACCTTCAGTCTTCATAGCACCTGAGAGCAGGCTCCCGTAGCAGGAGGAATGACCAGAGGCGAACGCATCCCAGTTGCCCAGTAACTGCTGTGAACTGGGCAATGTGAGACGGAGGAAGCCAAATCTCCAGCAGTCTTTCACAGCTCTAGAATTTACACTTTACAGGCCAAATTTCGATAGATTTTTTGTTTTTCTGACACAGGGTCTCATGGGCGTGATCACTGCTCACTGCAGCCTTGACCTCCTGCACTCCAGCGATCCTCACGCCTCAGCCTCACAAGTGCTGGGATTACAAGCATGAGCCACCGCACCCAGCTTATATTTCAATTTTATCTTCATAAAAGACCCAGGTAGGTGGAACAATGTGATACTATCCCACTTACTGAGAAAAACAGCCCCAGGAATAAGCCCTAGATTAACAGGGATTAGCTATTTTTTCCTTCCTCTTCTTTTTTCAATATTAATTGGGTTACCTTACTTTAAAGGCCATTAAGACTGCTATCAAGGGCTGTTTGTGGAATGGCCTGTGTTACATGCAGTAGGGTCTGGTCAGGAAAAGAGCCCAGTCCAGGTGGTTCAGCAGAGGAAGTACAGGCACAGGGACCGCACCAGCGGGATGCCGGAGATCCTCAGCTGGAGGAGGTCACGGGCCCCAAGTAGAAAGGCACACACTCCACAACCAGGCAGGACCTGGGCTGATGCAGGGAATGAGGGACACCAGGGGAGCTGCAGCCGTGACCGTCAGACGCCCAGCCAGAGGGACTGCCCGACACAGGCAGGTGGCGGCGGGAGGGCTTTCTGGGTGAAGATGGGGGCATTTTTAAAAGTTTTTGGGAAGATCCACTTGACATATCTATCTAGTCTCCAGAAATGCATGTTTAATGTTCAGAAGGAATCTTGCAACAATTGAAATGCTGTGGGAGAGGCTCTGTGAGGGAGACGAGAACTGACCCTCTCTGGGATTCAGGGCATTTAGACATGACATCCAAAAATATTTCAGCCAGGCGCGGTGGCTTACGCCTGTAATTCCAGCATTTTGGGAGGCCAAGGCAGGTGAATCACCTGAGGTCAGAGTTTGAGACCAGCCTGACCAACACAGTGAAACCATCTTTACTAAAAATACAAAATTAGCTGAGCGTGGTGGCGGGCACCTGTAATCCCAGCTGCTTGGGAGGCTGAGGTAGTAGAATCACTTGAACCTGAGAGGCAGAGGTTGCAGTGAGCTGAGATCACGCCACTGCACTCCAGCCTGGGCAACAAGCATGAAATCATCTCAAAAAAAAAAATGTGTATATACATATATATGCGTATTTCACTGTGAAGGTGGTATCCCCGCCGTGTGTAGAAAAGCCCACAAATCTGCAGAAACCTCCGGGCCGTGGGCTGCAGAGACAACCATCGCGGTGGTGCCCCGGAGCTGCTCCCCAGGTGCTCTGGAGGATACTCTGCTTTTGGGGCTGGAGGTGCCCACCTCATCAGTAACTGAGGTGTCCCCAAGCCCTCAGCTACCTCAGGCACCCACGATCGGCCCTCACGTCTCCCAGAGGCTCCATCACCTTCAGCCCTCACTTCCGCTGCAGTCAGACCTTAGAGACGTGGACACTGCCAAGGTCATTCCCAGCGGGTAATGGAGCCAGCTGGAGGGCTGTAGACGCCCCCACCCCCCACACAGTGAACAGAGGGCACTGCAGACAATGGCAGAGGCGGCTCAGCAGCAGTTTCACATCGCCCTGCGTCCAGGAGAAAGGCCTCTGTCCAAGCACACCTTTTACCGCAACCTGGAACATTCACCCTCAGACGAAGCATGTGTAGAGGCAGCTGAGTTCCAACAAACGCTTCTGACTGTGGATGCCCCCGAGTGCTGGAATTCCCCTCATCTCGGAAAGGCTTGGGACGCTGCCGGCAACTATCACGTTTACCCACCAAACTACATGACAGGAGTGTAAACAATCATCTTAGTGTCCCCTGTAATTGCTTCCTCTTTTTTTTTTTTGTCTTCCTCTGTAACCCAGGCGGGAGTACAACGGCACAAACTCTACTCACTGCAACCTCCACCTCCGGGGTTCAAGCAGTTCGCCTGCCTCAGCCTCCCAAGTAGCTGGGATTACAGGTGCTCACCACCAGGCCCAGCTAATTTTTGTATTTTTAGTAGAGATTGGGTTTCACCATATCAGCCAGGCTGGTTTCAAACTCCTGACCTCAAGTGACTCCCAAACTGCTGGGTTTTCAGGCGTGAGCCACCACCCAGCCTGCTTCCTAATACTACGTGAGGTCTCAGATTTCTCAGTGACTTAGTGATTTTTAAATCCTGAGCCTCCCATCAGCCATACATCCTTGGTAGTACACTCAACCCAAATTCCCAACAGTACCTGCTACCTCTAAGCCAAAAGTAGTGACCCATCCATCTCTGCCAAAACCACTCGTGAGACCCACTGCTCAGCCCCGTAGCAGGATGCAGCGTGCAGCACTGAGCTACTTAAGCAAACAGACACAGCTTAAAATCCACCTGTCAGCCCGTCAGTGCAGCAACTGCAAACACTTAGCAACTCCATGGAGAAAGGGAAAAAGTTCAGATACAAACATGTCCCCTGAAGGGTTACTATAAACAAAAAAGAAAAAAATCATATCCTTAATATTTCATATTTCAGAAAGTTAAAGCCACAAACGAAGGTGGTCAGGGAATTTTCATTCTGATCTGTGTATTAATTCCCTGTGTACAGAAGCTGCTAATGCAGTCACTAGAAAAAAATACATGAATCCCAGCAGGCCAAACCCTGCAACCACTGCTTCCTGCCCCTTTTCTGTCCTTTTTAAACCATGGTGGCCTCTAATAACGGCAAACTGAAAACTCTACACCTTGTTAATTTTTTTTTTATGTAGTCTCACTCTGTCACCCAGGCTGGAGTGCAGTGGCAAAATCTCAGCTCACTGCAACCTCTGTCCCCCGAGTTCAAGTGATTTTCCTGCCTCAGCCTCTTGAGTAGTGGGGATTACAGGCATGAGCTACCACAGCAAGCTAATTTTTGTTTAGTAGAGGTTGGGTTTCACCATGTTGGCCAGGCTGGTCTTGAACTCCTGACCTCAGGTGACCCACCCCCTCAGCCTCCTGAAGTGCTGGAGTTACAGGCGTAAGCCCGTGCCTGGCTACGCCTGGTTAATTCTTATTGATCAAAATCAAAGTACGGATGACAAAGACAAGAGAATCTGGGAAGTCACATTGCTGAGGTGTGAGAGTCATGACCCACTGTCCCCAGGGAGGCCCAGAAGAGGCCAGCACCTGGAGGATGAGGCCTAGTTCAGGAGGTGCTGCACAGAGTGGCCACCCTCCATCCCCGGGTTCACCAGGAAGCTCTCTTCCCTCCGTTTCTACTCCTGGCTGATGGCTACAAGTGAAGTGGGGGCTGAGGGGGAGGAGGCGGTACCATCTTCTGCCATGGCCACTAGTCACAGGCTTCCCGCGCTGCCTGAAACTGGCAGGACAGGAGAATCTGATTTTAAAGAAAAGAGTTGAACAGAGTGTGTAGTAACATGAGATTAAAAGGTTACTCCCAAAATGACAAAATATAAATATTAAAATGAACTTTCCAATGAATATGAACATCTTTACCAAAAAATAGTTTATTGCACAAAATTTAAGGAATTCCCAAGCACACTTAATTTGTAAAAAATCAACGTGCTTTTTAAAGTTACACTGTCAGACATGGTGACCCCTTTCTCCAGAACCGCCACAACTTGAGAACTCTCTTTAGTGAGGAATTTTTAATACAAATGAGTAACTCAAAAGCAGTGCATTTTCCAGACCCTCTAAAGCATCTCCCTCAGGACCTCTCAGAGCCTGAGACCACGGCAAGGTGAGACTTGCCGGGACCTTCTGGTCAGTGAGCTTGCGGGAACCAGGCTCAGAACGTCTCACCCCACAGAGGCTCCTCGAAGGGAGGCCCCGGGACGTTCCTCTCAGATCTGCTGGTCCCCTCAGGCCCTCCTAGAATCTTTACACACAACATTCTGTTTTTGTTTAAAAACCTCGTGAAAGTGGGAGTCGATGTGGTGGTGACTACAGGCCCATGGCTTTGGTGGTATCCTTGTGCCAAGGAAGAGAGTTGAGGCAAGCTCGCTAGGGCAGCCCAGTGCCCCACAGGCCGTGTTCTGGTGGACCCAGCCTGAGGAGAGTCAGTTTCACATCCTGTCAAAAACACTGCCTGATCCACATTCCAAAGACTGGGAAGACACCCGTGGCATCAGTCTCACACACACCATGGAAAAATACATGAAAACCACGTTACATTTTTTTGGGGGAACATAAGAAAAACAAGAAATGACATTATGAAGTGCCCAAGCCAACATTCCCGGCGAGGCTGTGACACTCGGCGTGGGGATGAACACGCTGCATAATTCGATGGGGACCCTGTTCTATAAGCAACACGCCCAACTTGACTGCTTTTTCCATGAGGCTATCATCATTTCCACAACAACAATTCAAACTTTACTCACAGAAGAATCTAACTCTGGGAGGTAGAAGTGCCAGGCGAGTCCCTTGGAGAGAAGAACATAAAAATCCTCAACAATAAAGAAGGCAATTTAAAAATCCAACTTTGGCCAGGGGTGGTGGCTCACTCCTGTAATCCCACCACTTTGGGAGGCCCAGCTGGGTGGATCACCTGAGGTCAGGAGTTGGAGACCAGCCTGGCCAACATGGTGAAACTCCACCTCTCTAAAAATGCAAACATTAGCCAGGCGTGGTGGCGGGCGCCTGTAAAACCAGCTAGTTGCGAGACGGCCACAGGAGAATCAATTGAACCCAGGAGGCGGAGGATGCGGGCAGCGGAGACTGCGCCACTGCACTCCAGCCTGAGAGAGAGTGAGACTCCGTCTCCAAAATAAAAAAAATTCAAAAAAAATCCAACTTCCTCTAGCCTGAAGGCAGTATCTGCATGAACACAAGAGGCCTCTGATCCAGAACCACCAGCCGTGCATGAAAACACCAACAGAAAACAGAAGATTCACAGCAGGGAACAAAGGCAGCCAGGCCCCGCCAAATTGGAGGGGGCCCTGGCACGGGTGGCGACAGAGCGCCGGGGGAGGCACTGCGCCGGAGGGCACACACAGGAAAGCCGGCGTGAGAAACGTGGAGCTGCCTTCACTGAGTATTTTCAGAATTAGTTTGTCCTCAGAGAAAACAAACACATGGTGAACACCACTCACTTGGGGACTTTCCACAAGCAAGAAGTCGCTCCCCACCGAATGTCTGTGTGATTTCTTGATTTTATTTATTTTTGTCTAGACAGACTCTCGCTCTGTCACCCAGGCTGGAGTGCAGTGGTGCAATCTCGGCTCCCCACAACCTCCGCCTCCCGGGTGCGAGCAATTCTCCTGCCTCAGCCTCCGAACAGCTGGGATGACAGGCTCGTGCCACCACGCCTGGCTAATTTTTTGTATTTTTAGTAGAGACGGTATTTTGCCACGTTGGCCAGGCTGGTCTGGAACTCCTGACCTCAGGTGATCTGCCCACCTTGGCCTCCCAAAGTGCTGGGATTACAGGCATGAGCCACCACGCCCAACCCGATTTCTTGATTTTAAAATTAAAACAAAGAGGCAGTACAGCCAAAATAAATAAGAACGTAAATTACCATATTTTTTCTCTCATAATACATGAACAATTTAGTAAATAACATCTTTAACTTAAGATAAAAAGTAGGATATATTTATAATGAACTTTTCAAGTATTATTTCAAAATTAACCCTGTACAAGTGATATATCTATTTTGGAAGTTCCAATACTTGCTAGAGAATATTTTTTAAATACCAAACATCTTTGCGGTTGATGCTACCTTAAGCTTACCAATTAACCTTCTAAAAGTATATGACAACAGAACAGTAATAGCTTAAAAACTCCATACCATTTTCTCCACAAAACAGACACATCTGGACTTGCCAGTGACACTCAGAACCTCGTTCAGACCAGCACAACTGCAAAGAGGCCATGTGGACCCATTCTCTCTCTCTGTCTACTAACTCAGACAATAAATTATTTTAGATTTTCTTAGCAAACTAGGGGACAACTTACAGACCTCAGCTCTCCCGGCCAGCCAGTGTATACAATGTTTCAGGACTTGGAGTTGGAAACAGAAGATCTCACACACTAAGCGCTGATTTTAAATAAGGCATCTGTTTCTGAGACACCTTGGGAGACCACAGCCACCTTCCTCATGGTGCTGACCTGTGTCTTCCAGAAAGTGTCTCTGCTCTGCAGACGATGCTGGTACAGCCACAAAGGACCCAGGACTTCTCTCGATGACTGCACCAACACAGGCATTCCTACACACCCTGGTAAAGATTTTCACTTGGGGCATAGAAGTTCGAGGCCTGCAGAAAGGCTTGTTACCACCTGTGGTCTATGCCTGGCTGTGGCTCCAGGGGAAACCGCAGGAGTCCCTGCCAGCTCTCCTCCTCCTCCATCCTCCTTCCTCTCCCTTTGGCCTCTCCCTGTGCCCCCCAAATGCCAGGTCAGACACGGGGCCTCAGTGTCTTTGTGTCTCTGGATGGCCATCAGGTCTGATCAAGGGTCTGAGCTGCCCCTTCCCAATGGCCAGTGACCTGAGAGGAAGAGACTGACAGGAAGGAAAGGCCCTCAGCAACAAAGTAAAACCACAACAACAAAGGACCCTTCCTGGGTAAGAATATTTGGCTTTAGAAGGTAAATAAATTATCGTTCTTAGAATTTTCTGACTGATATCCCTACATCCTACAGGTACATATTCCCAACAACAAATTTTCAAAAGGCAATCAATAAGAAAACAAGTAGGTTCACCTTAAATACTATGAACATTTGCTTCTTAAAGACTGGGTTACAGGCCAGGCACGGTGGCTCAGCCTGTAATCCCAGCACTTTGGAGGCCAAGGTGGGCATATCACTTGAGGTCAGGAGTTTGTGACCAAGCCTGGCCAATGTGGTGAAACCCGTCTCTACTAAAAATACAAAAATTAGCTCGGCGTGATGGTGTGTGCCCGTAATCCCAGCTACTCAGGAGGCTGAAGCAGGAGAATCATTTGAACCTGGGAGGCAGAGGTTGCAGTGAGCTGAGACTGTGCCACTGCCCTCTAGCCTGGTGACAGAGCAAGACTCTGTCGCAAAAGAAAAAGCTTGGCTTACGATCTTCAGTGTCAGTGTACACATCCTATGGTGGGATGGGTATCAAAAAAACCAATAAAGTAAAAAGCCAAAGGTGCAAATAAAATTTCATCTGCAGAGAAGTAAAGCCCTTGCTGAAGGGACAGGGAAGTGTGCGGGTGCTGGTGCCAGACCCCGTCATTCAGAGCTTCTCCCAGCCACCGGCTGCGGCACCCCGCAGAGAGCAGCGACCCAGGCAGAGATTCTCTCCTCCCAGCCACCGACCGGCACCCACCGAGAGAGCAGCAGCAGCTGCTACTCAGAAGACAGGTCCTTCGGCAAATAACCTTCACACACGTTAGAAACTCTTCACCGAGAGCCTCCTGGGCTTGGTCATTCCATGGGAAAAGCTAATTGTGATCTTCGAGTGTGTTTCTAATCCTCGGCTCTCATTCTGTTATATACTTTACTCCTTGTTAAATTCCATCTCTCAGAAAAACATGGATCACACAATCAAATAAATAACATTGCTAAGAGCATTCCTGGGCAGCAGCAGTCACTGTCCTGGCCCTTCTTTGGAAACCCTGCTCTGGCTGTGTCTCTGAGTGTCACCCCGGGGGTTGGCATGATCCCCATGGGGTGCAGGGCTGGCAGTGGCAGGCTCTGCGAGTCGGCCTTCCACCTGGGTCCATGAGGACAGGGACTCATGCACTGTGAGGGTGTGCTCCTCCATCTGGCGCTGCAGACTGTCCATCTCCTGCCTGGGAGACAGAGGCAAAGAAGGCACAGGTCACACGAGTACCAGGTCTCAAAACACACCAGCAACAAGCCTGACCCCGACATGCCCTTGCTCGCTAGCATCTGAGTGGACATGGTGCCTTCAGGGACCCACACACCAACCGAGGCCACAGAAGCTCAGCGTCCATGGCACTGTTCTCTACACTGTGCACAGGACAACACATGTGGCTCTGGCTTCTGCTTCCACGGGGTGTGTGCAGAGGACACAGGCTCAAGGACCAGTCCTGACCAGGCCGCCACAGAGCTGAAGCTGTCACCGAGGCCAAGCACAGACTTCTACTCCCTGTTAACCTGCCCTCGGGATGCCACCTGGCCCCGCCCTACACACACTGCCTCAGCCTCAGGCTTCCAGGTGTGCAGGATGTGGCCTTCCAGCTCCCAAGGGCCTGTCAGGGTAGTTTAACGGCAAGCAGTTTCCGCCTTGCCATCTGAGTTCAGAGACTGCATGAGTTACCCCCCACTCTACATAAACCTGCTCAAACTCTGCTGGGCATTCAATCAATGCTGGCATGAGGAGAGTCCTCCCAGCTCAACAGGGCATGAATCTTGAAGACTAGCTGAAGCACAGCATGGAACATGGTCATACTTGAGCTGCTGGAGGCAGCTGTTCAGGTTCTTGAGGGGCTCCTTGCTCACAGCGGGTGGTGGCCGCAGCAGCTCCTCCAGCAGTGAGGCCGGGACAGGGCAGTCAGGGATCTTGATGGGCGTGGCGGGGCTGGAGGAGCTGGCCTCGCCTTTTGGCTCCTTCCTCTGTTTTTAAAAGCACATGGTTAGACTTCCCACCATCCCCTCCCTCATCCCGTCCCTCAGGTCAGACACTCTAGCACAGCATGTGGCAGACGGGCTTCCCTAGCTGGATGGATGCGGGGCCTCTGGGAAGGGGACAGTCCTGGCCGCCACAGCAGCACAGCCTGACAGTCCCTGGAGCTCCCGAAGAGCTGGCTGAGTAAACACCTTTATTCTTAAGGCACAAAACCATAGCAAAGCAGAGACAACCTGAGTCCTGGGTCTGCAGGAGGGCGGAGCCCAGCCGTAAACTACAACTCTCTCAGAAGCTTCCCATCAGAGACACAAGGCCTTGACTTGAAATTTTCCTCAAAATTAAATAAATTTCCAGCTTAGGCTCCCTTTTCTCGGACTTAAAACTTTTTCCACTGGGCACGGTGACTCACATGCCTATAATCCTAGCACTTTGGGAGGCTGAGGCAGGAGGATCACGAGGTCAAGAGATCGAGACCAGCCTGGCCAACATGGTGAAACCTCGTCTCTAACAAAAATTGAAAAATCAGCTGGGTGTGGTGGCACATGCCTGTAGTCCCAGCTACTCGGGAGGCTGAGGCAGGAGAATCGCTTGAACCTGGGAGGCGGAGGTTGCAGTGAGCCGAGATCGAGCTAATGCACGATCAGCCTGGCGACAGAGCGAGACTCCATCTAAAAGAAACCCAAAAACAAAAACAAAACTTTTCCACAGATAGACACAGGACACTAAGTGGCCTCTGAATCCCAGCGCTGCCCTCCCTCCTGCCTCCTGGGAAGCATGGATGTGGACCGAGCACAGAAGCCACCAGGCACCTGGGCACTATTCCCGGGCCCCAGCCCTTCACACACAGCAGGGACTGCCTAACATACACAGCCAAGTCACAGAGCAGCCTCTCATCTGCTTTACAAAGCACGTGATAGCAACGTGGCATTGAATTCACGGGATGAGGCAAACATTGTCGGGAAAGGAACCAGAGTGAAATGATTTCGTTTGTCGTCCAAGCAGGGTTCTCCATTACCATTTACCTTACACAGCAGCTGCTCAGTGCTGGTTCGACATATCCATTTACGTCTGAATGACTACGACCTCTGCCAGCCTCGCCTCCCAACCAATCTACAGCACACGGTCCCCAGAAGGGACGCGGGCCTGAGCAAACGAATCTACAGCACACGGTCCCCAGAAGGGACGCGGGCCTGAGCAAATGAATCTACAGCACACAGTCACCAGAAGGGACGCGGGCCTGAGCAAATGAATCTACAGCACACGGTCCCCAGAAGGGACGTGGGCCTGAGCAAACAAATCTACAGCACACGTCAGCCACCCCGGAAGGGACGCGGGCCTGAGCAAACGAATCTACAGCATACGTAAGCCACCCCGGAAGGGACGCGGGCCTGAGCAAACGAATCTACAGTACACGTCAGCCACCCCGGAAGGGACAAGGGCCTGAGCAAACGAATCTACAGTACACGTCAGCCACCCCGGAAGGGACAAGGGCCTGAGCAAACGAATCTATAGCACACGTCAGCCACCCCGGAAGGGACGCGGGCCTGAGCAAACGAATCTACAGCACACGTCAGCCACCCCGGAAGGGACGCGGGCCTGAGCAAACGAATCTACAGCATACGTCAGCCACCACGGAAGGGACGCGGGCCTCAGCAAACGAATCTACGGCATCACCCCGGAAGGGACGCGGGCCTCAGCAAACGAATCTACGGCATATGTCAGCCACCCCGGAAGGGGCGCGGGCCTGAATACCGTCTTTGCTGTGCCACGGCGCAGATCCAGCTTGAGCTGCTGGTTTTGCTGGAGCAGGGTCTTCATGTTGTTCTTTAACTCCGACACTTTCGCCTGGAGCATAAATTTATCCTTCTGGGTCATAGACAGATCTTCCTGGGCCAGCTCCAGCTCAGACTTGACGTTCTATGGAAAATGAAGTCAGACATTTAAAAGATCCAAGTTGGTATTTTCACAGGTCAAGTGCACACGTGTCCTCCTCGTAGCCATCTAGACAGTGCCAGTCCAGCTGTGATCACACCCTTCACATTCTCACCCACAGTCCACGGCCCAGGCCTAGGAGCCTGCAGTGTCCCCATGACCACATTCTACACAAACTCCAAAGTCTCCTGTTCAAATTCCAGCCTTCCTACTAGAATAAGCCTCACTATGAGTAGGGCATACAGGCTGAGCGGCCCTGATCCAAAGTGCCAGAAGTGTTTCAAATGCTGGGTTTCTGAACATTTGTATTACACCCACCTAATGCCTTGAATAGCCCTAATCCAAAATCTGAAATGCTCCAATGAGCATTTCCTCTGCCATGTTGATATTCAGAAAGTTTCAGACTTTGGATTTTCGTTTCTGTTTTGTTTTTTAGGACAGGGTCTCACTCTCACCCAGGGCGGAGTGCAGTGGTGCCACCACAGCTCACTGCAGGGCTCGAGTGACCCTCCGGCCTCGGCCTCCCAAAGTGCTGGGACTACAGGCATGAGCCACTGCATCTGGCTGGATTTTGGATGATGGACACTCCTCTGCCTGTGTCTGTAAGTAAATTCTCACGGTGACTCAAGCCCCTCATTTACAAGGAGGACTCAGCAATTAGGCTCCTTTCCCAAGCGCTCAAGACCAAACCCTGAGCTCTCCATAGAGAAGCTTATGGCAAATCGGCAACCTTTTCACACGCACCCTCCCATTGCTGGACTCCATGAAATCACGTTCTTGGTCCATGTCACATAGCGCAGCCACGGGGTGGGAGCCAGACCAGCCCTTCCCCTGTCCTGCCGCATGATGTGGACCAGATGACTCTGTGAGGGTGCCGGCGAGCCGAGAGCACCACCTGGCCTCAGGCTGCACAGCGCAGGAACCAGGGGCCACCTGGGGAGGTGCTGCTCCCACCGCGCCACAGCCTTGCATGCAGGTACCTGCAGCAGCTGCTGGAGCCCTTCCAGTTCCTTTCGGCCCTGCTGCTCTGTCAAGTCCAGCTGCTGCTTCAAGGACTGGATTTCTCTCTCTTTCTGATCCACCTCCCATTTGAGATCTTCCATCTAAAAAGGGGAAAGCCACATGACCAAAAGAATGTTAATGGGGCTTCACTGCACTAGAAAATGGCTCTAGCTGTGTTTCGGCTTATCTTTTAACGTCATAGTAAGAAAACCATCAAGACGGAGAGAAGTCACCCAGGCCACCCCACACAGGCTGGCCCTGAGAGCCGTCACCTCTTGGTTTCCCACGGGCTGTTTGTTGAGCTGCTCGTCCAGCTGCTTCTGTAGGAGCTGGAGCTGCGCCCGGGCCTCGGCCAGCTCTGCCTGGAACTGTGCAATCTCCTGGGAATGTTTCCCCTCCCGAATCCTAGCGTAAAAAAACAAGGAAGAAGGGAACTGCCGCACTCCTCCAGCGTGCTGTGCCCTCCCGCTGGGAAACACTCTCCATGGAAGGCGTCTGCCCTGGCAGACATTCTGCTGTGCGCCCTGTGCTGCAGCCAAACTTGGCTCCCCTGACATACACTTGGGCACTCCTCACAGAGCCTCTGAGGCCCACATTTCACCAGCACCCCTCAGAGTCTAGAGGGTGCCGGCCGCGAGACCACCTCACATGGGGGCCCCATAGAGCCATAGCATCAGCCCCGCACCAGCACCTTACCTGAAGCTGAGCACGCATCCTGGGCGCTTGTTTTGGGGAAGGACAGGCAAGGTGGGGAGTGGACACAGGGCAGTGAGTGAAGCTCAGGCTTCTGGAGACAGAAGCCGGGTATCTTCTACCCCTATGATTTACACTCAGGTACTCAGTAATTTGCAAAATGCAGGGGACACTCGCTGTGCTGAAGGTGCTGTCAGACCCCACCCGCTGCCAGCACAGCCATGTGTGAGCCCTTGTGTGGCCAGGGACCCGCTGTGCATGGCCCAGGACTCACTGAAGGCCGTCAGCCTCGGCCTGCAGCTTCTGCACCAGGTGTTCCTTGGCCTGCAGCTCCTTCTTCACCTCACTCAGCTCCAAGGAGGCCGCCTTAAAGTGGCGGCGGTTGTGCCCGGCTTCCACCTTGGCAGCAGCCACCTAGGAGGAAGGAAGCCATGTTGTCCATTCCCAGAGTGTCCTGCATGACACCTGGAGCTTTACGAGGTGCCAGGCCCAGAGGGCAAAGCCACTCCTGGCCCCACACACATCCTGCTGCTGGCGTGTGCTTCTGCACAGGCCTGGCATATTCCTTGTAAAGATTGAAGCACCTGACTCGGAGCTCGGCACACATGCATGTGGTATGGCTGCTGCCATCTGTTGAATGAACATGTTTATTTGGGATTTCTTGGCCTAAATAGATTTTGTAGTTTTCTTCCAGTGTGTCCACAGCCTGGACAACATAGCAAGACCCTGTCTCCACAAAAATAAATAAATTAGCAGGGCACGGTGGTCCCGGCTACTCGGGAGGCTGAGGCAGGAGGGTCACTTGAGCTCAGGAGTTCCAGGCTGCAAGGAGCTGTGATCACGCCACTGCACTCCAGCCCGGGTGACACAGTGAGACCTGGTCTCAAAAATAAACCTAAGCACAGAGTGAAAGCTAGAGAGCTGGGGGACTGTGTGAGCCAAGCCTGAACCATGGGCCTAGAACCACAGCCCAGCAGGTCCCAGGCAAGGGGTGCTGGGCAGATGAGGGCTGTAGGGCCAAGAGCAAGCTGTTAACTGCTCGGATTACAGTGCTCCCGCCACATCTTAAAATTAATTCTATTTATAAAGAAGCTTTATTGTCTCACCCCCCAAAGAAATCAAAAAACTTTTTCATCTCAATTACATTACCATAGAGAAGTTCTTAAAGGATGTGGCAAAGCCAGGTCATAGGAACTAAAGGAGCTTTGCTGTTAGGCTAAAAGGTCTGAACTGTGAAGCAATTATAACCTGTTTTTACAAGTTCAATTCCGATGAGATTTAAAGGAAAAGTGATGTGTTCTTTCCTACCTTTCTCCAGAGACAACCACAGTTATTTCTTGTGTTCCTCCTAGAAATTTTTTTTTTGAAACAGAATCTTGCTTTGTTGCCAGGATGGAGTGAAGTGGTGTGATCTCGGCTCACTGCAACCTCTGTTTCCTGGGTTCAAGCAATTCTCCTACCTCAGCCTCCCAAGTAGCTGGGACTACATGCACCCAACACCATGTGTGGCTAATTTTTTGTATTTTAGTAGACACAGGGTTTCATCAGGCTGGTCTCGAACGCCTGACCTCATGATTGAGGCCTCAGCCTCAATGGAGACCTCGGCCTCCCAAAGCACTGGGATTATAGGCGTGAGCCACTGTGCTCAACAGAAATGTTCTACATATACATAAGCATCAGCTGCACGCACACACATCACACTGTAGGCACACAAATGCACGGACACACCACAGCCCTTGCACGCATATCCACCTGCGCACAAAGCCACATCACACCCCAGGTGCACACACGTGTGCAGACATCACGACTCTTGTACACACCCATGTGCACACACACAACCCTCGCATGCACATCCCCCATGCACACACACCACACCCCAGGCACACACCTGTGTACACACACCACAGCCATTGCACACACACCCCATGCACAAATACCCCACCCCAGGCACACCTGTGTGCACACACCAAAGCCCTTGCACACCCCATGCACACACACCACACCCCAAACACCTGTGCGCACACACTACAGCCCTTGCACACATCCCCCATACACACACATCACACCTCAGGCACACACCTGTGCACACACACCACAGCCCTTGCACACATATCCCCATGCACGTACACATCACACCTCAGGCACACACCTGTGTGCACACACCACAGCCCTTGCACACACACCCCCATGTGCGCACACACCATACCCCAGGCACACACCTGTGCACACACCACAGCCCTTACACACATACCCCCATGTGCACACACGCCATACCCCAGGCACACACCTGTGCGCACACCACAGCCCTTGCATGCACATCCCCCATGCACACACATCACACCCTAGGCACACACGTGTGCAAACATCACGACCCCTGCACACACAGCTCCATGTGCACACACACCACAGCACACGTGTCCATGCACACAGACCACAGCCTATGCACACACACCCATGTGCACACAACCCAGGCACATGTTGCATGCACACATACCACAGCCTATGCACACACACACATGCACACCACACCTCCAGACACTCAAGCACGTGCACATACCACAGCCTATGCATGCAAACCCCCACATGCACACACAGACCCCAGGCACATGTGTGCGCACATTCATACCAAAGCCTATGTACGCACGTACCACCCAGGCACACGTGTGCACATTCGTACCAGAGCCTATGTACCCACACTCCCCCATGTGAACACACACCCCAGGCACAAGTGTGTGCACATTCATACCAGAGCCTATGTACTCACACCCCACGTGCACACACACCACACCCCAGGCACATGTGTGCGCATTCATCCAGAGCCTATGTATGCACACCCCACGTGCACACACACACCACAGGCACACGTGTGCACACATACCAAAGCCTATGTATGCACACCCCATATGCACACACCCCCCAGGCACACGTGTACGCACATACCAAAGACTGCACACTCCATGTGTACACGCACCACACCCCAGGCACACGTGTGCACATTCATACCAGAGACTATGCACACCCCATGTGCACACACACCACACCCCAGGCACACGTGTGCACACATACCAGAGCCTATGTATGCACACCCTCCATGTGCACACACACCCTAGGTACACGTGTGTGCGCATTCATACCAGAGACTATGCACATCCCTCCACATGCACACACATGGCAAGCATGCTCTGTGCCTGGCATGGGGAGGTGGCCAGCAAGCAGCGTTCTAACGGAGGAGCAGGCCCGGACAGGGCATGTGAAGGTCAGGATGGGCCTTTGCTGACAACCTGACCAGTGTGACAGTGAACACCTAAGGCAGGGAAGGAGCCGGCCATGAAGACAAGTCTCTACACAGCTCTCTCCTGTCTGCCAAACACAAATGGGATCATATGCTATCGTAAAGTTTGCTTTCACAATAAAACACTACATACAGGGCACAGTGTCTAGCACAGTATGAACACACATGCATGCACAGCTCATCAGCCCCAGGCCCCCATGGCTGCGTCACCATTTAATCTAACACCACCTTCTAAGGACCAGACAATGTGCTCTGCAGCTTCAGTCACTGACAAGTGCAAAGCACCTCTGCTCTCAGTGCCTAGAAGGAGATTTCTAGGCACTGGAGTGCACTCTGGAGGGCTCTGTGAGCCAGAAGGCGGCACGCACCTGCTCCTTAAGACTGTTCACCTTCTCCTTCTCTTTCTCTAGTGAGGCCTGCAGGGCCTGGACAAGCTGCTTCATCTGGCGATCCTCCTCTTCTTTGCGCTGCAAAACTGCCTGCACCTAGATGGTATTGTAGGAGGATAGGTAAGGAAGAACGTCAAATTCGACACACAAGGCTGCTACAGCCAGCAACATAACACAGCAAACCACAGATGGCACAAACAGGGAGGCAGAGGAAACTCCACTTCTGAAGGATCTGTGATTAAAAACAATCTGAGGTATCGGGAGCACCATCACAGGGCCGCATTCAAGATCGCGCCACACCTGTGGGCCCCACTGCTCCAGAGGCCGAGGCAGCAGTGAACTATGATGGTGCCACTGCACTCCACTCCACTATGGGCAATGGAGCCTGACCCTGTCTCAAAAAATAATAATAATGTGGCTGGGAACCCAAAAGATATACATAAATCAGGGGTCACAGCCAGGTACAAGAAGAACAGAAGTGGTGGGAACTAGAACAAATATGGAACTCTCTAGGACGGGAGTGTCAACACCAGCAGCTCGATTTGGCCCCTGGCTGCCACCTAAAAGGTTTCCCTGAAATGCCCAGCCTGGTCCGCAATCCACAGAGGCTGTGGCCTGAGCAGCTGAGCGAGACCCAGGCCAGGGTTCGAGTCCCTGTTCTGCACTGCATGAGCCTCCTGTTAAGTGCCCCTACATACAATGTCACTGCCTGGGACTGAAGTCAGAGCAGCTGCATGGAAGTAAGCAGGTGAACTGAGCAAATGCAGCTGCTCCGGCCTCACCTCAGAGAGCCCAGCCCTGTAGCCACAGCTGGGGACCCAGTCTTGTGGGTCACCCCAACACCTGAGCCGTTCCTCACCCTCGAGAGCCCAGCCCTGCACCCACAGCTGGGGACCAAGGCTTGTCGGTCACCCTGTCCCCTGAGCCTGTTTTCTGCTGCAGGCCAGTGGGGCTAGGAGTCAGCACAGGTAACTGAATCTGTGTGAGATTCTTAGAGCACACGCAACCTCAGCAACTCTCACACTGCTGCTGGCAGACGAGTTTGAATACCTGAAGGTTCAGCTGAACTAGGTCTGCCTCCCTCTTGGCCAAAGCTGTTTCTAAGACACTGTTGTGTTCCCGCAGAGCTGCGTTGGACTGTCCGAGGCCTGTAAGCTTCCCTTTCTCGTGCTCTAATTCGAGAGCCAACTTCTTGTTTGACTCTTCGAGGCGTTTTATCTTCTTCCTGAAGCCTCTGGATTCTTGAAGCTGAAATATACCAACGTCGCTGTGAAATTACACACACTGGTGAGTGGAGTTCACACACCCCAGAAACAGGTGAATTTTCAACAAGGAACAGCAAAAACTTAGGCTGGGCGCAATGGCTCAAGCCTGTAATCCCAGCACTTTGGGAGGCCAAGACAGGTGGATCACTTGAGGTCAGGAGTTCGAGACCAGCCTGACCAACATGACAAAACCCCGTCTCTACTAAAAATACAAAAATTAGCTGGCATCGTGACGCACGCCTGTAGCCACTGCACTCCAGCCTGTACAACAGAGCGAGACTCTGTCTTACAAAAAAAAAAAAAAAAACAGTGAAAACTAAAACATAGCAATGAATGGGCTGGGTGTGGTAACTCATGCCTGTAATCCCAACACTTTGGGAGGCTGAGGTAGGTGGATCACTTGAGGTCAGGAGTTCGAGACCAGCCTGGCCAACATGATGAAACTCCATCTCTACCAAAAATACAAAAATTATCCAGGTGTGGTGGTGGGCACCTGTAGTTCCAGCTATCCGAGAAATTGAGGTGGGAGAATCACTTGAACCTGGGAAGTGGAGGCTGCAGTGAGATGAGATCATGCCACTGCACTCCAGCCTGGGTGACAGAGTGAGACTGTCCCCAAAAACCAAACACAACACAGCAATGAATGCCACACAACCATGCTTGCTTCATGATCTGAAGTAGTTGTGGTCGTGGTCAGTTGCTTCCCCAGGCCCCTCTCCTTCCTCCTCGTAGCCAAGAGCCTCTAGAGAAGTCTGTCCAGTGACTGAGCCCTGGCCAAGCCACTCAGCAGGGTGGGCATGAGCAAAACCATTTCAGGACAGAAGAAGGATGGTGAGTAGAACAGGCAGCCCCTGGGTGACGGAGCTCCCCAGGGCCGGGCTGAGGAGGCAGAGGTGGGCCGGGACACTACTGGTGGGCCAGAGAGCACTACCAGCACCACTGAAGCAAGAAAGCTCTCACTGAAACTGGGAGTTCTGAGTTCTTTCAAAGGCTTACATTGGGTTTTTATGTTTTGTTTTTGAGACAGAGTCTCGCTCTGTCACCCAGGCTGGAATGCACTGGCACGATCTCCACTCACTCCAACCTCTGTCTCTCGGGGTTCAAGCAATTCTCCTGCCTCAGCCTCCTGAGTAGCTGGGATTACAGGTGCTGCCCACCACCACACCTGGCTAATTTTTGTATTTTTAGTAGAGACGGGTTTCACCATGTTGGCCAGGCTGGTCTCAAACTCTTGACCTCAGGTGATCTGCCCACCTTGGCCTCTCAAAGTGCTGGGATTACAGGCGTGAGGTGCCTGGCCTTTCTTGTTTGCAACCAAAGCATTCAAACTGAGAAGGGTTCCCCTATGAATTCCATAATCATTCTGCCACAGAGGCTGTAAACACAATGGTCCTCCCCAAGGGCTGGAGTCAGAGTCTGTGCCCAGCAGAGCCAGAGGCCACCAGGTCAGAAGGAATGATCCTCCCCAGAGGGCTGGAATCAGGGCCTGCCCCACCAAATACAATGGTCCTCCCTGAGGTCTGGAATCAGAGCCGTTGCCGCACCCTACCCCGACCCCCGCTGCCACAGCCAGAGGCCCGTGGTCAGAGGTGGCAACAGCAAGCAGCATTGCTGGGCTCATGTGAAGTTTTGACAGTGTGGCCAGGGCTCATGTGACTGGCCCATGCTGCCACGACAGCAGATGCCCAGACCTCACCTCGTCCTCCAGCTCCAGCACCTTCTCCCGGGACTCCTCTAGCTCCTGGCTGGTCAGTGCAATGACCTCTTGCAGCTCTTTCTCCAGCAGCATCTTGCTATGGCCGACAGTCTGCAGCTCCGCCTCTAGGGCCTGGATCCTCTCCTAAGGGCCAAGACGGAGCGGGGCCTTGGTCAGAGGACAGGCCCTGACCCCCACTTCCCGTGGCACCTGCAGGCGTGCAGCTGTGCGGCTGCACAAACCAGACGGCGGCTGTCGGATGCAGTCTCACGATACTTCCCTTCTGTTAAAGAAGATGAATTAACCAACCACAGCATGCACCTGGCGACACACCGGTATAATCAGGACAAACAAGATCATCTCTTCAGCTCAACGCTTCAAAAACACAGAAGAAAATCTTACCTGCAGACAACCATCTGTGGCAAGCACGCAGCACCAGGCATAATAAACACTACAAGTGTGTTCACGCACCACACTTCACATACACACACACGTATCACATAGCACACGCATACCAGGCATGCTGATGTACCACACACATGCTTAGGTAACACACACCACACATGGTATGTGCTCACACCCCACACACTGCACGCACATCCTCACACCTCATACATATGTCCCACACACTGTGCACATGCACTCCACACACCACGCAGACACCCACACTACGCACATGCACTCACACCCCACAACACGCACACACGTGTTCACACACCACATACACATGCTCCACAAAGTGCACCCACGCACACACCCCACACCGTGCACACACATGCTCACACCCCACACCATGCACACACTTCACACCGCTCACACTCCACACTGCACACACACGTATTCATGCCCTACACACCATGCACACATGCTCCACACCACGGACACACCACACTGTGCACATACACCCCACACCACGCACACACGTGCTCACACCCACACCACACTGCTCCACACCGTGCACACACATGCTCATGTCCTACACACCATGCACACACACCCCACACTGCACACACACGCTCACACCCCACACGTGCAGGAATACATGCAGGCACAGGCGTGCTCTCAGACGCCACCACTTGCTGCCGATGGTCCCAGCCCTTCCCAAGCACATTCCAGTGCCACTTAACCCTCACATGAGGAGGTTCTCATTCACCTCATTTTGGCTTAATTTCGCCGAGGATTAAAAAGGTGAGCAATTTGCCAAAAGCCACCACTTGCAAGTGCTAAAGCCCAGACAACGCAGACATTGGCTGGCGGCTGCACTACTCCTCAGCTGCAACAGTGCGGCGAGGGGCTGGCTCTGCTGCCTTTGCACCCTCCCCACCCCAGCCGTTCATGAGCCCAAGGAAAACGGCGTCTAAATCAAACTCCCCAACATTTTACAAAGCAACCAGGTGAGAAGGAGCATTTATTTGTTTCATTTTAAACACAGAGTCTCACTCTGCTGCCCAGGCTGGAGTGCAGTGGCAAAATCACGGCTCACTGCAGTTTCTGCCTCCCATCCTGGGCTGAGGCCATCCTCCCACCTCAACCTTTCAAGTAGCTCGGACCACAGGCACATGCCACCATGCCCAGGTAACTTTTTTTGTATTCTTCATAGAAATGGGGTCTCATTATGTTGCCCAGGCTGCTCTCAAACTCCTGGGCTCAAGTGATCCTCCCGCCTCAGCCTCCCAAAGTGCTGGGATTACAGGTGTGAACCACCATGCCTGGCCTAGTTGGTTTAATTTGACAAGAAAACCCCATGTTATGATACATTCTCTTCCTCCCCATAAACTCTTAAATGGACAAGAGACAGAAACAAACTACACATAAGAAATACTAAGTTGTCAGTGCAAGGACACAAATTGGAGGATAACAAAATGAGGATGAACTCAGAGAGAATTTTATGCCTACTATGGAAAGTAAGAGAGCATGGCAGGCCGCGGCCTCCACAGAAGGCCCTGCTCAGAGAGCCGTCCAGCGAAGCCACCCTGAACCCTGCCAAATGTGGACCCCCACACCCTCACTCCAGCTTCTAAGTGAATGTGGAGGCTGCTTTTCCTCCTGAGATGCGAGGAGGTGCAGAGGAAGCCGGAACGTGGTGGACCAGGGCAGGCCCTGCATCTGCCCCTTGGGAGCAGCTAAACTTCTTTGAGCCAAGAAGGTTTCTTGAGGAAAATGGGGTGAATGCCACAGACCCCAGACTGTGTGGGGTTCACAAGGCAATGCTCAGTCACTGCGGGTTCCCAGCAACCGACGCTGAGCGGCAGTTGAGAAAGATGCCACTTCACGTAAGCTCGGCCCCACTAGCCTTTAGGGGACAATCGCTGACATAGAGCCCTTCCCCGCATTGAGGGGCTGGCGCTGACGAAGGAGGGCACCGTGTTACCTACTTGTAGAGCCAGGCTGCTATCAGTGCTGCCGCCCTGGGCTCGGAGCTGGCCCAGCTCTGCATCTGCAGCCTCCTTGGCCGCAAGGGCCTCCTGCAGGCGGCGGCTAAGAATGCCCACGGCGCTCTCGTAGGCCTTGTGCTTGGTCTTCATCTCCTTCTGGGCGCTGGTCAGGTCTGAGCCCAGCCGCCTCATCTTCTGCTTCTGTTCCGTGATGGCTCTGGGGTGTTAGGAGGGAGACACGGGAGAAGCTGAATCACCCTCTGACGCGACCCTCCGGCATTCTGGTTTGCAACATCGGGCAACAGGAAGTGCGTTTTGGTGGCTGAGACCCTGGGCTCCTGGAGGCTGCCTCTGCTGAAGCCCCACCCTGTTTCCCCAGAACCCAGCCGCCCCTAGGAAAGCCAGGTGAGTTTGGGCCTGTCCTGCGGGGGGCTCATGCAGCAATGGGTCAGGCTGCGCCAGCTGCTCCTGCAGAGCCAGGCCAGTGGAAGCACTCAGTGAATTTAACCATTTCCACCACCAGCATCAGACCTGCCCTCCTCTAGGAGCAGCTTATAATCGACCCTGTGAATGCAGAGAAACAGTCTGCTCCTACCAGAAACGTTCTTGAGTATCAGTAAGAATTCCAACCATCAGATTCTGAGTAAACCACCAGCTGATCAAAGCAAAGCAGTACAGGCACTCACGCCTGCGATCCCAGCACTCTGGGAGGCCCAGAGCACGAGACCAGCCTGGGCAACATACTGAGACCCCATCTTGACAAAAAATAAAACAAAATTAGCCAGGCATGGTGGTACACACCTGTGGTTCCAGTTACTCCAGAGGCTGAGCTGGGGATCACTTAAGCCCAGGAGGTTGAGGCTGCAGTGAGCTCGGATGGCACCACTGAACTCACTCCAGCCTGGGCAACAGAATGAGACCATTTCAAAAACAAAACAAAAAAACCCCAAAACTCTGCATTTAGGTGGGCATGGTGGTTCACATCTATCATCCCAGCATGTTGAGAGGCTGAGACAGGAGGACTGCTTGGGCCCAGGAGTTCAAGACCAGCCTGGGCAACATGGTGACTCCCTATCTCTACAAAAATAACAAAGCAGCAAAGGGCATAGCACTGGAGAAGGAAGAAGACTCCCACGGCGTCTGCACACAAGTACCACGGGCGTGTGCGGGCAAAAGGCTCCTACGGCGTCTGCACACAAGTACCACAGGCGTGTGCGGGCAAAAGGCTCCTACGGCGTCTGCACACAAGTACCACGGGCGTGTGCGGGTAAAAGGCTCCTACGGCGTCTGCACACAAGTACCACGGGCGTGTGCGGGCAAAAGGCTCCTACGGCGTCTGCACACAAGTACCACGGGCGTGTGCGGGCAAAAGGCTCCTACGGCATCTCCATACAAGTACCATGGGCGTGTGCGGACGAAGTCTGTGTGTCCGTGTTTATGTGAGCATGAGATGTGAGGATGAAGCTACCACAGGCATGTATGGGCAAGGCCTGTGTCCACGTTTATGTGAGTGTGAGGAGGTGTGAGGATGAAGCACACATGTACCACGGGCATGTGCGGGTGAGGCCTGTGTCCACGTTTTATGTGAGCGTGAGGAGGTGTGAGGACGAACATGGGAGCATCTTTCAGGGGAGGGAGCTGAAACAGAGAGGGTGCTGCACAGAAAGTCAACCATAGAAACGCACAGGACCTTCTGTTACAGGAGCTTTAGCAAGTCCACGATAAACTCAGATTATTTTGCAGATAAGCCACCAAACCACACGGCCTCCACACCTGGGCCTTAACATTCCAAGCCGCTATGCTACCTCCCAAAGAGGGTGTCCCCCACAACCCCAGCAGACCCCAAGGCTCTCCTGCCTCCGCCAGGCACACGCAGACTTACTTCCGTGCTTCTTGCTGCAACTCTTCAATTTGTTTCTTCAGCGCCTCGTTGGCCTCTGTGACCGCGACCATCTGGTCCTTATCGAACTGCAAAGACTTCAGAAGGGAGGGAGGGAGGGAGGGAGTGCGTGAGGAGCAGCACCACCGTCCCAGCCCCGCTCCCCTCCGCAGCTCCAGCCCATCACCCCTGCCAATGGCACTGCTCAGGCCTGCCCTGGAAGACTTGGACCTTGAGAAAAACCCTGAGAGGGTATCTGCCTTCTTACAAACCATCCTTGACTGAGGCCAGCACGTGTTTCCAGACACTGTCCAAAGCATCAGAGGCACAACAGAGCATGACTGGGTCACAAGAAAGCCTGTGGACCCAGGACCCCTCCCTCAAATCCCCTGGACCCTCCCCTCAGAGCCCCCAGGACCCCTTTCCCAGAGCCCCCAGGACTCCTCCCCCAAGTTCCCGGGTCCCCTCCCCTGGAAACCCCAGGACCTTCCTGAGCCCCCAGGATCCTTCCCTGGACATCACAGGACCCCTCCCCGGAGCCCCCCAGATGCCCTCTCCAGGCTCAACTGTGATTGCTGAGGGCCAGATCCCCCACCTGCTCCTGCCCTCACAGCCTTTCCCCAGCTCCTGTGTGCTAGGCGAGTCCCCAGAACCAGCCCAGGCCTGCAGCAGTGGGGTCTGAACATGCTGTGACTGCATTGCTGAGTCCTCCAGCCTTCTGCAGCCCCAGCTGCCGGCCTCCCTGCCCCACCCCGGCGTTCCATCAGCCCCTGGCCCACCCACCTCACCAACCCAGCACTTCCCCATCAGCCCCCAGCCCACCTCCCCACCCTACCCCGCGCTCCTCCATCAGCCCCTACTTTCCCACACTGATGGCACCTGCCTCACCACTTCAGCACCAGCTACTCACAGGCCTCAGCCTGGCTCCTACTGAGCCAGACACGCCGACCGATCTGGGACCTTGGCTTGGTCCTCTCGGGCAACTTCAGAAACATCATGGCGCCCTTGGTCTAATGTCCGTCCAACCACCCTCCCCAACTTACTGCTGCTCTCCTGATTCCTCATCTCACACCCCTTCCCCTCACCTCCCGCTCACCCACTCTGCCACCTGCATCCGAGAAACCATCACCAGCATCCCCAGTACCCACTGCGTGCAGAAGCCACACCAGGCTCAGTTTCCACAGGAATGTGACTGGCTCTGGCCAGTCCCAGCTCTGCACCCACAGGGACTCCCAGGGTCCCCGGGCCCCAGTGTTCTGCCCTGACGTGGGGTCTCCACAGAACCCTCACCCTTGCTCTCTGCATAGCGGTCACTCTCCTCTCACACACTGGATCCCGGGGGCCCGTGGCAATGGAGGGAAGCCAGGTACCTCACGGAGCCTCCTTACTCCCTCCCTTCATGCAATGTCACCACCTGGACCTAACAGGCCTCACCAGACTGCCCCTCCAGGACCTACCGAGCCTCACTGGACTGCCCCTCCAGGACCTACCAACGAGGCCTCACCAGCTCCCCTTCCAGGACCTACCGAGCCTCACTGGCTGCCCCTCCAGGACCTACCAACCAGACCTCACCGGCTCCCCCTCCAGGACCTACCAGGCCTCACCAACTGCCCCACCAGGACCTACCAGGCCTCACTGGCTGCCCCTCCAGGACCTACCAACCAGGCCTCACTGGTTCCCCCTCCAGGACCTACTGGGCCTCACCAGCTGCCCCTCCAGGACCTACCAACCAGGCCTCACTGGTTCCCCCTCCAGGACCTACTGGGCCTCACCGGCTGCCCCTCCAGGACCTACTAACCAGGCCTCACTGGCTGCCCCTCCAGGACCTACCAACCAGGCCTCACCGGTTCCCCCTCCAGGACCTACCAGGCCTCACCGGCTCCCCCTCCAGGACCTACCAGGCCTCACCGGTTCCCCCTCCAGGACCTACTGGGCCTCACCGGCTGCCCCTCCAGGACCTACCAACCAGGCCTCACTGGTTCCCCCTCCAGGACCTACTGGGCCTCACCGGCTGCCCCTCCAGGACCTATGCTCCAGGTGGGCCTTGTTCTGGGCTGTTCCTCCAAAAGCCTCTCCTCACCTTGCCCCCGCCCCGCCCCAAACACAGTGGGCCCCCAAGTGCTTTGGCTGAATCCTCCCCAGCGAGTGAGTCAATCTGACACTGGCAGACCTGCAGGTGTGTCTCCATCTCGTCTCGCTCCTTCTGTGCGGCCTGGAGACGCCCTTCAAGGTCCGCCATCTGCTGCTGGGCCTGGGACGCCTCCCTGTGCAGGCGTGAGAGCTCTGCCTCCGCAGCCCGCTTCTCCCCCTGCACGTGCATTAGCTCCTGCCGCAGCTCTTTCAGCTCCGAGTCCAGCCTCTTCCTGGTGGCCTTCAGCTCACTGATGAGCTGGTCTTTGGAGGTGGTGTCGCGCCGGTAGGCCTCCACCATCACCTGCCAGAAAGACCAAGCTGTGAGCCTGCATTTGGGGGCCTTCCTGGGGGTCAAGGTGGCTTCAACAGAAATGTTTACCACTTATCGGAGGCATAACTTTTTTGAGGTAAAGATACATTTCATCAAATCTAAGACTTCACCGACTGAGACACATCATTATTTATTCACAGGTGACATCAGTGCCCAATCAAGAGTCTGTGATGCACGTGGCAGGCACACCGGCCTGCTAGGCATCTCCTTTATCCCAGGGAATCCCTCTCTCCTGCCTTCAGTGCACTGCTTTGCTTCCAACAGGTCCTCCCCTTGCTTGGGGCTTGGTAATAAAACAAAATTAAAGCAGCACTCACAACACCGCCTCAGGGGTCGCCCTCGCTCAGAAATAAAATACAGCAGGCTGGGTGCGGTGGCTCATGCTTGTAATCTCAGCACTTTGGGAGGCTGGGTCACGACGTCAGGAGTTTGAGACTAGCCTGGCCAATATGGCGAAACCCCATCTCTACTAAAAATACAAAAATTAGCTAGGTATGGGGCATGTGCCTGTAGTCCCAACTACTTGGGAGGCTGAGGCAGGAGAATCACTTGATCCCAGCAGGCGGAGGTTGCAGTAACAGGGACAGCACTACTGCATGCCAGCCTCAGTGACAGAGCCAGACTCCATCTCAAAAACAAAACACCAGCACTCACACCGCTGCTTTGGGGTGGCCCTCGCTCAGTAATAAAACACGGCAGCACTCACGATACAGATCCAGGGGTGGTCCTAACTCAGAACCCATAAACTCCAACAAGAGGGAGAGTTCAACAGCAGGTTTCCAAGATGCCGCCCAAAGGAAAAAGTGTGGTTCTGGAAAAGCAGGGAAAGGAGGAGCAGCCTCTTGGAGTGACAGTGCTGACAAGAAGGCTCAAGGTCCCAAAGGTGGTGGCAATGCAGGAAAGGTCAGACACATTCTACGTGAAAAGCACGGCAAAATCATGGAAACCGTGGAAAAGTTAAAGGGTGGGGTGGCTGCACGATGTAGTGAAGACAAAGCCAGGCGAGGGGGTGACTTGGGTTGGGTGACCAGGGTCCCTCCATGGTGGGACCATTTCAAAAAGCAGCATTTGCCTTGCCTGTAAGTGGGATGGATAAGTCTGTGTTTACACACCCACCAGTTAAGACAAAATTTGGATATATTACTATGGCTGAAGTAAGAAAAAAAATCATATGAAAGACTGAAAAAAAAATCCAACAAGAGGTATTGGCTTCACCGACACAAAATTTACATATTCCGTTTCTTTTTGGGTGACCATAATTTGTTTCAACGCTGGAACTCCATGTAAATTTTTCAAAGACATTTTAAACGGCAAACCCAACCTGCATGGTAACACCACCACACAACACATACAGCTCCGTGGAGCAAGCAACATCTGCTCCAATAACAGCCGATCCTGGAGATCTGAGGGCCAAGACTCCCACCCTGCTGTGGAAGTGTGTCTTGACTTTGGAGATTAAGTTTCTTTAAAAAAGTTAAAGAGATCATCTGATGAGGCCAAAAAAGAAATCATCTAATGAGGCCAAAAAAAAAAAAAAAAAAAAAAAACTTAAAGAGAATCTGAGATGTTAGATTCTCAATTTCAATTAAATTGGAATTGCTAAGCAATTAAACCACACAAAACTGTTCATATGCTTGCTTCAAGAAATCAACAACACATTTTTACCTTTTGTTGAATAAACTGTTCCTTTATTTTTTGCGTCTGTTTTTTCAGAGCGGCAGTCTCCTGCTGCAGGTGTTCCACCTATGGGGGACATGTGAATAGATGTTACACTGAGGGCTCCAGGAGGTGACACATCTGCAGAGAAGTTACACTGAAGGCTCCAGGAGGGACATGTCTGCAGAGAAGTTACACTGAGGGCTCCAGGAGGGAATTGTGTCTGCAGAGAAGTGACTAAGGGCTCCAGGAAGGGGGGCACATCTGCAGAGACTTTACACTGAGGGCTCCAGTAGGGGACATGTCTGCAGAGAAGTTACACTGAGGGATCCAGAAGGGGGTGGTCACATCTGCAGAGACTTTACACTGAGGGCTCCAGGAGGGGAATGTGTCTGCAAAGATGTTACACTGAAGTCTCCAGAAGAGGAACACATCTGCAGAGACATTACACTGAAGACCCCAGGAGGAGGACACACCTGCAGAGATGTTATACAGAGGGCTCCAGGAAAGGAATGTGTGATACACTGAAGGCTCCAGGAGGGGAATACATCTGTGCAAATGTTACAGAGGGCTCCAGGAGGGGACACATCTGCACAGATGTTACCCTGAGGGCTCTAGAAGGGGACACATCTGCACAGATGTTCCACTGATGGCTCCGGGAAAGGACACATCTGCAGAGATGTTATATGGAAGGCTCCAGGAGGGTAACATGTCTGCACAGACGTTACACTGAGGTCTCCAGGAGGGGGGCACATCTGCAGAGACATTACACTGAGGGCTCCAGGAAAGGACACATCTACAGAATTGTTACACTTAAGGGCTATAGGAGGGGAATGTGTCTGAGGGCTCCAGGAGAAGGATGCATGTGCATAAATATTACACTGAGGGCTCCAACAAGGGGACATATCTACATAGATGTTACACTGAGGGCTCCAGGAGGGTAAGTCATCTACACAGACATTACACTGATGGCTCCAGAAGGGGACACATCTGCGCAGATGTTATAGGAAGAAGTGTTTGTGACCTGATGGGAACTGGTGATTCCTAAGGTCTGGGCTCTCCCTCCTCACCACTGAGAGCATGAAGCTGCGGTGATGGGGAAGGAGGTGGGAGAAGGGATGAGGCCAGGGGACACTCCAGCCCAGGGCTTGGCAAACCTTTCTTGGAGACACCTGATAGGAAACGACTGCTCAGCAATGCTCTTGCAGCACAGGAGCAGCTCCAGGCCACCCACAGGCAAACGAGCAGGGTTGTTCCAGTGACAGTTTACAAAACCGTGCTGGGCTGTGTCCACAGGCTAAAGGTGCTGACCCTAGGCTCTGGTCCTCGTACTGCAAAGTCTATCAAGCCTATCTCATTCAGCACGGGAGCTTGTGAGAAATGCAGAGCCTCGAGTGCAGACCCACCACACAGGATGCGTACTTAGAGGGCCCCACACAGACCCTCCACACATGACGCGTGCTTAAACTGTCCCACACAGACCCACCACACAGGACGTGTACTCAGAGGGTCTCACAAAGACACACCACACAGGACGCGTACTCAGAGGGCCCCACACAGACACACCACACAGGACCTGTACTCAAAGGGCCCCACACAGACCCACCACACAGGACCTACACTCACAGGGTCCCACAGAGACCCCACTGCACAGGACCTATACTCCGAGGCTCCCAAACAGAGCCACCACACAGGACCTACACTCACAGGGTCCCACAAACAGACCCACAACGCAGGACCTATACTCAGAGGGTCCCACACAGAGCCACCGCACAGGATCTACCCTTGGAGGGTCCCACACAAACCCACCACATAGGACCTACACTCGGAGGGTCCCACACAGACCCATAGCACAGGATCTACACTCACAGGGTCCCATAGAGACCCACCGCACAGGACCTACATTCACAGGGTCCCACACAGACCCATCGCACAGGATCTACACTTGGAGGGTCCCACACAGACCCACCGCACAGGACCTGCACTTGGAGGGTCCCACACAGACCCACCGCACAGGACCTACACTAACAGGGTTCCACACAGACCCACCGCACAGGACCTACACTCACAGGGTCCCACACAGACCCACCGCACAGGACCTACACTCACAGGATCCCACACAGACCCACTGCACAGGACCTACACTCGGAGGCTCCCACACAGACCCACCACACAGGACCTACACTCACAGGGTCCCACACAGACCCACCACACAGGACCTACACTCGGAGGCTCCCACACAGACCCACCACACAGGACCTACACTCACAGGGTCCCACACAGACCCACCACACAGGATCTACACTCGGAGGCTCCCACACAGACCCACCACACAGGACCTACACTCACAGGGTCCCACACAGACCCACCACACAGGACCTACACTCACAGGGTCCCACACAGACCCACCACACAGGACCTACACTCGGAGGCTCCCACACAGACCCACCACACAGGACCTACACTCACAGGGTCCCACACAGACCCACCACACAGGATCTACACTCGGAGGCTCCCACACAGACCCACCACACAGGACCTACACTCACAGGGTCCCACACAGACCCACCACACAGGACCTACACTCACAGGGTCCCACACAGACCCACCACACAGGACCTACACTCGGAGGCTCCCACACAGACCCACCACACAGGACCTACACTCACAGGGTCCCACACAGACCCACCACACAGGATCTACACTCGGAGGCTCCCACACAGACCCACCACACAGGACGTACACTCACAGGGTCCCACACAGACCCACCACACAGGATCTACACTCGGAGGCTCCCACACAGACCCACCACACAGGACCTACACTCACAGGGTCCCACACAGACCCACCACACAGGACCTACACTCACAGGGTCCCACACAGACCCACCGCACAGGATCTACACTCACAGGCTCCCACACAGACCCACCACACAGGACCTACACTCACAGGGTCCCACACAGACCCACCACACAGGACCTACACTCACAGGCTCCCACACGGACCCACTGCACAGGACTTACACTCACAGGCTCCCACACAGACCCACCACACAGGACCTACACTCACAGGGTCCCACACAGACCCACCACACAGGATCTACACTCACAGGGTCCCACACAGACCCACCACACAGGACCTACACTCACAGGGTCCCACACAGACCCACCGCACAGGACCTACACTCACAGGATCCCACACAGACCCACCGCACAGGACCTACACTCACAGGGTCCCACACAGACCCACCACACAGGATCTACACTCGGAGGCTCCCACACAGACCCACCACACAGGATCTACACTCACAGGGTCCCACACAGACCCACCACACAGGACCTACACTCACAGGGTCCCACACAGACCCACCACACAGGATCTACACTCGGAGGCTCCCACACAGACCCACCACACAGGACCTACACTCACAGGGTCCCACACAGACCCACCACACAGGACCTACACTCACAGGCTCCCACACGGACCCACCACACAGGACCTACACTCACAGGGTCCCACACAGACCCACCACACAGGACCTACACTCACAGGCTCCCACACGGACCCACCACACAGGACCTACACTCACAGGGTCCCACACAGACCCACCACACAGGACCTACACTCACAGGGTCCCACACAGACCCACCACACAGGATCTATACTCACAGGGTCCCACACAGACCCACCACACAGGACCTACACTCACAGGATCCCACACAGACCCACCGCACAGGACTTACACTCACAGGCTCCCACACAGACCCACCACACAGGACCTACACTCACAGGCTCCCACACAGACCCACCACACAGGACCTACACTCACAGGGTCCCACACAGACCCACCGCACAGGACCTACACTCGGAGGCTCCCACACAGACCCACCACACAGGACCTACACTCACAGGGTCCCACACAGACCCACCGCACAGGACCTACACTCACAGGGTCCCACACAGACCCACCACACAGGACCTACACTCACAGGGTCCCACACAGACCCACCGCACAGGACCTACACTCGGAGGCTCCCACACAGACCCACCACACAGGACCTACACTCACAGGATCCCACACAGACCCACCACACAGGACCTACACTCACAGGATCCCACACAGACCCACCGCACAGGACCTACACTCGGAGGCTCCCACACAGACCCACCACACGAGATCTACACTCACAGGGTCCCACACAGACCCACCACACAGGATCTACACTCACAGGGTCCCACACAGACCCACCACACAGGATCTACACTCACAGGGTCCCACACAGACCCACCACACAGGACCTACACTCACAGGGTCCCACACAGACCCACCACACAGGACCTACACTCACAGGCTCCCACACAGACCCACCACACAGGATCTACACTCACAGGCTCCCACACAGACCCATCACACAGGACCTACACTCACAGGCTCCCACACAGACCCATCACACAGGACCTACACTCACAGGCTCCCACACAGACCCACCACAGAGGACCTACACTCACAGGGTCCCACACAGACCCACCACACAGGACCTACACTCACAGGGTCCCACACAGACCCACCACACAGGACCTACACTCACAGGGTCCCACACAGACCCACCACAGAGGACCTACACTCACAGGGTCCCACAGAGACCCACCACACAGGATCTACACTCACAGGGTCCCACACGGACCCACCGCACAGGACCTACACTCACAGGGTCCCACACGGACCCACCACACAGGACCTACACTCACAGGGTCCCACACAGACCCACCACACAGGACCTACACTCACAGGATCCCACACGGACCCACCACACAGGATCTACACTCACAGGGTCCCACAGAGACCCACCACACAGGATCTACACTCACAGGGTCCCACACGGACCCACCACACAGGATCTACACTCACAGGGTCCCACAAACAGACCGACAACGCAGGACCTATACTCAGAGGGTCCCACACAGAGCCACCGCACAGGATCTACACTCGGAGGGTCCCACACAGACCCATAGCACAGGACCTACACTCACAGGGTCCCACACAGACCCACCGCACAGGACCTACACTCACAGGGTCCCACACAGACCCACCACACAGGATCTACACTCGGAGGCTCCCACACAGACCCACCACACAGGACCTACACTCACAGGGTCCCACACAGACCCACCACACAGGACCTACACTCACAGGCTCCCACATGGACCCACCACACAGGACCTACACTCACAGGGTCCCACACAGACCCACCACACAGGATCTACACTCACAGGGTCCCACACAGACCCACGCACAGGACCTACACTCACAGGGTCCCACACAGACCCACCGCACAGGACCTACACTCACAGGGTCCCACACAGACCCACCGCACAGGACCTACACTCACAGGGTCCCACACAGACCCACGCGCAGGACCTACACTCGGAGGCTCCCACACAGACCCACCACACAGGACCTACACTCACAGGGTCCCACACAGACCCACCACACAGGACCTACACTCACAGGGTCCCACACAGACCCACCACACAGGACCTACACTCACAGGGTCCCACACAGACCCACCACACAGGACCTACACTCACAGGGTCCCACACAGACCCACCACACAGGACCTACACTCACAGGGTCCCACACAGACCCACCACACAGGACCTACACTCACAGGGTCCCACACAGACCCACCACACAGGACCTACACTCACAGGGTCCCACACAGACCCACCACACAGGATCTACACTCGGAGGCTCCCACACAGACCCACCACACAGGATCTACACTCACAGGGTCCCACACAGACCCACCACACAGGACCTACACTCACAGGGTCCCACACAGACCCACCACACAGGATCTACACTCGGAGGCTCCCACACAGACCCACCACACAGGACCTACACTCACAGGGTCCCACACAGACCCACCACACAGGACCTACACTCACAGGCTCCCACACGGACCCACCACACAGGACCTACACTCACAGGGTCCCACACGGACCCACCACACAGGATCTATACTCACAGGGTCCCACACAGACCCACCACACAGGACCTACACTCACAGGGTCCCACACAGACCCACCGCACAGGACTTACACTCACAGGCTCCCACACAGACCCACCACACAGGACCTACACTCACAGGCTCCCACACGGACCCACCACACAGGACCTACACTCACAGGGTCCCACACAGACCCACCACACAGGACCTACACTCACAGGGTCCCACACAGACCCACCACAGAGGACCTACACTCACAGGGTCCCACACAGACCCACCGCACAGGACCTACACTCACAGGGTCCCACACAGACCCACCACACAGGACCTACACTCACAGGATCCCACACGGACCCACCACACAGGACCTACACTCACAGGGTCCCACACAGACCCACCACAGAGGACCTACACTCACAGGGTCCCACACAGACCCACCGCACAGGACCTACACTCGGAGGCTCCCACACAGACCCACCACACAGGACCTACACTCACAGGATCCCACACAGACCCACCGCACAGGACCTACACTCGGAGGCTCCCACACAGACCCACCACACAGGACCTACACTCACAGGATCCCACACAGACCCACCGCACAGGACCTACACTCGGAGGCTCCCACACAGACCCACCACACAGGACCTACACTCACAGGATCCCACACAGACCCACCACACAGGACCTACACTCACAGGGTCCCACAGAGACCCACCGCACAGGACCTACACTCACAGGGTCCCACGCAGACCCACCACACAGGACCTACACTCGGAGGCTCCCACACAGACCCACCACACAGGATCTACACTCACAGGCTCCCACACAGACCCACCACACAGGACCTACACTCACAGGGTCCCACACAGACCCACCACACAGGACCTACACTCACAGGGTCCCACACAGACCCACCACACAGGATCTACACTCACAGGGTCCCACACAGACCCACCACACAGGATCTACACTCACAGGCTCCCACACAGACCCACCACACAGGACCTACACTCACAGGGTCCCACACAGACCCACCACACAGGACCTACACTCACAGGGTCCCACACAGACCCACCACACAGGATCTACACTCACAGGGTCCCACACAGACCCACCACACAGGATCTACACTCACAGGGTCCCACAGAGACCCACCACACAGGATCTACACTCACAGGGTCCCACACAGACCCACCACACAGGATCTACACTCACAGGGTCCCACAGAGACCCACCACACAGGATCTACACTCGGAGGGTCCCACACAGACCCACCACACAGGATCTACACTCACAGGCTCCCACACGGACCCACTGCACAGGACTTACACTCACAGGATCCCACACAGACCCACCACACAGGACCTACACTCACAGGGTCCCACACAGACCCACCACACAGGACCTACACTCACAGGCTCCCACACGGACCCACTGCACAGGACTTACACTCACAGGCTCCCACACAGACCCACCACACAGGACCTACACTCACAGGGTCCCACACAGACCCACCACACAGGATCTACACTCACAGGGTCCCACACAGACCCACCACACAGGACCTACACTCACAGGGTCCCACAGAGACCCACCGCACAGGACCTACACTCACAGGGTCCCACAGAGACCCACCGCACAGGACCTACACTCACAGGCTCCCACACAGACCCACCACACAGGACCTACACTCACAGGCTCCCACACGGACCCACTGCACAGGACTTACACTCACAGGCTCCCACACAGACCCACCACACAGGACCTACACTCACAGGCTCCCACACAGACCCACCACACAGGACCTACACTCACAGGCTCCCACACGGACCCACTGCACAGGACTTACACTCACAGGCTCCCACACAGACCCACCACACAGGACCTACACTCACAGGCTCCCACACAGACCCACCACACAGGATCTACACTCACAGGCTCCCACACAGACCCACCACACAGGACCTACACTCACAGGGTCCCACACGGACCCACTGCACAGGATCTACACTCACAGGGTCCCACACAGACCCACCACACAGGACCTACACTCACAGGGTCCCACAGAGACCCACTGCACAGGACCTACACTCACAGGCTCCCACACAGACCCACCAACAGGACCTACACTCACAGGGTCAGCAAAACCTCTGCCCCCACATGGATACTGCCATGTCAAGATGCCTAGGAACCGAGTGGCTAATGCCTGTAATCCCAGCACTTTGAAGGGGCTGAGGCAGGCAATTTACTTGAAACAAGTGTTTGAGACCAGCCTCGGCTACACGGCAAAACCCGTGTGTATTAAAAAAAAAGATGGCCAGGGACACATGCACATTCCACAAGGCCAGGTGGAGTAGCCAACACCAGGCAGGCGGTGACCAGGAGGCCATCCATCTCCCAGCTGGGCTGACTGTGGTCCCCAGGGCAGGAAAACAGACTTCAAGCTGGGAAAGCAGCTTCCAAGACGAGGTCACCACTGCCACCACCTTCATCTGTCCTGGGGAAACAGCCTAACCCAAGGTTAACTTGGATTAAATAACTACCAGCAATGACAACATGGGTAAAATTCCAATACGAGAAGTAACACCTGCTCGTTCCACCAGCCTCTCCCACAGTCTTCCAGGTATCAGCTGATGTTTCTTACTGAGCTAACGGTCAGTAAAATCAAGTTCAAATTCATCAAAAGAATTTGGACAGTTCCTCTAAACTAACTCCCCCAACACTGCAAACAGCAATGACCTGTCGGAATGCATGTTTCCCAGAAAAACCACTTTGTAGAGTTCAGTATCTGTAGGGACAGCTTCCTTAGGAAAGAGGGAAAATACTAGGGATTTCCTCTTGCCCTTGATCCTTATACAGTGGGATTTAAAGACAGAATAATTCTCTGATACTCTGCTTCTCCCGTATCCTTCTTCCATTTTCCCATTCTGTGTATATTTTTCAACAGTCCTGCCTACATCAAAGCCACATCAGAAGGGCTTTCCCCAGGTCTGACATGCCTGTAGGTGACGCTCTGATGCAGCAGGACCCGAGGCATGTTGCCCTCAGGCCACGCCGGGCTGCTCCCCTGTGCACTGGCCCCCACGACCGTGCAGCCAAATGCCCAGTGGGTGCCACATGCAGGCAGGCACACATAAAGGATGGCAAAAGGAAAACCCACGTTTCCTGCAGCTTCTCCTAAATGTGAGCTCCACATCATCAGTGAACAGAAACCGATGTTTCTTGGTAGATTACTTTCAAAAGTCCCCAAAAGAACTCTAGTTTCCCACCCAGCAGCCAGTGCAGGGCCAGGAGCGCAGCACAGCTTGTGTAGTTCTGTCCTCCACAAAGCCCCAAGCCCTGCCCTGAAAGTATTCTTCCTCAGGTCACACAGTTACAAAATAACACGTCCAAAGAAAAGACCCAACGCCCAGGCAAGGTGGCTCATGCCTGTAATCCCAGCACTGTTTAGGCCAAGGCAGTTCAATCACTTTAGGTCAGGAGTTCAAGATTAGCCTGGCCAACATGGCGAAAGCCCGTCTCTACTATGAATACAAAAATTAGCCTGGCATGGTGGCACACACCTGTAATGCCAGCTACTCGGGAGGCATGAGAACCACTTGAATCTGAACCTGGGAGGTGGAGGCTGCAGTGAGCAGAGAACATGCCACTGCACTCCAGCCTGGGCAAAAGAGGGAGACTGTTTCAAAAAAAAAAAAAAAAAAGACAGGACCAAACAATCAGCATCATTCCTGCACGAAAGGTTCTGATTCAAATCAAAACACACGGACTGCATTACCTGGCTGGACTTGATGGCAAGTTCTTCTCTTAACTTCTCTAAAGTTTCTGCCGTTTCCTCGGTACCTTCCCCCAAGCGCCTTGCTCCTTGGTCGAGCTCCTCCTTGCCACTCTTGGCTGCCTGCAGAGCTGCCTCCAAGATGATCTTCTCATTCTGCAGGAGGCAGATCGTGTCCTCCCTGGAGGCGGCCTCACCCTGCAGCTCCCCCAGCCTGGCCTGCAGCTCGTCGTACTGTGTCTGCAGGGCATCGAGAGACTGCTCCCTGCTCTGCAGACCCTCCTGAGTCAAGGTGAGCTGCTTCATCAGGTCCAGGTGCTCCTGCTGCAGAGCCTCCAGCTGTTGGTCTCGGTGGAGCAAGGTCAGCTTCACCTGGAGAAGGAATGAGGTGCACATGGCTGCGCCGAACCCTGCTCCAGGAACGTATGCCCTCCTCCTGCTCAATTTCCCTATCTGGGAACGTGTGCCCTCCTCCTGTTCAATTTCCCTATCCGAGAACATATGCCCTACTCCGAGAATGTGTGCCCTTCTCCTGTTCAGATTTCCCTATCCGAGAACGTTATACTTTACACTGAGAATGTGTGCCCTTCTGTTCCGATCTCCCTATCCGAGAACGTATCCCCTTCTCCTGTTCAGATCTCCCTATCCGAGAACATATGCCCTTCTCCGAGAATGTATGCCCTTTTTCTGTTGAGGTTTCAAATAATTTTTACGGACACTTCGGAGTGTCTTTTTGTAATGCAAGATCCTGGTGAAGAACCAGCAGGGCAAACACCTGGTCAGGTCCGCAGCAGCAGCAGCAGCATGTCACCGACAACCCAACTCCCGCCTGTTCTGACGAGGCCCCACAGCAGAGGACTGCCTGGGCTCTCTGTGTGTGGACCTGGGTGCTCGGGAGAGCCTGGGGCCTGGGTCCAGCCTGAAGGGCCGCAGGGACTTGCCTGCTCCAGCTGCTGCTCTAGGGATGCCGCTGAGTCCACCATCCTCTGCAGCCGCTCCCTCTCGCCTTCAAACTCTTCCAGCCGCCTCTGGAGGTCCTCCTCCACCATTGTCTTTGCCTCCTGAATCTGCATGAAGGCTGCTTCCTGATCCAACATGTCAGCCTGGGCCCAGGAAAGAACGTGTTTTTATAAGGCAGGAAACCTTAACAGTGAAGAGCAGCCTCCAAGCCCCGTGTTCTGTGGAGAAACCCACCACCCTGGCAAGAGGCCCCCATCCACTTACCCACCCTGTCTACCAACTGCAGACTGAGGGCCCAGGGTGGACTGCTGGGCTACCCACCAACCAGGAGACAGAGCCCAGGCCCAGCCCAGGCCAACCACCCTGTGAGAGGGACCTGGATCCCCTGATGAGCAGAGCTTCCCTGGCCATTTCTCGTGTGACGACGGGTGGGCAGCAGGTACCTTCTTTCAGGTGTGAGACTCCGACATGTTTTCACAAGAGCAGTGCTTGGCACCGCTGGGTAAGATGGGTAAGAGACCAGAGGACCCTGCAGCAAACACGGCCTGCATTCTGGCTATGGATGAGCCCTCACATTTGGGTGTACTTCTTGGGGAAAACACAAACTCGTAACTTGAAAGTCTTTTCACTGCTTCTCTACTAAGCCCTGAAGCACGATGACTGACACAACACAACTCTTGTCCATCATCCCAGCCAGGCACCCACCTACTGCCACACAGGTGGGAGCAGTCGCAGGAGAGAGAAACCAAGTGAGGCTGCGTAGAGCTCCCTACACGCCTAGAAAGGTTGGTAAGGAGACTGGCCCAGCAGCCTCCAGGACAGAACCTCCCTTCATACACTGTCTTGGCGTTCTACGCCATTTCTTCTTCTTTAATTTTTCCATAAGGTTATTGAGTAGGTGGTACTACCTCCATTTTATAAAGATGAGGTTCATGCCTATAGTCCCAGAACTTTGGGAGGCCAAGGTGGGTGGATCACCTGAGGTCAGGAGTTTGAGACCAGCCTGGTCAACATGGCAAAACCCCATCTCTACTAAAATTTTAAAAAATTAGTCAGATGTGGTGGCGGGCACCTGTAATCCTAGCTTCTCTGGAGGCTGAGGCAGGAGAATCACTTGAACTTAAGAGGTGGAGGTTGTAGTAAGCTGAGATTGCATCATTGCACTCCAGCCTGGGCAACAAGAGGGAAATTCCATCTCAAAAAAAAAAAAAAAAAAAAGGAAGATGAAGCTCAGAGAGGTAAGAAATTGTTTGTCCAGGGCCCCACAGCTAAAGGAGAACAGCTACCAAGGCTGCTGTGTTTCCATCCTCTGGAGATGGCCTGTGCAGGCAGCGCCTGTCACCGGGACTGCGTGTGTTTGCTGGAGGATTAAACAGCAACACAGGCTGAGTGCTCAGAAGCAAAGAAAATGCTATCACAGCCAGGCTTCGATAGGCTGTCAGGCCCAAAGCACTGGCCCTTCCTCCTTACCCACTCTGCCAGCACCATCCCTGACTGGCATTGACTGACGGCCTCTGCCCAGCACCATCCCTGACTGGCATTGACTGGCGGCCTCTGCCCAGCACCATCCCTGACTGGTAATGACTGACGGCCTCTGCCCAGCACCATCCCTGACTGGTAATGACTGGCAGCCAGGGGCCCAGGCCCAAGGTGGGGCTTGGAGAAGAACCGCAAGTGCCCACTGCACTAAGCCCCCACAGATGAGGAGGGGCAGTCCCAACGCCTTCACAAGCAGTCACTGCAGGCCATCCGTGGGAACATTTAAGAGAGACACTCAGAGAAGTACAACATGCAGAAAAAACACATGGTCTGTGGGTGTGTTCTCTTCACCTTACATGGCCCCGGCCGCAGCCTCACCTCAATGCCCTGCAGCTGTGCTGCAATGCGCCCTTTCTCCTTCATGGACCTGTGCTGAGTTTCCGTCAGCTGCTGGGACAGGGACACATTCTCGAGTTTCAGGTGCTCCAGGAGACCTGCCTGGGTCATCTGTCCAACCTTAAAAAAAAAAAAAAAAAAAAAAAAGACGCAAAAGGTAAAAAGTTGCTCAGTTTCAAGGAAGAAATGCAGACTAGCCTGTCTGAGTCACTGGCTGACCCCTTAGTATCTCCAACACAGGCCCCACGACCCACCACACCCCCTCAGTGTCTCCCACACAAGCCCCACGACCCACCCCCCCCCCCACCGTCTTCCCTCCTAGAAATGCGGGCCATTTAGCAAGGCTGACAGGCCATTAGCAAGGGCTCACCCTGCAGCTTGCAGCTCATCAGACTGCAGTTTGCAGCAGGACCTACCCAAAGTCCCCACTGATAGGGCACCTGTGAGCCTCTGTGGCTGAGGAGCCCTTTCTTTTCTTTTTTTTTTTTTTTGAGAAGGAGTCTCACTCTGTCACCCAGGCTGGAGTGCAGTGGTGCCATCTCGTCTCATTGCAACCTCCGCCTCCCAGGTTCAAGCAATTATCTGCCTCAACCTCCCAAGTAGCTGGGATTACAGGCGCCCGCCACCACGCCCAGCTAATTTTTGTATTTTAGTAGAGATGAGGTTTCACCATCTTGGCCAGGCTGGTCTTGAACTCCTGACCTTGTGATCCACCCACCTCAGGCTCCCAAAGTGCTGAAATTACAGGTGTGAGCCACCACACCCAGCCGAGGAACCTTATCTTAACTGACCAAATCCAGCCAGACACACACCAGGGCCTGCCCTCAGCTTGAAGCACAGCCAGGGCCCGGCCCAGACCCACAGGTGGTCAGGCCCACCCTGGCCAATGGTCTTGTGGAAAAGCCCCAGTACCACAGCCCGGAGGAGGATGGCGTCAGCCAAGGGAAGTAAGAACTGGAAAGGAGGCACGTGGACAGCCTGGGATCTGCGGCTGGACCTGCCCACATGGCCACTAGTTGCAGGCTGCTTCCTGGAGTCCACAGTGCCTGAGATGACAGAAGCCACGGGCTCTGGGACCTCCACGGAAGGTGCACAGAGCAAGGGAGACAGCCTTTGTGGGGTCCAAGCCTCAAGACCATGAAAGAAGACAGAATGCCTGGAACTATCCTCCTTTCTGAATGTTACTGGGAATGTTTAGGTACCAAAAAAATGTTTTAAAAACTCTGATTAAGGAATGCTGAAACTGGTTCCAGAAGCATTTGAAAAAAGCAGGGAGGGCCTGGTGCAGTGGCTCATGCCTATAATCCCAGCACATTGCGGGCAGGACAATCACTTGAGCTGAGGAGTTCAAAACCTGCTCAGGCAACATAGCGAGACCCTGTCCTCACAGAAAACTTTTAACTTTTTTTTTTTGAGACAGAGTCTCACGCAGCTGTTGCCCAGGCTGGAATGCAGTGGCACAATCTCAGCTGACTGCAATCTCCGCCTCCCACATTCAAGCTATTCTCCTGCCTCAGCCTCTTGAGTAGCTGGGATTACAGGCACGTGCCACCACACCCAGCTGATTTTTCTGTCTTTTTTTTAGTAGAGACAGGGTTTCACCATGTTGGTCTGGTTGGTCTCGAACTCCTGATCTCGTGATCTGCCTGCCTCAGCCTCCCAAAGTGCTGGGATTATAGGCGTGAGCCACTGCACCCAGCTTTTCTCACAGAAAAATTTTAAACAATTAGCCAGGTGTGATGGTGTTCACCTTACCCCAGCTACTTGGGGGGCTGTTTGAGCCCAAGAGGTCAAGGCTGCAGGGAGCTGTGATCGTACCACAGAATTCCAGCAGCCTGGGTGACAGCACAAGACCCTATCTCCAAAAACAAATGCTGTTAGAGCTCCAGAGCCACCATCACTTTGAACCTTCCTCTCTTTGTTGTCCAAGCTACAGCACCACACTTCCTTTCTGTTTTTTTGAGACACAGTCTGGCTCTGTTGCCCAGGCTAGAGTGTAGAGTGCAGTGATGCGATCTCAGCTCACTACACCCTCTGCCTCCTGGATTCAAGCACTTCTTGTGCCTCAGTCTCCCAAGTAGCTGGGACTACAGACACTCGCCACCACGCTTGGCTAACTTTCACATTTGTAGCAGAGATGGGGTTTCACCATCTCAGCCAGGCTGGTCTTAAACTCCTGTCCTCAAATGATCTGCCCGCCTCGGCCTCCCAAAGTGCTGGGATTATGAGCTACCACACCTGGCCCAAACTATACTTCTAAAATACACCTGGCTTACTTCTTTAAATATTGCCTCATATAAATGCACTGTAGCTTTTAAAAAGCATATTAATTTGTATACTGATTTGTTTCCAAGTTATGTTGTAAGTAGAACAAATGGTTTTCTGCACGGTTCTTTGGCTTAAAAAATATATAAAAGGCCAGGCGCAGTGGCTCAAGCCTGTAATTCCAGCACTTTGGGAGGTCAAGGCAGGTGGATCACAAGGTCAGGAGTTCGAGACTAGCCTGGCCAATATGGTGAAACCCTATCTATACTAAAAATACAAAAATTAGCTGGGTGTGGTAGCGGGCACCTGTAGTCCCAGCTACTTGGAAGGCTGAGGCAGGAGAATCACCTGAACCCATAAGGTGGAGGTTGCAGTGAGCCAAGATCATGCCACTGTACACCAACAGAGAGAGACTTCGTCTCCAAAAAAAAAAAATGGTAATAAAAATTGAAGAAAACTTCTGTGTATATTTGTAAACTCTAGGTATAAAAGGAACATATGGTGGAATTAGTATTTCACATTCCTCTCTGGACAAATAGTTTTAATAAATCAATAATATTTTATCTAGAAACAAAAATCTCACAGCTAATAAAAAAGTAACAGGCCAGGCACAGTGGCTCAGGCCTATAATCGCAGCACTTTGGGAGGCTGAGGCAGGCATCACTTGAGCCCAGGAGTTCAAGACCAGCCTGGGCAACATGGCAAAACCCCATCTCTGCAAATACAAAAATTAGCTGGGCATGGTTGCCCATGCCTGTAATCCCAGCTACTTAGGAGGCTGAGGTAGGAGGTTCACGCAAGCCTGGGAGGTTGTGGCTACAGTGAGCTGAGATTGCACCACTGCTCTCCAGTCTGGTGACGGAGTGAGACACAGTCTCAGAAACCCGAAAAACGAAAACATGGAGGCTGACCAAAGGTGCTCTTCAGTATCTTCAAGGTTGACCTCTAAATTAGTCCAGGTGCTGGGATTCAGATCAAGGTGCTCCTGAGCCACCTGCCAGTCGGTCTGGGCATCTCCAGTACACTAAGCAGCTGCTGTAGGCAAAGGGGCAGGCCTGGACCCACACATGCTCCCACATATGCAGGACCAAGGTGGACACAGGCTGTGGCCACTAACGGGTGGAGGGGCAAGGAACGTGTTTCCTATAGGATGCAGAAAATGCAAGCCACGCTGGAAAGATGCACCTGTGTGTCACTTGGAGCTCATACAGCAGAGAAAGGAAAAGCTCCAATCAGGAAGAGAAGCCCTGTGGCGCCGCATGCCTGTGAGATGTCACAGCAGAGTGGGATGCAGAGTGGGGAGGCTGGGGTGAGATAGGGGGATTTACAGGCATGCACCACCGTGCCCAGAGAGACAGGCTTTGGAATTGAAAATGTCAGCAGAGGCTGTGGGATGCCCGTGTCAGAAGGTCGTGCAGGAGGCCATGGGACATGTCCTGCATGGGACATGGGGTGGGCTAGATAGCAGGTTAAAAGCGAAAACACATGTGTGAACTCTAAAAACAGAAACATCTTGGGAAAAAGCCCCATTCCACAAGAAGACAGGAAGCATGGCCTGTCCTGGAAGGTAGACTGCAGCCATACCTGGATGTGGGCCATCTCGCCTTGTAGCCTGACGCGGGCCTCCTGTGCCAGGGCAAGCTGCTGCTGGTACCACTGCCGGACACTCTGCAGGGACGAGATTTCTGCCTGCGAGGCCTTCAGCTTGCTGGTCAGTGTTGCACGCTCCAGCTGCACCTGCTGCAGCTGGCTCTGCAAGGCTGTCATCTGCTGTCGCAGGTCGTGCACTGAAAGGGGGCAAGCATAATGGCTCAGGCCAGCAGAAGCGAACAGGGGAGTCCACAGCTCTGCACACATGGGACACAAAGCAGGACTCCCAGGAGACCAGTCCATTCCGGTTATTCCCGTAGTTTGCCCCATGTGGTCACCGTGAACGCTGCATGAGTGGACGCTGAGAGACACTGCTCCTGGGAGAAGTGCAGGTGAGGCTCCTGCGAGCCTCTGTGCACAGCCTCTTCACCAGCCAATCAACACATTACCTGGGAGAAGTGCAGGTGAGGCTCCTGCGAGCCTCTGTGCACAGCCTCTTCACCAGCCAATCAACACATTACCTGGGAGAAGTGCAGGTGAGGCTCCTGCCAGCTTCTGTGCACAGCCTCTTCACCAGCCAATCAAGACATTACCTCTGTGCAGTGTTTCTGTTTCAAGACACCGATTCCATACATTTTGTCAACTCATTAACCCTGAGCTCATGACCAACAGCAACTCGGCCAACGAGCCTGAGCAAAGCTTCTCTAAGAAATAACAATGGCAGGCCATGGGGTACAGGGGGCATGGGGGTGCAGTCCCAGGAGATCCAGACCAGCCTGAGCAACACAGCAAGACCCCAAAAAGAAAAATATAAAATTAGCCGGGCGGGGTGGTATGCACCTGTGGTTCCGGCTACTTGGGAGGCTGAGGCAGGCAGATCCCATGAGCCCAGGAGTTTGAGGCTGCAGTGAGCCATGACTGCACCACTGCACTCCAGCCTGGGCGACAGAGTGCGGGTAGCACCCCCCCATGGACACCGAGGAAGGAGAACTGTGCAGACCCCAGGCACAATTAGTGCCTCAAGTATAACTCACTGCTTACTTATATCTGGCTTATACATATAATCATACTTAGTCCCATATAATCTTTCTATATAATCGTATAACGGATGTAGTCGGAGCTGTACCGACACATTTAGTGTGATTTATACAATCCTTCCATAGAACCATATAGCAGTCTGTAGTAGGAGGAATGTCCAGAGCAGTCACAGAACAGAAGCAGCACATGGGAAAACAGCCAGACCAGGACGAGAACCAAAGCCCCAGGCGGTGGCGTCCCTGCCTGAAAGGGCAACGCTGTATGGCAGGCTTGGAGCAAGAGCCTCTCCTCCTGAGAGAGGAGCTGTAGCACCTGCATCCAGTTCCTGTGGCAAGTCGGCCTCAGGCCTGAGATCCCGGAAGTAACCGAGGGAGAAGAACCCCTCTGATGTGGCCAGTCACAGCGGCTGTTCACCCTGTCAGTCTTTTCTCACTTCTGTGCTAGCTCAAAGAATCATCCCATAAATATCTTAAGAGGAGAGCACAAGTCTGTCAGCTCCCACTGCACTGGCTTACAGTATCCTTCTATTAGAAATCCGTTGAGGTCTCCAGCCCTCAGATAAGAAGTGTTATGCCCGACACCTGTTGCACACAGCCCACCTCCTTGCCTCGGTGACCTAATGAGGGTGGACCCCTTTTCTGTACACGACCCTCTACTACTGCGCACGGCACGGCCCCCTACTGTGCACAGCCCACCTCTCTGCCCAGGTGACATAACGGGGTGGCCCTTTCACTTGTGACTCACACGATTATTACCCTATCACTAAGCCTACAGATGATGACCTCACTTACGATCCTTTCCCCTACTTGTACCTAATAAATGCAGACGCTTCTGGGCATTCAGGACCTCGCCTGTCTCTGCTCATAGGTGGCATGGCCCCCCTAGTCCAACTGCTCTTCTCCAGTTCTTCAGTGTCCTGTCTCTTTACTTCTCAGATCCTGCACCTCAGCACAGCATAAGGGACACCCCACGACCCTGTGGGGCCAACAGCCCTACAACAGAGCAACCCATCTCAAAGACAAATGAATTTTTAAAAACAGAAATAAAATTTGAAAAAAATAAAAACAGGATGAATTGAAAACAATAAAAGAAAAAAATGAAGTATATCTGGCCAGGTGCGGTGGCTCACACCTGTAATCCCAGCACTTTGGGAGGCTGAGGTAGGCGGATCACAGGGTCAAGAGATCGAGACCATCCTGGCCAACATGGTGAAACCTCATCTCTACTAAATATAGAAAAATTAGCTAGGTGCAGTGGTGCATGCCTGTAATCCCAGCTACTCGGGAAGCTGAGGCAGAAAAATCACTTGAACCTGGGAGGCAGAGGTTGCAGTGAGCTGAAATGGCGCCACTGCATTCCAGCCTGGGCAACAACAGCAAGATTCTGTCTTAAAAAAAAAAAAAAGGTATTTGGTGCCATGTTAAATTGCAAAATTACCCCCAAAAGCACAAAAATACAAACATGCCGTGGCCTGCCTGCAGCCCGGCTGAGCACAAAGGCTGGCAGAGTGTCCTGTCCTCCTCAGCGGGCACCTAGGGTGACTCGCTTGCTCTGCTGCTATGCACGTGTCTATGAATACTGAGTCTGGGGTTCAAAGAGATTTAAGCAAGTCAGCAAATTCACACATGAAATCTCTGAGCGCCGAGGATCAGGTGCGGGTCCGTAAAACCGTCGTGGATGCCGAGGCTCTCGCCTCTGACCCAATGATGTCTACAGCCATCACCAAACAGCAAGGTTTTCTGTGCGGCTACTTCCACCTGAAACCCACCAGCCAGGACCAGGCAGCCTCACCAAAGTTCAGGTTGCTTTTGCCGCCCAGCGAGCACTGGTCAGATGGAAGCTGGCAACCCACAGGGGTCCCCAAACGACTTCAGTGTTGAGAGGTTTCTGAGTCTCATAGTTTTTCCTAAGGGACGGGGTATCACAAAGTGCTCAAGGACTAAAATATGAAAGCGATTACAAGAGTGCTACTGCCTCTCAGCCAGCTTTCTCTTTCCTGGTATTAGAATGCAGCCCCTGTGACGCTGGCTTGTCACCTTCCTCTGTGTCATCAGATCCAAGAGCCAGTCTCACAGCCTTACCAGCAAACTGGCTCACACAGACTTGGCCCTCACGCTGGCTGCCCCCCTCACTCAGGCAGTCCCAAGTCCTGAGAGATGAGCCCACCAAGCAGCCTCCTTGGTCCTCTGGACCCAGGTCACTGCACACCCCTCAGGCTTTATGCTTAATCTTCCCACCCTGCTTCACCCTCTCTTTCCCACTCCTGTCCATGCTTGCTCTGAGCAGGCCAACCAGGGTCTTCTCTGTGCCTGTTGGAAGCTGGAGTATCAGCTCTGGGACTGGCCCAGGCAGGGACTGAGGGGGCCCCGGAAGGCATGCTGCCAAGCCACATGGAGCCCCACTGCCCCACTCATACTCACTGGGTGCAGGAAGGCAGCTGGACCAACACACTGCGTTCAAGGAGAAAAAGTTGCCAGACCAACAGTCAAGGAGCTACTCTTGGCCAGGCGCGGTGGCTCAGGCCTGTAATCCCAGCGCTGTGGTAGGCCAAAGTGGGCAGATCACAAGTTCAGGAGATCAAGACCAGCCTGGCCAACATGGTGATACCCTCTCTCTACTAAAAATACAAAAATTAGCTGGGCATAGTGGCAGACACCTGTAATCCTAGCACTCTGGGAGGCCAAGGTGGGTGGATCATGAGATCAGGAGATCAGGACCATCCTAGCCAGCATGGTGAAACCCCCGTCTCTACAAAAATACAAAAATTAGCTAGGGATGGTGGCAGACGCCTGTAATCCCAGCACTTTGGGAGGCTGAGGCAAACAGATCTTGAGGTCAGGGGATCAAGACCATCCTGGTCAACACTGTGAAACCCCATCTCTACTAAAAATGCAAAAATTGGCCGGGTGCGGTGGCTCAAGCCTGTAAACCCAGCACTTTGGGAGGCTAAGGCGGGTGGATCACGTGGTCAAGAGATCCAGACCATCCTGGCCAACATGGTGAAACCCCGTCTCTACTAAAGATACCAAAAATTAGCTGGGCATGGTGGTACGTGCCTGTAATCCCAGCTACTCAGGAGGCTGAGGCAGGAGAATTGCCTGAACCCAGGAGGTGGAGGTTGCGGTGAGCCAAGATCGTGACATTGCACTCCAGCCTGGGTAACAAGAGCGAAACTCCATCTCAAAAAAAAAAAAAAAAAAGCAAAAATTAGCCAGGTATGGTGACGGATGCCTGTAATCCCAGCTACTCAGGGGGCTGAGGCAGGAGAATCTCTTGAACCAGAGAGTCAGAGGTTGCAGTGAGCCAAGACTGCACCACAGCACTCCAGCAGGGGCAACAGAGAGAGACTCTGTCTCAAAAGAAAAAAAAGGAACTGCTCCTGTAATCTGCAATTCTGTGGAAGAAGCGGGCAGCTCGACACCATCATGTAATCCTGGACTTCTGAGGCAGAATATGTGGAAATGATCACCACAGGTAGTCCAGAGTCCAAGACTTAATTAATTCCCTGGATGTGCACACAAATGTATACGATTCCAAAAGTTCAACTAAAAATTATATTTCCTTTAGAAAAGCAGCCTCCTTATGTTTAAGTTACAAACCAATGAAACCCGGACAGCCACAGGCCGACACAGCTGTCAGCACTACCCACCAGCAAAGCGGCTTCTGGACTGGGGTGGGGAAGGAGAGCGTGGCCTGGAAAGGAGGGGGCGTGGCAGGTTAGGAAGGGGCGTGGCCGGGGAAGGAGGGGGCGTGGCCGGGGCCCAGCCTCACCTGTGTTGTCCTTGCTGAGCATGCTTTTCTGCATGTCCTCCACTTTCGCCATGAGCCTCTGGTACTGCTCCTCCGCCACCTGCAAGTCATTGTTGGACGACGCCAGGCTGGCATTTTTGGCCTCCAGCATGTTCTGCAGGTCGGTCATGGCTCGCTCCAGGTCCCAGCACGACTGCTTCAAGGTGTCCACCTCTGAGCTGAGTGAATCCTGCCGCTGCTGGCTGCTGTGGCTGCACTCCACCTGTGCCTGCAGCTTCGTGCTGAGGGCAGCCAGCTGGGCCTGCAGCTCAGCCTTCTCTTTAAGTGCCTGAAAGATCCCGACAACCAACTTTCAGAAAACCAGTCACTTCCGTCCAGTGTATTCACAGGAACACACCAGTGAGTCAGTGAGGGGCCTGACAGGGGGCCCTGCACCAAAGCCCCGTGTTCCACACCTCCGGACACTCTCCCAGCACGGCTGTCCCAGAAGGCGACCTTCTAACAGGCCCAGGACGCACACAAGAGCCTGCACTGGTTTTGAGCCAGCTGCAGCTGTGCAGGGCTGCGCTCAAGCAGGGCTAGGAGGCACCCTTCTCCTACGAGGATGCTGGAAACGTGAACATGGGTGCACACACAGAATTCCAGATGTGTAGAGGGACCCCGAATTAAAAGCAGATTCAGATCTGGGGGGAAATGGGCAGAAAACGCAGGCAAGGAAAGGCAGCTGCTTCTGCAGTGTAGCTCCAGGGGCTCCAGCCAGGGCCACAGGACACAGCGCAGTCCTGAGTGCCCACGGCGTGCTGTGTGGCCCCGGGGCAGCAGAGAGTTGCCACTGGAAATCGCCCCACCACGCGCCACCCACGCTAAGACCTATGCGGGTGAGGATCCAGTTCACACGTCACCAGGACAACGAACACCCAGAGCAATCGAGGAACTCCACAAACTCAAGAAGACCCCAGAGCAAGGGGCCAGCAACCACCACATGAAACAATCCACTCAGACAAAGCACCAATCTGATCCCAGGAGGACAAGGAGACAGTGCAGCGAGAGCAAGATACCCTTCGCAGAGTGGCTGCAGAAGAAGGGAAACGCATCTGATGGGAGGCTCATGCTCTAACACTGTGGAAGTGACGACTGTACAGCCACAATTGGCCTCAACACCCCAAATCACCTCTTCCGTAGACACCCCTTTAGATGTCACAAACTGCTTGGTTTGTGTCCAAAGACCATCTGGTATAAGAAAATCGTCTTAAACATGAGATGAGCATTAGTAAGGCAAGCTCCCGGTGTGGGAACATCCCGAGGCAAGCTCCTGGTGCGAGACTGGCTCCGGCCCTGCTCTGTGGCCTTGCTCACTGGAGAAAGCTCCCTCAGCTGTCACCTCAGGGTGACATTCTCACGCTCCATGCCAGAAGCACACAGCTGAATCCCACTGAACAGATTTACTCAACTGTCGACAGAAGAGCTATCCTAGCTCTTCACTATGGATGACAGGTCAACTTACTCTGATAGAGATGGAGGGAGAAAAGGACCCAGGCACGATCAGATGGAAACTCACACCTCTTTCTAAGGCTGACAGGTCAAGTAGACAAAGAACGTGAAGATGCAGAGCACTTGGCTGCCATGGATGTGGCAGGTGATTCCCAGGATCTCTGAAACTGCACCCAACAGAGAGGCCACACATGCTTTCCGAATTCACTGCATGCTACGACGTCAATCCAAAGTCCATTACCTGACTCGCCTCCAGTGACAAGGCTTCCAGCTGTCCTTCGAGCCTCATTTTCTCTTTGAGCACCTGCAGCATCTCATCCTGTGTTTCTGTAGCAGAGCTCTCCAAGGACACACTGGGGACAAAGGCATGGGTCAGACCTGTACGGCCCATCCTTATTTTTCCCTTCACACTCCTCCACACTCACCAAGTCCCACACAGTCCTGCTGCTCTCTCCCCAATTTTAATTAAGAGATTTAAGTAGAGAGCTAAGGCTCGCATGAATGCATGGATGAACGCTCCTGCACCTCACACAGTGGGAACACTGCTGTGGAAATGTGAGACATCCAAGCGTCGTGCAGCTTAGTGATAAGCCTACATAAACATGGGAGTAGGCATTTTAATAACAAAGACGACTGCTAATTAGATCTAATTCTGTTAAAAAGCAGCAGAGTTGTGTATGAATGAAATGTTCATGTCAAGACTAAGGACAGTTAGGAAGAAAAGCCGAGTATTGCTGTTCCAGCATGGAGAGCCGTGTGTCCCAGGGAAGCCCTCTGCCTGCCCTGCCCACTTCTACCCGCCCCACCCACCGCTGCCGTGGGCCCCCACCTGCTGCAGAAGCTGTCTCTGCGGCTCCGCACCTCCCCATTGACCTCCTGCCCCTGGTCTTGGTGCTCAGCAGCTGCGGCCTGGAGGACATCCTTAATGGAGGGGAACTGGCCCAGGGTATCCGCAGCAATCTCCTGGCCGTTAACCACATAGGAGGCGTCCTGCATGCCCGCCGTCTTCAACAGAACGCCGTAGGTCCCTCGGATGGAGACGCTGCTATATGAAGAACTGTCGCTGTCATTTCCATCTGCCTCAGACACACTGTCTCCAGTCAGGGAGGCGTTCTCCAGACGGTCGTCAGTGTCAGGGGACAAGCTGATCTCAGACACAACAGACGCTGCGCTGCTTCTGTTCTGCTTCAAGGAACCCTTGGTAGAATCGGGAGCTGGCACATTTCCCCCAGAATTCCCAGCATTTGAATCTTCAGTTCTGTAATCAGCCAGAGACCGGATTTTGCTTGATTTGGAATTTTTCTTCTCCTTAGGATGTGCTGGAAGCCCCAGGCTGCCCACCTTAGGCCCCCGAGGGACACTCGTGCGCAGGAAGGAATATTCTTTAGTCAAAGCTACGGTACTGGCCCTTGGTAAGTTTTCTGGGTTTAACATGAGCTCAGGATCAAGTGTGCTAGAAAGTCTCGTTTTGGCTGCAGGTTGACTGGACTGAGAAGAAAACAAAAGTACAAAACTTACATTTAAAATTCACAAGCAACATTCTTAAAACTGCCATTCAGAAAGGTTGCACAAATTATTATTCCCTCCGCTGACAACCAGAGAGTGAGGCGTCCCCAGGCCCTCGCCACACAGGGTGCGGCCAGGCCTCCGGTCCTTGGTCTCACTGCCGCAAGGCCCCACTCTAGTGACCACATGACCACCCCTGGCCTAAAGCACTCTCTCCAGTGAATGTGACCTCAATATGTACAGACACACCTCACAGCAAGTACCTCCTCATCAGACTTCCTCAACAAAACTTTCCTGCCTACTCTCCAGTTTATTTATTTTGGAACAGAAATTTTCTTCAAGGCCACGCACGGTGGCTCACACGTGTAATCCCAGCACTCTGGGAGGCCGAGGCAGGCAGATCATTTGAGATCAGGAGTTCAAGACTGGGCTGGCCAACATGGTGAAACCCTTCCTCTATTAAAAACACAAAAAAATTAGCTGGGCATGGTGGTGGGTGTCTGTAATCTCAGCTACTCAGGAGGCTGAGGCAGGAGAATCACTTGAACCCAGGATGTGGAGGTTGCAGTGAGTTGAGATTGCACCACTGCACTCCAGCCTGGGTGACAGAGTGAAACCCTATCTCCAAAAATAAAAATAAAATAAAAAGAAGAAATTTTCTTCAAGAAGAAAGAACATTCTGTTAAACCATAACCACCTTAAATCCATAATTTCCTCCGACTGCCCACATCCACTTCGAGCCCTTCACAGAGTAGCCACGCCACGCCCCCTCTAGAGCCTGAGCCCCTCTGCTGCCATTCTGACTTCTCAGTTTATCCTTTTTGTTATAAACGTTGTATTTCCCTTTAATCTTATAACTGTTAGAAAAACTCTTGATTTTTCATACTTAAATCTTTATTTTTCTTTCTTTATTTTGAGATGGAATCTTGCTCTGTCACCCAGGCTGGAGTGCAGTGGTGCGATCTCGGCTCACTGCAACCTCTATGGGTTCAGCGATTCTCCTGTATCAGGCTCCTGAGTAGCTGGGATTATAGGTGTGTGCCACCATGTCCGGCTAATTTGTTGTATTTTTAGTAGAGATGGGGGTCTCACTGCATTGGCCAGGCTGGTCTCGAATTCCTGACCTCAAGCAATCGGCCTGCCCCAGCCTTCCAAAGTGCTGGGATTACAGGTGTGAGTCACTGTACCCAGCCAGATTAAAGTATTTAAAAACATATCCCTAACGGAACAGAACAAAACAAAACAAAACAAAAACATAACCCTTTAAATCATAACATGCTGGTGATTTTACTGATCTTCTTCTACTGAAGAGATTCTTCTGAAATATGACACAGGCTGGGCGCAGTGGCTCACACCTGTATAGTCCCAGCTACTCAGGAGGCTGAGGCAGGAGAATCACTTGAACCCAGGAGGTGGAAGTTACAGTGAACTGAGATCACTCCAGCCTGGGCGACAGAGACTCTGTCTTTTAAATTTGCCAAGTATGTTGGTGGCACTTGCTTTTAATTCCAGCTACTCAGGAGGCTGAAGCAGGAGATTCGCTTAAACCTGGGAGGCAGAGGTTGCAATGGGCCAAGACCACAGCATCACACTCCTGCTTGGGTGACAAAGTAAGATTCTGTCTCAAAATACACACACACACACACACATGCACGCACACATATATATATATATAACTGCTCACTGACAGTGGACCTGGTCCCATGAGCTCTGATGGAGGGGTACAAGGAGGTGAATGCTGCTTTCCTGCCCGCGGACACATCCATTCTGCAGCCCATGGAGGAGTAATTTTGACTTTCAAGTCTTTATTACTTAAGAAATACCTTTTGTAAGGCTACAACTGCCACAGTCATGGTGACTCCTCTCATGGATCTAGGCAAAGTAAAGTGAAAACCTTCCGGAACGGATTCACCGTTCTAGATGTCATTAAGAACAGTTGTGAGTCATGGGAGGAGGGGTCAAAATATCAACATTAGCAGGAGTGTGGAAGAAGCTGATCTACCCTCACGGACAACTGTGAGGGATTCCAAACATCTGTGGAGAACCTGACTGCAGATGTGGCAAAAACAGCAAGAGAACTAGAATTAGTAGTGGAGCCTGAAGATGGGATACAAAAATGGAATGGGTAAAATGCTATCACATAGCACTGCGTGTTACAGAGAAACCTTGCATACAAGCGTGAATCGCCATGGCAAACTTCAGTGCTGTTTGAAGAAACTCCACAGCCACCCCAATCTTCAACAACCACCACCCTCATGAGTAAGCAGCCTTCAAACTTGAGGCAAGATCCTCCAACAGCAAAGAGACTACAACTTGCTGAAGGCTCAGGTGACTGTTAGCACTTTTTGGCAGCGAAGGATTTTTAAATTAAGCTGGGTACAAGAGTTTTACTTAAGACACGGTGCTACTGCACTACTGCACACTTAGTAAACCACAGTAGAGCATACATACAACTTCTTTATGCACTTGCTTTATTGCAATATTTGCATTGCTGTGGTGGTCTGGGACTGAACCCACAGGATCTCTGAGGTGACCTGTGTTTGCTTTATTTGCTTTTCAATTGGCAGATTTAGAAATAAAATGTGCTTGTTCCAAAAGCAGCAGGAGCAGGCAGGGGGCACGAGCCAGGCTCCTGCTGGACTCCCCTAGAGGTGGAACCCCCACGACGGGAGCAGAGCCGCTGCAGAAGCCCTTGAGCCCATCCCAGCTCAGAGAACCCAATGGCAGGCAGGTCCCAGGGTTATGTGGGACCAGCAGCTCTCTCTGGCACAGGAAGCTTTCAAGGACCGTGTTCGGGAGAGGGAGACTCACTCTCTCTTGCTGGCGCTTCACCCTGTACTGCTTGAGCTGCTCTTCCAGCCGCTTCCGAGCCTGAAGTCGGACCTGCTCCTCCTTCTCCAGGGGCAGGGAAGACTCTGTAGAGCCTGCAGTGGGAAAATGCCCATTTGGAAACTCATAAAATACCAGGACACAGAACAATCAGGCACAAGAACTTGGTCATTTTGCACTTAATCACCCGTACGTTTTACAACTAAATGTTGCCCAGCCATCTTGTTTGGAAGGACAATTTCCAGATCAAGAGAAAACTGTGAACCCTGGACTCAGAGCATAGGCAGAATATACCTCACAAGAGACACACTGGCCGGGTGCTGGGCCTGTGTCTCCATGACGGGCACACCACTGCCTGAGGCATGCCACTGCTAAAACAGGAAACCACAGCAAGTGCCATTTTGTTTTTTTTGAGATGGAGTTTTGCTTTGGTCACCCAGGCTGGAGTGCAACAGCGCAATCTTCACTCACTACAACCTCCACCTCCGGGTTCAAGCTCTTCTGCCTCAGCCTTCTGAGTAGCTGGGACTACAGGCATACGCCACCACACCCACCTAATTTTGTATTTTTTAGCAGAGACGGGGTTTCTCCATGTTGGTCAGGCTGGTCTCGAACTCCCAACCTCTGGTGATCTACCCACCTCAGCCTCCCAAAGTGCTGGAATTATAGGCATGAGCCACTGCAGCCAGCAGCAAGTGCCGTTTAACAACAGAAAAAACTGGGTTCAAAGCTGGAGCCACGCTGAGCACTGTGAGGCAGGCTCAGCTCTCACCATGATGCAACTCTGTGCTGGCTTCACAGCAGGTTCTCATGACCTTGCTGTGAAGAGCATGTGAAAAGTTGGCATTGTGGAGTTACAGGCCCCGGGGTTACAGGCAGTGCTGAGCAATAGCTCAGCCGTCACAGGGTCATGAGACCCCAAGAGCATTTTCTTTATGCAGTTCTATTTGGGGGTCCACTTTGAACCACAGCTCGTCTCAGTTCCTGCAATAACAAGTCATGTTATGACAAGGCTTCATATAATCACGAGTACCTGTATAAGCTAGAGGTACTCAAATGGCTGAAGCCTAGCAGAGTAAAGACTGCACAGGCATCTGCCCTCCAGGGCTGGGAACTCGTCACCTCAGTTTCCAGACAGACCAATCCGAGGTCATGCTCCAGGACAGGAGGGTAAAAGTACAACTTTTTTGCCAAAACCAGAATTTAAAATATCTTGTAAGATTTTTTTTTTTTTTTTTTTTTTTGAGATGGAGTTTCGCTCTTGTTACCCAGGCTGGAGTGCAATGGCTCGATCTCGGCTCACTGCAACCTCCACCTCCTGGGTTCAGGCAATTCTCCTGCGTCAGCCTCCCAAGTAGCTGGGATTACAGGCACGCACCACCGTGCCCAGCTGATTTTTTGTATTTTTGGTAGAGACAGGGTTTTACCATGTTGACCAGGATGGTCTCGATCTCTCAACCTCATGATCCACCCGTCTCGGCCTCCCAAAGTGCTGGGATTACAGGCGTGAGCCACCGTGCCCGGCCCCAGAATTTAAAATATCTAAAAGCCAGATCTTTCATTTTGGGTGATGAGAGGGTTGGATGGTGTGTGCTAATTCAGCCCTTGCATCACCCAAATGAAAGGCCTGGGTTACAGTTACAGTTACAGACCCAGGGCACCACTCCCCGGGGCTGAGTGTGTGGGCTTGTCCTTCCTAACCCATCAGCAGATGTGGCCAGATGGCTGGGTGCTGACCAGGGCAGGGAGGTGTGATCACACAGCAACGCTTCACACATGGCTGCTGCAGAGATGGGCAGCTACTGTCCTGAATCATCCTTAAAATCTGAGCAGTCACTAAGAATTCACCGTCAATGTACCATTGTCATTATTAGTTTGTACATTTTGTCACTGAAAAGATCTCTAGTCCTTTTCACAAGGCAAAGTGGTCCAGATGGCTAAACCCTACCTGGCAAATTCAGGCCTACGGCCATCAGGCAGATACATAAGCTGTCAAAATGAGCAGTGTTTCAACTAAACACCAACGCAGGAGACAGGCTCAGGGCCAGGCGCCAGCAGGAACAGGTGAGGGGACGTCTCACAAAGGCGTGCACGCAGACCCAGCACTGCTGCCACACAGGCACCTGAGCCAGAGCTCACACATCTGTAACTTTGGGAACCCAAAAGTAAACAAATAAACTAAGCTGAAAAAAATCAGGACTCTAGGCTTTTTTACATGCTACTTCCCAGCTTAAATGCTGGCAGCGCGTTTTCAGAATTTTTTAAAACACATGTGAAATACAATTTGATTTCAGTAATTTTTTGGGGGGGGGTTGTTGTTTTTATTTAGCTTTAAGAAATTTTTAAAAACACACTGCAGGCCAGGCGGGGCGGCTCAAGCTTATAATCTCAGCACTTTGGGAGGCTGAGGTATGAGGATCACTTGAGCCCAGGGGTTCTAGACCAGCCTGGGCAACATGGTGAGATTCCATTTCTACAAAACAAATTAAAATTAGCCAGGCACCTGCGGTCCCAGCTACCTAAAGGCTGAGGTGGGAAGATCCCTTGAGCCTGGGAGGTAGAGGCTGCAGTGAGCTCTGACTGTGCCACTGGACTCCAGCCTGGGCGACAGCAACATCCTAACTCTAAGAAAGAACAAAAACAGACAGATGCCTCCGGTCTGCTTACCAAGCCCCTGGGTGACACAGGACAGGCAGGCTGGCCTTTAACATGAGAGCGTCAGCCCTGCTACCAGTCAGACCGCAGCGCAACCCCGGCTCCAGGCTGGCCTTTTACACGAGAGCGTCAGCCCTGCTGCCAGTCAGACCGCAGCGCAGCCCCGGCTCCAGGCTGGCCTTTACATGAGAGCGTCAACCCTGCTACCAGTCAGACCGCAGCACAGCCCTGGCTCCAGGCTGGCCTTTACATGAGAGCGTCAACCCTGCTACCAGTCAGACCGCAGCACAGCCCCGGCTCCAGGCTGGCCTTTACATGAGAGCGTCAACCCTGCTACCAGTCAGACCGCAGCGCAGCCCCAGCTCCAGGCTGGCCTTTTACACGAGAGTGTCAGCACCGCTGCCAGTCAAATCATAGCACAGCCTCAACTCCAGCTGCATCTTCACTCTCTCAAGTGAAGCTCTCCTTGCCAAACACACCGCCCTGCCTGGGACGAGGAGGGCACACAGTAGGCACAGGGACACAGCCGCTCAGACAGCGAGTGTGGAGGCACCTGCTCCTGAGGTGCTGAGCGATGCGGATGTGGAGGGGTGGGAAAAGCGGTGGGAAGGGATGCTTACACAGTTGCGTTTCTTGCATAGGAAGACTGAGTCTGAGAGACTGCAAAGCTTCTTTTCTAACACTGCCCTCAGCACTAGTTCCCTGAGACTTCCTTAGGTTGTCATGGAAACCAGCCACACCTGGAGAGGCATCAGGGCCCACTGGGCTTGTGATCGGACCGAGAGACAATGGAGCGTCTGGGAACTGTGGCGTTGGCCCGTTCTGACAGAGGCCTCCCTGGCCAGCTCCATCCGGGCTTTCTCCTTCCGTGGAAGCTCTGTTTACCTCGGCACCTAGAAAGACAGAGCACGCTGGACCATGATGACTTTAACGACACGATGACATCATTTTTCAGACACGCAGCCGGAGTAGGAGAGAAGAGGATCCTAACTCATGAGCACCACACTTTCTCATCCCACAAAGACATTCACTGAGAAGTGCAGGCCATGGGCCCCTTCCCATAGGCAGGGTGGCCAGGAAAAGGCCCACAGCCCCCTCTGGTGTCAACGTTCCCCTATAAGGTGAACTCACCCTCCGTGCCGTCACACTCGGGCTGTAGAATTTACATAATAACGATAGTAACGTTTCCTTTTTTGTTGTTGTTTTTTTTTTTTTTGAGACGCCCGCCTTGGCCTCCCAAAAGTGCTGGGATTACAGATATGAGCCACGGTGCCCAGCCTCCTTTTCTTTCTGAGATGGAGTCTCGCTCTGTTGCCCAAGCTAGAGTGCAGTTGCACAATCTCAGCTCACTGCAACCTCCACCCACCAATTCAAACAACTCTCCTACCTCAGCCTCCCGAGTAGCTGGGATTACAGGCACCCACCACCACGCCTCGGCAGGGAGGCAAGTGGAGGTCACACCCTGCACTCTAGCTTGTGTCAAAGAGCAAGACGAGACCCAGTCTCAATAAAAGAAGTTAACTGGGTTAATACCACTTTCCAATGAATTTATAGGTCCAGGAAAGTTTCTAAACCTTGCAGTTTATATAACAAAATAGGTTTTTGAACATCACACTGCACTTAAAAAAAAAAATCTAGAAGTAAAAAGGTCCAACAAACAGTGAAACTATACTGTTCCAAACACAAGTCTAATGATGGATAAATCACCATGATGACAACGAAAGTAACCACCGGCACCCCAGACATCCACCAAGCACCTGTGCTTGCTATGCACCATTTCTTTAAACCCTCACGACCACCCTATGATGCAGGGCAAAGTCATCTGTTTTATTTAGAAAAGAGGGCCAGACGCAATGGCTCACGCCTGTAATCCAGCACTTTGGGAGGCTACGGTGGGCGGATCACTTGAGGCCAGGAGTTCAAGACCAGCCTGGCCAATGGTGAAACCCCATCTCTACTAAAAACACAAAAATCAGCTGGGTGTGGTGGTGGGCGCCTGTAATCCCAGCACTTTGGGAGGCCAAGGTGGGCAGATCACGAGGTAAAGAGATCGAGACCATCCTGGCCAACATGGTGAAACCCTGTCTCTACGAAAAATACAAAAATCAGCTGGACGTGGTGGCAAGCGCCAGTAGTCCCAGCTACTAGGGAGGCTGAGGCAGGAGAGTCACCTGAACCCAGGAGGCAGAGGTTGCAGTGAGCTGAGATTGTGCCACTATACTCCAGCCGGGGCAGAAGAGCAGGGCACCATCTCAAAAAGAAAAAAAAGGTGGAATTTGAAGCAGGAACATGACAAAGACGCACAGATGCCTACAGGGAAACACTGCTGCTGCCCCACAGGTGTCTAATGGAGTCTGTCTAGTAGGAATGGTGCCTGACTTAAAGGCAGCATCATCAAGTGACTAAAACACACGCTGAATCATGTGAAAAGGTAACGAGTGTCTCCTCCTGTGACCAGAACACAGAGGAACCTGACGACTTACGCTGGGCTTTGTCCTGCTGGTCAGGTGGCACCAGTGGGCCCGAGGACTTCTGGTGAACCTCGGGGAGAGCCGAGGGGCCACTGTGGGATCTGTCCTCCTGGAGGCCATCTTGCTCGGCCGACGCGCCATCCATGGTCGGGACGCCGCCGGCTGAGCGGACGCTGCAGGGCTATAAGTGAACCTGAGGCAAGCTTGGTTTCTGCCATCAGCACCAGCCAAGAGCTCCTGGGAGGGGCCCCACTGTGCCTCCCATTTTCAGAAGATCTAATGACTCACAAATGGCTTGAGGTCAAACCAGCTAATATCATGATACCTGGCAGGAGAGAAAGAGAAAAAATGTGTTATAAAACTTTACTCATCAGATTTCAAGTATCAGTTACAAAATTAACATTTGGTTCCCAATTTGCATAAGTACAAGAAACACATACAGACATTTTCATTCAGCAAAATAATCCATGAGCACCCATAACATCCTAGGTTTTGGGGATAAATGTTGACCCTGCCTCACTGGGCCCTTTCTTGAAGGTGCTTAGTGTCTGTGTTGGTGCCAACTAAAGACCATTCTGCCAGGACAGTGCCACTCTGTATCTGCTGTAGCTGACACACAGCGCAACCAAGGAACTGAGATTTAAATTTTATTTAAACTTAATTAATTTGGGCCAGGCATGGTGCCTCGCCCCTGTAATCCCAGCACCTAGGGAGGCTGAGGCAGGCAGACCACGTGAGGTCAGGAGTTCAAGACCACCCTGGCCAACATGGTGAAACCCAGTCTGTACTAAAAAGACAAAAAACAACTGGGTGGCCGGGCATGGTGGCTCACGCCTGTAATCTAAGCACTTTGGAGGCCAAGGCAGGCTGATCACCTGAGGTTGGGAGTTCAAGACCAGCCTGACCAACATGGTGAAACCCCGTCTTTAAATAAATAAATAAATAAATAAACAACTGGGCATGGTGGCAGACACCTGTAGTCCCAGCTAGTTGGGAGGCTGAGGCAGGACAGTAGCTTGAACCTGGGAGGCAGAGGTTGCAGTGTGCCAAGATCATGCCACTGCACTCCAGCGTGGGTAATGGAGACTCCATCTCAAGAAAATTTTTTTAATTCAAAAATTAAGGCCAGGTGTGGTCGCTCATGCCTGTAGTCCCAGCTACTCAGGAGGCTGAGGCAGGAGAATTGCTTGAACCCAGGAGGCGGAGGTTACAGTGAGCTGAGATTGTGCCCCTGCACTCCAGCCTGGGCAACAGAGCAAGACTCCATCTCAAAATAAAAGAAGATAAATAAAAAATTAAAATAAACGTAATTAATTTGAATTTGAACAGCTACATGCGGCGGGTGGCCACATGATGTAGACATCAGGCTGGCAGGCCTAGGTGTGCCCAGGGCAAGAGACCCTCCTTCGCCTTGTGAAGTGACAGTACCAAGGCCATGGCTCCTGCAGGCAGCCCCACCCTTCAGGCTGGACAGCTCCAATCTGGAGAAACAACTTAAAAAGCGGATGCCTCGGGATGTGGTAACTGTACACAGGAGGTACAAGGACACCAGGGAAGGCGGCGGCCTTGGAGTCGGGGTGCAGCAAGGGCATCCTGCAGCAGGCCCCCGTTCATGTTCTTCTCTAGTTGGGTTAGCTCTCTCTCAGCTTGCCCTGCTGGGCTACATTCAGGGGAGAACTTTGCCCAACATTTGGCAACTGACTATCCACCTTGAAATGTACTGGTGATATTATTAACTCACTTCTTTATCAACAGATATGATTCTAGCATGAGCTTCTATTCATTTTGCAGAAATCCTGGCATGTATTCCTTTAAAACCAGTTTCCTGTTAACCTACACTATGTTCCGTGTTTAACACTTTTCATGACAAACATTATACAGCCTTCACTTCTAGCTTACAGATTCCTCACAGAAGGTACATGCCTATAATCCCAGCACTTTGGGAGGCCAAGGCAGGTAGATCACCTGAGGTCAGGAGTTCCAGACCAGCCTTGCCAACATGGTGAAACCCCATCTCTACTAAAAATACAAAAAACTAGCTGGGTGTGGTGGCAGGCACCTATAATCCCAGCTACTCAGGAGGCTGAGGCAGGACAATCACTTGAACCCAGGAGGCATGAGCCAAGATTGCATCATTACAGTCCAGCCTGGGGAGTAAGAGTGGAAACTCTGCCTCAAAAAAAAAAGAGGGGGAGGGGTCAGGCACCGTGGCTCACGCCTGTAATCCCAGCACTTTGGGAGGCCAAGGCAGGCGGATCACTTGAGGTCAGAAGTTCGAGACCAGCCTGATCAACATATTGAAACCCTGTTTCAACTAAAAAGAAAAAAATTAGCCAGGCATGGTGGCCCATGCCTGTAATCCCAACTCGGGAGGTTGAGGCAGGAAAATTGCTTGAACCCAGGAGGCAGAGGCTGCGGTAAGCCGAGATTGCACCATTGCACTCCAGCCTAGGCAACGACAACAAAAAAAGCTACTCCTGTGTGCTGAATTCTCAATCTCATTTTTGTCTCTTCAATCATTAGTAACATCTTTCATACCTGGATTTTCCAGGTGGGTGGGTGATAAGTGGGCCTTAGAGCCTGGGCAGGATGTGAGCTACACACCTGTCCTAACACACAGCACAGAACTCTCTGAAAACCACTTCTCAGGAAAACCACTTCACTGCCCACCGAGCCTGCCCCTCAGCTACAATCCCTGACACCCCCCGGGAGAGCTGGGGTCAGTCAGCCACGCCCACTTGGGAATGATGGAGAAGACACCACAAAGCAAGGGGAGGAGAATCAGTGAAATGACGGCCACGGCGGCCCCTCAGCACAGCCCTGACATTACACACAGCTCGGAGGGCGAAACACGGTGGAACGTGGCCTCTACTGCACCACTGAATACTGGTACACTGTAAATCTGGTCCTCCTGAAAATTTCCTAGCAAAAGAAGACTCGCACTTTGCTTTGTTATGTCTTTGCTTCTGCCTTGTGGGGGTGGGGTGATGATATGGAAACCACCATGTGTGCCCACGTGTGCATAGTCTTTCCTAGCCGCTCAGGTAAAAAGTGCCTCTTCCACCTCCCCTCATCATCCCTACACCTCATGTGGCCTCCACCACAGCACGTCATGTCTGCCACTGTGTGTGTGCCCATTACATGGCGAGATCCTTGAAGGCAGAGACCTGTTTCACATCTGCCTCCTACCAGCTCAAACACTCCCAACTCCTGGAGTGCCAGTGTGGGTTTAATATGCCCAATTAAATCTTCACTTCTGCTGAGTACATTCCTCGGCTACAAAGCTAATGATTCCAAAACAAAGTGATAAAGCATTTGACTCCTTGAGCATCAACACTGTCTTTTAAAGTACAGAAAATTCTTAACTATTCCAGCTGAAAACATCTGAGAGCTTCAGCTCCAATGAGGGAGTCCAGGGAGTTAGAAACGGGATGAGCAGCATCACAGTCACAGCCCAGACAGGCACCACCACCAGAACAGAAGGAAGGATGGGACGACCAGCAGGCCCAGCTCAGCCATTACAGACAGAACATGCAGAGGACTGCTGCGGAGCCCACAGGGATAATGCCTCAGCGTCACACTGACCAGGAAAGAAGCATCAGCCAAGGACGTTCAGGTTCCACCGAGAAGGCACGCCAACACACCAAGCTCTCCGAGCCCAATGTAATCACAGATTCTGCTTACTTAATTCCCCTTCTGATACAGTCCTACCCTCCAGAATGGAGACCCTGTAACTGTGACTGTAAGGCTCCTGTTTATATGTGGCTTCTCCTGAAGCGGGACCAGAGACAGAATTCACTGACTGCCTGAAGCGGAGTTTGGTGACAGCGCTACTTCTCCCTGCAGGGCCATAAGCTGGCAATGTCGGTCTATCCTCAGTCTTGGTTGATTTTTAGTTAAAATTTAGAATGACTCAGTCATTCAGGACGTCATAACCACAGACTACCAACAAAAGCCGATCTCCAGGCTGCAAGGAGGAGGGCCAGAGAGTTGCCCGTGCATCACAGAAAGCTGTTATTAGGAACATGACTCCATTTTGTGATTTTACTTTTTAAATAAAGAGATCAGTCTAATCAGAGTCTCACTTATGATCACTTGCACATCTATGTCTCTAGAGAGAAGAGACAGGACAAAGCTACCATTTAGAGCTTCGAAAGGTACACACAACCATAGGTTCACAACTGGCTAACATCAAGGGACTTCATACTGAGAAACCACCACTCCAGGCACCACAGGACTTTTTGCTTCCCCCACACCTGAATTCCGTCTACTACCGAGTTCCGTGGGTTCTGCAGTTCCTATTGGCAATTAGAACAACAGAGCATAGTCAAAGATAAAGCAGGATTTCCTCTGGAAGATAATACCTGGTTGAGGCAACATCCAAAAGTAAACAGATCTATATACCAAGTGAAAACCAAAAGAAAGCCTCCTGTCATTGCGGAGATGTGTAGGGCAGGCTTGGAAGTCGGGACTCCGGCCTCAGCTCCTGACTCTCCACCACTGAGCTGTGAGATCTTGGACTAAAGATTTCTTTTCTTTTTTTTTTTTTTAGAGACGGGGTTTCACCATGTTGACCAGGATGGTCTCGATCTCTCGACCTCGTGATCCACCCGCCTCAGCCTCCCAAAGTGCTGGGATTACAGGCTTGAGCCACCGTGCCCGGCCGGACTAAAGATTTCTTAACCATTTTTAGCCTGTTTCCTCGCCAGTAAAAAAAAGGAGAAAATAAAGACAAAATTCTGTCAGGATTAAATACAACAAGGCACAGGGCGTGTCCCGTGTCCTCAGTAAAACGGCAGCAATTATCGCTATTATCTCCCTTTTAGTTGTTGCTTGTCAAATTGCTAGGTAAAAGCCAACTGAAGGCACTCTCACTTGAGAAAGTACACTACCACTTCTTAAGGCAATTGGTCAAAAAGAAAAAAAAAAGCTCCTCGTGAATCTGAGTAATGTCAGATGATTTATTTCCTTCTTGCTATTTCAAGTATACTGCCCGGAAAGCTATTAGAGGGTTGTAAAGGGCTACGTTCATGTCGTTTAAAAGACAATTCAAAATAATCCATGACGACAGGTGTGGCTGCTCACGCCCTTAACCCCCAGCACTTTGGGAGGCTGGGGCAGGAGGACTGCTTGAGGCCAGGAGTTCCACACCACGGGACAACACGGCAACACGGCGACACCCAGCAACACCCAGTCTCTTTAAAAGGAAGGAAGGAAGGAAGGAAGGAAGCAAAAAAGGAAGGAAGGAAGGAAAAAAGGAAGGAAGGAAGGAAGGAGAGAGAGAGAGACAGAGAAAGAAAGAAACCCATGAGTCACCTGTAAATGGCTTACACTGTCCCACTGACAATAAACTCCAACCTCTCAGCAATCCAGCACCTGCCTACACCGACACCCTTACCTCCGCTGCTTTCCTCCTTTTCCATTACACTCTAGTCACATTCTCTGCCTGAAAACGCCAAACTTCCACCTCCCTCAGGGGCTTCAAACTTTCTGTTCATTCTGCCTGAAACGCTCTGTTCCCACAATTTTGCCGGGCTTGCTTCTCGTCATAGAAGCCTCAGCACGGAAGTCGCCCGCCCCACAGGCCTTCCCACACAACTTGAAGGAGGGGACCCCACCCAACCACCGCCCAGTACCCTCGCGGTGGCGACCTCTGTGCCCTGTGCTGGGTGAGCTCGGCGAGGGGAGGGACCCAGGCACGGCTGCGCCCTTCGTAGCCCAGTGACAGGGACCCGCCATACGACTGACGTTCCCCGGGTTCATACCCGGGACAACGCCCGGCCCCACTCGGTCCAGGCACCGGGAACCGAGACGAGTCTGCCAGGGGCAGAGGCAAACAAGGAAGGACCCCGACTCCTGAAACCCCGGCTTCCCACGAACCACGCCACACCATGTCACGCTTGTCAGCTGCAAAGGGCCAAACTAAAGACAAGCACCGCTCGGGGGTGGCAGTGCACAGCTTCGGGACAGGCCACGCTCGCCGGGCGCAGACAGCATTGGGAGGGCCCACGGGCACGCGGGTTTACAGAGCCAGCTCCGCCGCAGCCGAGGGCGGGCGCCCAGGCCCGAGGCCACCGCAGCGAGGTGACTGGAAAGCGGCCGTCCCGCATCGCTGCAGGGACGCGCCCAGCCCCGCCGCCCCCGCCCGGCCTCCACGGCCGCCCCTCGGGCCTCCCCGGCCCACGCAAGGCGGGGGCCCGAGCCCCGAGGCGCGCAGCCCCCGCAACCCTCACCCTGCTGCTGCGGCAGCCCGGGAGGCAGCCCGGATACTCCGGCGGAGACGTGGCCGTGCGGGGGGGCGGGGCGAGCGGTGTAGCGGCCTCAGGTTCCCCGGAAAAAGCCTGCACGCGCTGCTTTCGTTCCGGAACCGAGAAAGTTCGCCTCTTCTGCCAGCGGCCACTCTATGGCCGGGGACACTCTGGCCGCAGGGTCCGGATCGAGCTCACCTCAGACTGGCCTGAGGCAGGTTTCAGAAAGTGACTTTAAGACTTTGCGGACCTTTCCCTGGAAACGCAACTTCCGGATTGCAGGACCAAACCCTTCAGGAAGCTGAACTGAGCTTCCGGCGGAAGTGGCGTGGCCGGGGCTCGGCGTGGGTGCGGCCGGGCTCGGTGTGGGCGTGACCTCTCCGCCCGCTCTCGTCTGGGGCGGCTCGCAGAAGGCGGAGGGTCCCGCCCCAACCTCGCGCCTCCACCTGTCCGGCTCCCTTCGCGCTTCAGATGGCAGTTCAGTTCTATTTGCTTCCTCTTTAAAAAGCAAAGTGGGATGGCGTAGGGCTCAAGGAGAGGGGTCGGGTGGGGCCGGCCGCTGGGGAACCGCTTTCCACCTTCCCTCCTCCGCCAGGCCGCTCTTCCAGCTGTCAGGAAGGTGGCGGCTTGGAGGGCGCCTCACGTCCTCTGTGATGTTGCGCTCTTCCCTGCGGATTTCAGAATAAGCTTGGCTACGAATCTTTCTGGGATTTTGATGGGAACTATAGGAAACCTGCAGATCGTTTGGGAACACGACATCGCTGACTGGATCCTTCATCTGCGTCCGTAGTGGCCCCTCCATTTATTTAGGTCTTTTGATTTCTTCCACCAGTATTTTGTAATTTCAGCATACGGAATCTGCACCTGTTAAGTTTATAGTATTTCACGTTGAGCGACTATGACATTGGGTCTTTGACGTTGTTTTCCACGTATTCGCTGTTGGTCTACACAAATATGATGAATTCTATGTTGATGTATCCTGAGACCTCGCTAAACTCATTAGTTTGAGGGTTTATATGGTGTGTGGTTTTTTTGTTGTAAAATCTTTGTATTTTCTACATGGCCCATCATGTTATCTGAAAATCCAAATTCTAACTCAAAATGATCACAGACTGAAGTGTAAAATGTATAAATAAAACTACACAACTTTTAGAAGAAAACAACTTCTGACATCTAGCGCTTGGAAAGAGTTCTTAGATCTGACCAAAAAAAGCACAATGCACAAAAGAAATTGACAGAATAAACTTCATGAAAATTAGAAACTTTTCACTGGACGTGGTGGCTCACACCTGTAATCCCAACACTTTGGGAAGCCAAGGTGGGCAAATCAACTGAGATGAGGAGTTCAAGACCAGCCTGGCCAACATAGTGAAATCGGTCTCCACTAAAAATAGAATAATTAGCCAGGCGTGGTGGTGCACGCCTGTAATCCCAGCTACTCAGGAGGCTGAAGGAGAATGGCTTGAATCCAGGAGGTGGAGGTTGCAGTGAGCCGAGATAGTGCCACTGCGCTCCAGCCCGGACAACAGAGTGAGACTGTCTCAAAACAAACAAAACTTCTGAGAAAGACCACATTGAAAGGATGAAAAGATGAGTTACAGACTGTGAGAAAATATTTTCAAACCACGTTTGTAGAAGAACAAGTAGCTTAGAATATATAAAAAAACTCTCAAAACTTGACGTTAAAAAAAAAATACAATTAGGCCAGGAACAGTGGCTCACGCCTGTAATCTTAGCCCTTTGGGAGGCTGAGGGGGCAAATCACTTGAGGCCAGGAGTTCAAGACCAGCCTGGACAACATACAGAAGCCCTGTCTCTACTAAAAATACAAGAATTGGGGCCCAGCGCGGTGGCTCACGCCTCTAATCCCAGCACTTTGGGAGGCCGGGGCAGACAGATCACGAGGACAAGAGATAAAGACCATCCTGACCAACATGGTGAAACCCTGTCTCTACTAAAAATACAAAAATTAGTTGGGTGTGGTGGCACATGCCTGTAGTCCCAGCTACTCGGGAGGCTGAGGCAAGAGAATCGCTTGAACCTTAGAGGTGGAGATTGCAGTGAGCCAAGATCATGCCACTATACTCCAGCCTGGGTGAGAGTGACAATCTGTCTCCCAAAAAAAAAAAAAAATTAGCTAGGCCTGGTGGCACACGCCTGTAGCACCAGCTACTTGGGTGGCTGAGGCACAAGAATTGCTTGAACCTGGGAGGCAGAGGTTACAATGAGCTGAGATTGTGTCACTGCACTCCATCCAGCCTGGGTGGTAGAATGAGATGCCATCACACACACACACACACACACAAAAAAAAAACAGAAAAGACAAGCAAAGGACATGAAAAGGATATATGAATGGCAAGCCTCACTAGCCATTACAGAAATGCACATTAAGACTTGAGGCCAGGTGTGGCGGCTCACACCTGTAATCCCAGCACTTCGGGAGGCAAAGGAGAGTGGATCACCTGAGGTCAGGAATTTGAGACCAGCCTGACCAACATGGTGAAATCCAATCTCTACTAAAAATACAAAAATTAGCTGGGTGTGGTGGTGGGTACCTGTAATCCCAACTACTTGGGAGGCTGGGGCAGGAGAATTGCTTGAACCCAGGAGGCAGAGTTTGTAGTAAGCCAAGATTGAACCATTTCCAGCCTGGGTGACACAGCAAGACTGTCTCAAAAAAAAACCAAAAAAAACTACCTTGGGATATCACTATACACCTATTAGAACAGCTGAAATAATATACAGCAATATCAAATGTGGGGAATAATGTGGGAAATGCTGGGAATAATCTAGTTTCAGAGTAACTAGATCTCTCACACGCTGCTCATGGTTTACCAATAGTGCAGCCACTCTGGAATACAGTTTGACAGTTTAAGAATTTTATGACTCGGCAACTGCATTCCTAAACATTTATCTTAGAGAGATAAAGGTATATCCACACAAAAGCCTGTACATGACTAAACCAAACTGGAAACAACCAAATGTCCTATGATACATGAATGGTTAAACAAATCGTGGTTCAGCCATGCCATGGAACAGTACTCAGCAATAGAAAGGACAGTACTCAGTACTAAGCACTGACATGTGCAATAACCTGGATGAACCCAAAGGCATTAACTACACCAGGGAGGAAAACATCTCCAAAGGAGGACACTGTACCAACTGTTCGATGTACGTCCACTTACGTCACAGAATGACCGAATCACAGAGTGGTTGTGGGAGTCACATGACTAAAAAGGGATAGAAAGAAGGAGAGAGAGTCTTGTGCTGGAGCTATTCTGTATTTCAATTGTGATGGTGGTTACATGAATGTCTTCATGTGATAAAATGACCCCAGACCAAGGCCAATTTCGTGGTTTTCACATTGCACTGTCCTAGGGTGTAGAAATAGGGAAAACATTTAATTAGCATAAATAAGACCTAGTGTTTGCCAGCACAATGGGTGAATATAGTTAATAATAGTGTATTGTATGTTTTTAATCACAAAAAGAGTAGAATTGGAATGCTCCTAACAAATAACAAAGGCTTGAGGGGATGACTACCCTAGTCACTGAGAGTAATGATACACGGTACGTCTGCATTAAAACATCAGCGTACCCCATAAATAGATACACCTTTTATGTACCCACAATAATTAAACATTAAAAAAATTTAATTAGCAAGCAAAATGTGACAAACGCTGAATACAGGCAGAAACAAAGGAATCAAATATTAAATTGACGGCACAGTGTGGCAAAGTGCTCATTAAGTGAAATTCTTGACAGCTTTATTAAGATACAATTTATATGCAGTAAAATAAACCCATCTTGCGTATGCACTTCAGTGATTCTAGTACATATGCAGAGCTGTGCACCCATCACTACAATCCAGTTCCCGCATAGTCCATGCCTCAGAAAGATCCTTCTGGCATTCAGTCCCCGCCGCCCAGCCAGCCCCTGACCACCACTTATCTACCAATGTGATATAGCTGGCCTAGAATGAGAACCAGTACAGTGCCATTTTAAAATGGGAAAACTGTTTCCATTCTCCTCACAATGACTGCTAGCCATGGCTTCTGTAAACTACTAAGATTACCTTGCAAAATGCAAAGAGAGGAAAAGCTGCACACTTTCTCTTATCTGTAACTGCCAGAATTGCTGGCCTTTGTTTACCAAAGTAAGCACCCCCAGATAATTCCATCCTGGCGCTAAGTAACCTAAAATTATGTGGACCCCACACCTGTCCAAATAATGTATAAACTAATGTTTTTCTTGACCTCTGTAAACCACTTAAGTGGCAATCGGAATGACAAAAGTCCCCTGGCCCTTGGAATGTCTGGAGCCCCCTCACCCTCGTCTCAGCCTAGGAGGTGATTGACAGCTTTCATTCCCATCTCCGCTCCTCACCCCCACTCCCAAGGTGGTTTTGTGGGTATAAAAAGGTCTTGTCACTCTTCTTTCTCTGCCACGGGTTGGAGAGACGTGAGTCCTCCGTGGTCGCCGGCAATAAACCCTGCAATTTGGCATCCTTTTGTTCTGGTGTTGACTTTCTGTGCTCAGTTCGATGCAACACCTTCTGTCTGTATGCCTCCTCGGGCCGTGTCATATGAATGGGATCATATAGAACATGGCCTTTGGTGGCTGCCTTTTCACTTAGCCAGCTGTCCTCAAAGTCCATCCACACTGGAGCATGTTCCTGGCTGCACAGTACTCCAGGGTCTGGATACACCCATTTTGTTTGTCTGTTCATCAGTTGATGGACACATGCAGGTAAGCCAGCCCAGCACTAGTCTACGTGCAGAAAGCCCTTGCTTTGGCCCCGCTTCGTGTGTGTGTGTGTGGAGACCTTCAGAACGCAGTAACCGATGTAAAGGAAAGAAAACTGGGTGGCGTGTTGGAGTGGGAGGGGCTGCCCTGTGCATTGGGCTGCCACTCATACCTATCGTGGCTTACTCTATTCCACGTACTATTCTAGACACTGCCCAAATTCTTGCCCTTACAGAACGTATATTCTAGTGGGGACCGGACAACAGTCACCGAATATTGAGTTGAGAGACAGAGGCAACCATGGGGAGGCGCGTTGCTATTACCTCTCAGGTGAATCTGAGCCAAGAAAGAAAGAGGCGAGTCCCCAGGCACGGTGGCTCACGCCTGGAATCACGGCACTGTGGGAAAAGGGGGCGGGCAGCTCGCTTGAACTCAGGAGTTCAAAACCAGCCCGGGCAACATGGTGAACCCTATCTTTATTAAAAGTAGAAAAATTAGCTAAGCATGGTGGTGTGTAGCTATAATCCCTGCTTCTCAGGAGGCTGAGGTGGGAGGATCATCTGAGCCCAGGCGGTGGAGGCTACAGTGAGCCAAGATTGCACCACTGCCCTCCAGTCTGGACAACAGAGCAAGACCCTGTCTCAAATGAAAAAAAAAAAAAGGAAAAGAAAGAAAGGGAGTCGTACAGGTACCGGTGGGAACGGTGTCCCAGGAGAGGGAAAGGCAAGGAGAGCGGGCAGTCAAAGCTACCTCTGAGGAAATAATCTTAGAGCTGAACTTGCATAACGAGGAGGAGCCGGGCACACACAGATCCAGGAGACCACTGAGGCGAGGGGGCAACAATCAGAGCCACATGAAGACCCTGAAGGGAAGCCTGGGAACTGAGGACCGCCAACAGGGATGACTCCTGGGGTTTGGCCTGAACCACAGGGAGGCCCTGCCACTTTCCGATAGTGGAGAGGGCAGGGCTGTGGGGCATATGTGGCGGGCCTAGGGTCCCGCCGGAAACAGCTCTCTTTGCCAACATGAATCTGTTTGAACACCAAATGGAAATATCAGGCCAGCAGTTAGAGCTGAGTGTCTGCCACATGCAGACCTAGAGCTACAGGGTGGAGGAACATGCTGGGGAGCGAGAAGAGGGTGTCATTCCCTGGTGCAGCACCTGGCCAGAGTGGGTGCTCAGCCACGCCTCACTCCACCTCCTACCACAGCACCTCTGAGAACAGACTGGACCCTTCCTGAAACAAAAAACAAAGAGGAAGAGAGTGTGGGGGTGGCGAGCTTCCCGCAGCTGCCTTAACAAGTCACCACCCACTCTGCTGCTTAAACTACATTTATTCTCTTGCAGTTCTGCAGCTCAGAAGTCCAAAATGAAGGGATGGGCAGGGATGGTTCCTTCTGGAGGCCCTGCAGGGAGGTCTGCTTTATCAGTTTCAACACCTGCTCACCTCTCCTGGCTAGAAGCCTTTGCTCCCTCTGCGAAGCACATCCCTCCGGCCTCTGCTCTGCCACCATCCCTCCAGCCTCTGCTCTGCCACCAAACCTCCGGCCTCTGCTGTGCCACCAAGCCTCCGGCCTCTGCTCTGCCACCAAACCTCCGGCCTCTGCTCTGTCACCAAACCTCCAGCCTCTGCTGTGCCACCAAACCTCCGGCCTCTGCTCTGTCACCAAACCTCCGGCCTCTGCTGTGCCACCAAACCTCCGGCCTCTGCTCTGCCACCAAACCTCCGGCCTCTGCTCTGTCACCAAACCTCCGGCCTCTGCTCTGTCACCAAACCTCCGGCCTCTGCTCTGTCACCATCCCTCCGGCCTCTGCTCTGTCACCATCCCTCCGGCCTCTGCTCTGTCACCATCCCTCCGGCCTCTGCTCTGCCACCAAACCTCCGGCCTCTGCTGTGCCACCATCCCTCCGGCCTCTGGTCTGCCACCAAACCTCCGGCCTCTGCTGTGCCACCATCCCTCCGGCCTCTGCTCTGCCACCATCCCTCCGGCCTCTGCTCTGCCACCAAACCTCCAGCCTCTGCTGTGCCACCAAGCCTCCGGCCTCTGCTCTGTCACTGGCAACTTCTCCTGCCTTTGACCTTCTTGCTTCCCTCTTATAAGGACTCCTGCAATTGCACAGAGGGCCCACACGATAATCCAGGACCTCCCCTCATCTACAGGTCTTTAATTCCACTTCGGCACAACCCCTTTTACTGTGCAAGGTGACACGATCACAGGCTCAAGCGATCAGGACACAGACATCTGTGCTGGCAGGACAGGGAGGCGTGACTCAGCCCACCACAGGGTGTAAACGGTATCCAGGATGTGGAGTTTGCCAAACAGCAACAAGCCACCCAATTCTTATAAAACCCTGTGGTGTGCGATGTTTGATGGCAGAGTCATGACCTGTTCAAGTCTTAAATCCCAGAAGGCACTGCATCTGCAGACATGTTTGCGTGTCACGCCTGCACGGGCCCACACTAATCTCTGCGTTGGTCCAGTTGTAGTACAAGTGGTCTTTAAGGAGGGGATGAAGAGAAAATGAGGCCACTGGGTTGAGCCCTAATCCTACTCTGGTGTCCTCGCAGGAAGAGATTAGGACACAGACGCGTGTGAAGAGAAGATGATGTGAGGACTCCGGGGGAAGATGCTGTCCAGGAGCCAAGGTGAGAGACCAGAGAGGACCCAGCCCCGCTGACACCCTCGCCTCAGAGTTCCAGGCCATGTAACTGAGAAGATACTCTGATGTTTAAGTCGCCCGTTCTGCCGCATTTTGATCTGGCGGCCAAGCCCTTCCTGGGCGAGGTGTGGCTCATAAAGCTCGAGCTCACAGCACGGCGTATGGCTCTCACTCCTGGTCTGACTGGCCATCAACATTCCTTCCTGCATCCATTCCTTCCATAGACACGCATGACCAAGTGTCTGCTCTGTGTGAGGAACAAGTCACGGAGATAAAAGACCCCGTCCAGACACACTGCCTGGAAAGGAGACAACCATGAACGCTGAGTGACAGGGAGGAGCAGCTGTCTGTGCCACGGGAAACAGCTCATCAGGGCCTTCACCTTCAGCCAGTCACAGCCATCCGTAGATGCTGCCCTGGGGCCAAGCATTTCAGCCAAATAAACCACAGACAAGATCCTGCTCTATCTTTTGAAGGGAGGACACAAACAATAAACAGCTATTTTATTTCTGATAGTGACAGGTGCTGGGAGGGGGGGCAGCTAGACTGGCTGGTGGCGGGGGTAGCCATGTAGGAGCCGGGCTGAGCTGGGACCCCAATGTGACAGGCGGCAGAGGGAGAGGCCAGCGCCTGAGGGGCTGGTGTGGGAATTAGCTGGCTGGATGCAGAAGCAGAGGAACACCCCAGGGACTCCCGGAGGAGCAGGGAGGGAGAAAAGGTTTTCTGAGGGGTGGAGGCAGGGGTCACCTGTGCTGGGCCTTCAGGGGCCTTGAAATGGTTACTGATTGCTGTGTTATAAACCCCCTCAAAAGCAGTGGCTTCAACGGCTACTCATTGTTTCTCAGGACTATACTGGCTGCCTGGTGCAGCACTGTGCTGGTGTTATACTACCTTCTCTACAGAAAAAAAACAAAAACAAAATTAAAAACCACCCTGATTTGAAGCGTTTACCAATTTCCACAGTGAAGACACTCCTCCCAGGGCCTGTTCCGACCAGATGACCAACTGAGCTGAGTGGGTGAGGCTGGAAGGCAGCAGCGCACACCACAGGCATGCAGGTAAGAGGCAGGTGCGCTGATCTAACCGGAAGGCCATGTGTCCCGAGCACTCGTCACCTTTGTTTTAAATGTAACTCAATTCTAAGTTGATACGATGCTTGAATAATGGCCGTTTCTACCTGTTACCAGCTTGAGGCGCTCCTGGAGGTGGCTCCCCGGAAGATCACCTGGCTCCGTGGTGCTGCCGGTCAGCACATGGATCTGCAGGGCTGGGCTGCGCTCTGCATACAGCCCTCCATCCTCGGGGGGGCACAGCCGGCTTCTATACACAGCTACAGCCCACGTGGAGCCCACGCAGAGGGAGGCAGAGGGCAGGGATGGCCGGGGACAGCGTTTTGTTTCCCCATCAAGCCCAGCCTCCTAAAGCACCTCCATTCTCGTACTTCCCTTCCCTTCCCGGTGCGGTGAGGGGCTCCCAGTGACCTAGTGGTCCTGGTAGTGACGTTGTCGGGGCCTCTTCGGGGAGCCGGCTGCAGCTGCCTCGGGGCCAGCACTGCTCCTCTCTCTAGGCTGCCAGCCCAAAGCTGGGGGCTGTCACTAGGGAGCCCTCGCCAGCACGGGCCCCTTCCAGACCCAGCTGCCTCTCTGCTTTGGGCACATGCCTGGGGTGAAAGCCACGCTGTGCTGGGAGCAGCCCTGGACCCCTGCCTCTTTCAGACCTGGGCCCGACCACTGCCTTCCCACAGGCCCGAGGGCATTAAGATGACTTAAAGCAGATTTAACAGTCTTTGTAGCTGACCTTAGGAGGAGGGTTGGCCTGAATCCCCAGTGTCTGTTTTAAGCCAATCTTCCCTGCTTTCCTGGCTGCAGTCAGGAACCCTGACAGAGGCCATCCCAGTGAGGCATCAGAACCCGAGGCGCCCTTCCCCAGCTTGGAGCCTCGGAGCTGATGGGTGGGCAGGGCTGACCCCCACTTCTGAGGGGCACCAGGAGGATGAGGTGCCCTTCACTGCACCAGGGAGCACAGAAGGAGCCGTGGGTGGGTAGCGCGTGGGGAGACGGTCAATGGGGCCAGCGGGCAGCAACAGCCCTGCCCTGGGTGTCACTGGGGCCAAGGTGCCAGGCAGAAGCAGTGGGATCTGTGGCTGCTGCCAGGCTGTCCTCCAGGAAGCCTGTAAATGACCCAGACAGCCACTCCACGGGGAGAGCAGGGCTCTAAAACAGCCACAGGGTGTGGGTCCTTCTGGCTGGGATGGCTGGGTATTGCGGAACAGGAAGTACAGAAGCTCATGAAACATGGCATGAGTTCACAGCCACCTCCTTCCATAACGCACAGCTCCTTACCACGCCTGGGGAGTAACTACTCAGGTCCTTGCTTCCATAACACAAGGCTCCTTACCACGCCTGGGGAGTAACTGCCCTGATCCCTGGTTCCATAAAACACGGCTCCTTACCACGCCTGGGGAGTAACTGCCCTGATCCCTGGTTCCATAAAACACGGCTCCTTACCACACCTGGGGAGTAACTGCCCTGATCCCTGGTTCCACAGCACAGGGCTCCTTACCACGCCTGGGGAGTAACTGCCCTGATCCCTGGTTCCACAGCACAGGGCTCCTTACCATGCCTGGGGAGTAACTGCCCTGATCCCTGGTTCCACAGCACAGGGCTCCTTACCATGCCTGGGGAACTGCCCTGATCTCTGGTTCCATAACACACGGCTCCTTATCACACTCAGGAAGTCACTGCCCTGATCCCAAGGCCTCCTCCCTTACATCAGAGCCAAACCCAAGCTCTGTTCCAATTGCTCCACACAGAAATGCCCTTCTCGGTGAGGCTCTGAAGGACTGAGGAAGTAGGAGTGAGTCCCCAGGACACCTGGAGCCCCTGGGCTCTGTGAGCTGCCCTGGCCTCCCTGGACAGGTGCAGCTGGTCCTGAGAAAAGCTCTGCATCCTCTATGTTCTTGGAGATGGGAGCAGGGAGAGTGAATGATCAACTCATCTCTCTAAGACGCACTCACAGGGCCGCTCCAGCTCACTTTATGGGCAAATGCTGGCCTCCCCCTCTCAGCCTCACCCCTGCAAAAACTCAGGACCTACCCTCTCAGCCTCACCCCTGTACCAACATGGGACCTCCCCTCTTGGCCTCACACCTCCACAAACTTGGGAGCTCTCCTCTTGGCCTTACCCCTGCATAAACTCGGGACCTCCTCTGTGGGCCTGGGCACTGCACAAACTCAGGACCTCCCCTCTCAGTCTCACCCCTGCATAAACTCGAGACCTTCCCTCTTAGCCTCACCCATGAACAACCTCAAGACCTCCCCCTCTCGGCCTCACCCCTGCACAAACTCGAGACCTCTCCTCTAAGCCTCACCCCTGCACAAACCTGGGACCTCCCTCTCTGCCTCACCCTTGCACAAACTCAGGGTTTCTGTATGGCAGCTTCATCTGGTGGTCTGCCAAAGACAAGGCCTCCACGTTGAATGAACAGGTTGTGGCTTTCCAGAATTGGCGGAATGAAGAGACACTGAGTAGGTTTCACCAGATGCTGAGACTTCAGGCCCCAAACCCCGATCAGGCATGACTCCATGGAGTCACTGAGGGACAGCAGGCGAGAGTAGCCATCACTAGCATGAGGCTCTCGGAGCTCCCCCTGCATGGGGCCTGGCTCCCTGACGTGGGAAGTGAGGCAGCTCCACACACGAGCCCAACACGAGGGGGAGGAGCAAACGCGGCTCATTTATTACAATGCAAAAGAGAGGACTTTCCTCCACAAATACAGAGTGCTGCTTCTCAGTTTCTATCAAGAGCAAGACAGTTGAAAATTATATTCCTGAGAAGAAGCAAAAAAGTGATCAGTTTGCAAACAAGGGTAACAGGTGACTTCAACAAAAGATAAAAATCTTTTTTTGCCCCAGAAACCAAAATTTCAAGTATTATTCCAGATGACACAGAAAACTTAGCGCAGAAGGAAGCCAAGGTGCCCTCAGGCTCTGCAGAGTCTCAGAGGAAACGCCCGGGAAGCATGAGGGAGCGGCATGTCCTGCGGCCAGTCCCAGGCTCGGGACCGAGGTCACTCACAGGAGGGAGCGGCGTGTCCCGGGACCTCAGGGTCGGGACCGTGGTCACTCACATGAGGGAGCGGCGTGTCCCGGGACCTCAGGGTCGGGACCGTGGTCACTCACACGAGGGAGCGGCGTGTACCGGGACCTCAGGCTGGGGACCGTGGTCACTCACACGAGGGAGCGGCGTGTCCCGGGACCTCAGGGTCGGGACCGTGGTCACTCACACGAGGGAGCGGCGTGTACCGGGACCTCAGGCTGGGGACCGTGGTCACTCACACGAGGGAGCGGCGTGTCCCGGGACCTCAGGGTCGGGACCGTGGTCACTCACACGAGGGAGCGGCGTGTCCCGGGACCTCAGGGTTGGGACCGTGGTCACTCACACGAGGGAGCGGCGTGTCGCGGGACCTCAGGCTCGGGACCGTGGTCACTCACACGAGGGAGCGGCGTGTACCGGGACCTCAGGCTGGGGACCGTGGTCACTCACAGGAGGGAGCGGCGTGTCCCGGGACCTCAGGGTCGGGACTGTGGTCACTCACACAAGGGAGCGGCGTGTCCTGGGACCTGTGCCCAGCCCCAGCTTGGGACCATGGTTGCTCACACATTAGCAAGGAGATGCTAACCTGACGGCCACATCAAGAGTTAACAGTTTTGGACGTTTGAAGTTTTTTTTTTTTTTTTTTTTTAATAAACAGAAGCATATGTTTATTCTTTCAAATACCATACTATACCCAGTTTTAGTGAATTTGTAAATTATAAATTATATTATTTGTGCTACAGTTTGTGATATTTAAATCTTATTAGAAGATAAGCACCAAACCTATTCAAATAAAAAATATATAAAATGCTGTGGTTTTCCCAGCAGCAGAACATTCTGCACATCTGGTAGGCTGTAAACTTGCGCTCCTTCTCCTGAACCAACAGTTCTGATAAACGTTCCCCTTTCTCCCTTGACACTTTCACTTTTCCTGAAAAGAGATTTCTGCTTTAACTGTAGCGACAGAAAAGGTAAGGAAGAGCAAACCTGCGCTGCCCCTCTCGGCAGGATGGCTGTGTGCAGCGGGAAGGGCTTCGTCTCCGTTCACACAAGGACGAGCCCTGCCCTGTGCTCACCAGGAGGACGGGTTGTGGCCCCCAGGGCTGTGAGGGAGGGTCTCACTCAGAGGATAAAGCTCCACAGAAGAAAGAGTCACCCCAGAGCACCTGCTAGAGACCCTGCACCCCTCAGGGGACCGTGGAAGCGCCCTGACATGTTTGTCTCTGTATTTTAAAAACACGCTCTCTCCAGCTCCAGTGCTGAAAGCTGCTCGGGACCTCTGGATCTTAGTTTTTGAACCTTGTCTGTTCACAGATATGATTGAATTTCCTGCAGGGAGAAAATGGCCAAATTACACAAGAGAGTACCAGAGACACATTCAAATAAATTATGCAAGAGAACATGAGAGAGGCATTCAAATAAGCCCATGCTGAAACCATACACTGGAAGAGATCCTGAGAAAGAGTGTCTGTGTTTTTTATAACATCAAAGAAACTAACCCCCAAAGGCAAACTTATTTTTCTTTTGAAAATTTTGAAACAGAAGTGAACACATCTGGCTGGGTGCAGTGGCTCATGCCTGTAATCCAGCACTTTGGGAGGCCAAGGCAGGCAGATCACTCGAGATCAGGAGATCGAGACCAGCCTGGCCAACATGGTGAAACCCTGTCTCTACTAAAAATACAAAAATTAGCCAGGGGTGGTGGCAACCGCCTATAATCCCAGCTACTCGAAAGGCTGAGATAGGAGAATTGCTTGAACCCGGGAGGCAGGAGTTGCAGTGAGCCGAGATCATGCCACTGTACTCCAGTCAGGGAGACAGAAAGAGACTCCATCTCAAAAAAAAAAAAAGAAGTACGCCAGGGGCAGTGGGGCATGCCTGCAGTCCCAGCTACTCGGAAGGCTGAGGCAGGAGTTCTGCACTGCAGTGCACTATGTCGATCAGGTGTCCGCACTAAGTTCAGCATCAATATGTTGACCTCCCAGGAGCGGGGGACCACCAGGTTGCCTCTATGGAAGGGTGAACTGGCCCAGGTCGGAAACAGAGCAGGTCAAAACTCCAGTGCTGATTGGTAGTGGGATCGCACCTGTGAATAGCCACTGCACTCTAGCCTGGGCAACATAGCGAGACCCTAACTCTAAAAAATAAAAATACACCAAGCTGGATGGCCTGTGGCCACCTTCCCTCTCCACACCCGTGGGCAAGGAGGACCAGCGCGGCTCTGCTCTCCCAATGCACACTTCTTCTGGAAAGCGTCTGCCAGTCAACAGTGAAATCATTTTTTGTAACAACACAGTCACTTCCATGTGCTGTGTGTGCTGAAACAGAAAGCAACATTTTTATTCCACAAAATCTCAGAGAGGGAGGCGCCTTTATCTGAGTCCTCACAACATCCTCGTCCTGAGGGTCCCATCTCCATCACTTACATCTGAACTCCTCAGCCACACCTAACCTAAGAGAGGCCTCCGGACCTACGCCTCCCAGGGCAATGCAGATGGTGCCGTGAACCTCCTTTAGAGACCAGGGAAAGACACCACGTGACAGTGACAAGGTGACAGTGATCACAAATGCCTGCTCAAGGCAGGGACGAAAACCCAGCTGTGCAGTGCTACACGAGGAGGGGGCCTGAGGCTTGGGATGAAGTTCTCAGTGACCGCAGCCTCTGACTTAGACACTGCAAAGCCTCAAACAATGGGTGTGCCGCAGATGCCTCGGGCGACACATCAAGCAACTCCAGCCAGGAAGACACAGAGGTGAGAGATGGGGGCAAAGTGCATGAAATGAAGGGATGAAGGACGAGCAAGATTTCTAAATGAAGACGCCGGTTCATAAAAGACACAGCTTGGCTGGGTGCGGTGGCTCACACCTGTAATCCCAGCACTTTGGGAGGCAGAGGCTGGCAGATCACAAGGTCGAGAGATCCAGACCATCCTGGCCAACATGATGAAACCCCGTCTCTACTAAAAAATACAAAAATTAGCTGGGTGTGGTAACGCATACCTGTAGTCCCAGCTACTCAGGAGGCTGAGGCAGAAGATTCACTTGAACCCAGGAGGCAGAGGTTGCAGTGAGCAGAGATCATGCCACTGCACTCCAGCTTGGGTGATATAGCAAGGCTCTGTCTCAAAAAAAAAAAAAACTAAAAGATACAACGCAACAGAAGCATAATGACCACATCAGCATGTTTATAAGCAGATGGTTAACTCATTCACTGCCTTGCAGCTGATGCCTATGCTCCCAGCTGCACTCACATGGCGTGGTGAGCCTTCACCTGAGTGCGGCAGTTACGGCCCCAGTAGCAGTCAGGACGGGACGTTACAGCCACTGGAAAAAGAAAAGTTACGCATCTATTAGATGTATCGCACATACCCAGCAGAGATCCAAAAAGAGAAAATGTGGCTGTAATGCACGGCCTCTGGTCTCTCTCTATAACTAGTTTCCTTGGACCATTCTAAGACTTCAGGAAAGGAAACATGTTTAACTAAAAACCCAACTGAGGGTCAGGCAGGGTGGCTCACCCCTGTGATGCCAGCACTTTGGGAGGCCGAAGTGGGCAGATCACTTGAGGTTGGCAGTTTGAGACCAGCCTGGGCAACATGGTGAAACCCCATCTCTAATAAAAATACAAAAAATGAGCCAGGTGTGATGGTGGGCGCCTTAATCCCAGCTACTCGGGAACCTGAGGCAGGAGAATCGTTTGAACCTGAGAGAGAGAGGTTATAGTGAGCCAAGATTGTGCCACTGTACTCCAGCCTAGGAAATAAGAGCAAGAAACTCTGTCTCAAAAATAAATAAATAAATAAAAATTAAAAAATAAGGGCCCAATTGAGGAAGTGAAACAACCCCAGCTGTCTACTGGATGTCTTTATGTATCTCTGTTTTACAAACCCACATTACACTCATGAGTAATCGCAAACAGACCTATGGCTTAAGACAACCAAGGCCCTGCGTGGCCTGCCTGTCCTGCGGGCTCTGGACTGAGGCCAACTTCTGCTGAGAACACAGAGGAAAGGGCAAACTGGGTGTCTGTTAAGAAGAGAGTGCAGGCAGGGCATGGGGGCTCACACCTGTAATCCCAGCACTTTGGGAGGCCAAGGCAGGTGGATCTCCTAAGGTCAGGAGTTAAGAGACCAGCGTGGCCAACATGGTGAAACCCCGTCTCTACTAAAGATACAAAAAATTAGCCAAGCATGATAGCGGGTGTCTGTAATCCCAGCTACTTGGGGGGCCGAGGCAGGAAAATTGTTGGAACCCACGAGGCGGAGGTTGCAGTGCGTCGAGATTGCGCCATTGAACTCCAGCCTTGGCAACAAGAGTGAAACTCTTGTTTCAAAAAAAAAATTTTAAAAGCGAGTAAAGAAGCCAATCCAGACAGAACTAGAGACATAGGGGTCCTCACCTGGCAATTCGGAAGCAGGAATGTTCTGCCGATACTGATAGGTCAGCTCGCGGAAGCTGCGCAGGCCACAGCAGTAACACAGCACGGTGTTCCCAGTGACTCTGTAATCTGGAAGGAAACAGCCTCATGCAGACAGAGCCAGCTACCCAGCAACCACCTCCTTCTAACAGCAGAACACACATGGACTTCACAGCAGGGGGAAACGAATGCGCTGATCGTGAATGGGGCAGAGAAAACAGGCTAAACATCCGGAAAGCAAGAACAAAGCCAATCTCAACACAAAACAATCCCACGTGGATACAGCATTTATTTATTTATTTATTTTGAGAGCACGTCTTGCTCTGTCACCCAGGCTGGAGTGCAGTGGCACAATCTTGGCTCACTGCAACCTCCACCTACTGGGTTCAAGGAAGTCTCCTGAGTAGCTGGGACTACTGGCGTTAGCCACCATGCCCAGCTAATTTTTATATTTTTTAGTAGAGATGGTAAGGCCTGCCTCGGCCTCCCAAAATGCTGGGATTACAGGCGTGAGCCACCACACCCAGCCCCACATGGATATAAATTTAAGTATTAAAACTCCCCAAAAATTACTAGGAAGAAAATGAGAAAATTAGCTATTTCTAAGTATGTCTTGAAAATCAAATTGCACATAGGAAAGGATCTGTACACTTGACTACCTATAATTTTAACATTAAAATGAAAATAAACACAACAAAAGTGAACTACTACTACAGTAGAAACATATTTGCAACAGAAATGAAAATGGGCTATACCCTTTATTAACGAAGACACCAGTCGGGTGCAATGGCTCACACCTATAATCCCAGCACTTTGGGAAGCAGAGGAAGGCCGATCACTTGAGGTTGGCAGTTTGAGACCAGCCTGGGCAACATGGTGAAACCCCATCTCTACTAAAAGAATAAATAAAAGAAAAATTGGGCCAGGCATGGTGGTTCACACCTGTAATCCCAGCGCTTTGGGAGGCTAAGGTGGGTGGATCACTTGAGGTTGGCAGTTTGAGACCAGCCTGGCCAACATGGTGAAATCCCATCTCTATAAAAAATACAAAAAATTAGGCTGGGCATGGTGGCGCACGCCTGTAATCCCAGCACTTTGGGGGCTGAGGCAGGTGGATCACCTGACGCCAGTTTGAGACCAGCCTGACCAACATGGAGAAATCCTGTCTCTACTAAGAATAGAAAATTAGCCGGGCATGGTGGTGATGCCTGTAATCCCAGCTACTCAGGAGGCTGAGGCAGGAGAATCACCTGAACCCGGGAGGTGGAGGTTGCAGTGAGCCGAGATTGCGCCACTGCACTCCAGCCAGGACAACAAGAGCGAAACCGTCTCAAAAAATTAAATAAATAAATACAAAAAATTAGCCAGGCATGGTGGCATATGCCTCTAATCCCAGCTACTCGGGAGGCGAAGGCAGGAGAATCTCTTGAACCCAGGAGGTGGAGGTTGCAGTGAGCTGAGATCATGCCATTGCACTCTAGCCTGGGCAAGAATGAAACTCCGTCTCAAAAACAAACAAAAACAAAAAACAAAATCAGGATCTTTCTCCTGTTTCTTCCAGGGCGGGTGAAGGTCGATTGTGACTGGGAGAGCGGATGGGGAGCACGGTCCAGGTCTGCCAGGGTCTACTGCTTTCCAGGGCAGGGGCAGCCCTGAAAACTGACATGCACCTTAGAGCAGGAGGTGAGGGAACTCACCAGACAGCAGAAACACTCCGCGCTGGAGAGCCACAAGGCTCTCGGTCAACATGTTTTTCCATGTCAAACCCCTGGTTGCCAGGTAATTCTGTGACACGAAGAAAAAAACAGAATAAGAAACATTCGTTTAGGGGAAGAAACACTGACATGACGAGTGAGAGAACATTTCCGAAAACGCCCCTGAAGGTGTGGAAAGCCGTAGCCCAGCCCCTCACGAGTGGCACGTTCAGACGGCCGCACATTCACACCCCGCGGCACGAGGAGTCTTGTCCAAGAGCCTCCTCCAAGTCCCAGAAGGAAGGCTAGCTTTGAACCTTGAGTACAGGAGTTCCCAGATTCTCTCAGAAGTTCTGCTGAGACCTTCACAGCCCAGGGTGTGACTGAGACACTAAAGCCTGGCCACAGGGCCCACAGCCCCATGACAGGCCCAGTCTGTTTGACAAGAAAAGCTGAGTACTTGGCATCTGATCTCTGTGCCCTTCAAAAACACAGAGCTGTGTAGCTCCTTTTGTGGGCATCAAAGCAGAGTATAGGGCTGGGTGGGCAGGCCTGCCAGCTGTGTCTGTGCCCAGCATCAGGCCCCACCATTGTGTGTGCTGTCAGCAAGGTGCTTGGCAAGAGGGCAGACGCGCATGTCCAACATATAAATCCTAGAAGCCAAGATCGCTTCCTAGACACGGGGAGGCAAGTGGCCGGACAAGGAAGGGACCAGAGAAAAGGCCCTGGTTCTGCCAAAGGGCACTTTCAAGAAAAGTAGCTCCTACGGATTCACGGCAGGAGGCACAAAAAGGAAAGACCCAGTTTTGGAATACGGGAAAAACAGATAAACACCATGGAATGCAGAGAACTAGCCGGCTGCACTAGTGAGAAAAGGCTGCTCCCGGCTCCCCAGCCCACAGCAAGTCGGTACCTTCAAGATGTCTGACTCGTAGCTGTTGTTGTTCAGCACCCCGTCCAGACACTTGTCACCCAGGTTGAGCTCTGCCGAGATGAAGGGGCAAGGTTATCTGTTTATAAAGATGTCGCAGGAAAGCACTGTCTGCCCGACACTGAGGATAAACACATTTCTTTTCATTACAGATTCTAGAAGGAATAAGAAGTTCAATGATAAAACTCAATTTTAAACAGAGGACAAGTAGAAATGCTTTCCATTCCACTCCCTCCTTAAAAAGACCAGCTCTCCAAGTCTCCCCAGCACCTGGTCTGATACCCTGACATCAGAACCCTGCAGCAAGGATTCCATCTGGGAGTATTTCCCCTAACCCTTCTGTTAATGCTTGATTTTGAGCTAACATGAATTTGACACACCTCTGCAGTTCAGCAGGAAAGGGTCAACATTTGGTGACCAACAGTGGCCTCCCCTCTCTACACAGCAGGCTATGGATGCCACGATCACCTGCCCTCAAGTGGTTCACCAAGAGAACATGCAAAGGTCAAAGCAACTCGGGCCTGAAGAGCCAGTATTACCACAGAATGGGGCCAGGCAGCCGAAGCAGCCGGTCCGGGTGCAGCCCCAGTACAGGTGACAGAAAGGCTGCAGGCAGACCGCACCTGTGGAGAGAGGACACCAGTCAGGCGCGCCCAGCTCTGCAGCCCATCTCCAACACAATTTGCCAGTGCCAGGCTCAGGAGCTCAATTCCCTTTGGAATCATTGTTCAGGAGGAGTCTCCATGGAACTCAGGGACAGGGGACACATCCCAGCTAACATCACCCAGGTTGTGACTAAACTATGAGGATGAAGAGTTATGACCCTGAAAAAAGGCCAGGCTCGTATTTTTTAGAGATGGAGTCTCACTCTGTGGCCCAGGCTGGAACACAGTGGCACAATCACAGCTCACTGCAGCCTTGACCTCCTGGGCTCAAGTGATCCAGCGCCCTCAGCCTCTTGAGTAGCTAGGACTACAGGTGCACACCACCATGCCCAGCTAATTTTTTATTTCTCCCTAGAGATAGGGTCTCATTATATTGCTCAGGATGATCTCAAACTCCTGGCCTCAAGTGATCCTCCCACCTCAGCCTCTCCCACCAGCTGCATATGCACATGTTTATGTGACTTTTTTTTTTTGAGACGCTCTGTCCAAGTGCAGTGGTGCAATCTTGGCTCATTGCAACCTCTAACTCCCAGGTTCAAGCGATTCTCCTGCCTCAGCCTCCCAAGAAGCTTGGATTATAGGCACCCACCATCGCGACCGGCTAAATGTTGCATTTTTAGTAGAGACGGGTCTCACCATGTTGGCTGGGCTAGTCGCAAACTCTTGACCTCAGGAGATCTGCCCACCTTGGCCTCTCAAAGCCCTGGAATGACAGGAGTGAGCCACTGTGCCCAGCCTAAATGGCTGTTTTCTACTGGAGTATTTTTCTATGTTACTAGCTTGGTTTGTAGACTTTTTTTTTTTCCCACCAACTGTGCATATGCAGTTGGTGGCAAGCATGTTGCATGTTCAGAGCTAGAAGGAAACCCATCAAAGCCGTGTTAGGGTGGTGTAGCAGGTGAGAGTTTTTCTTTTGTGCTTTTCACTGCTTTCCTGGGATGAGCATGTGTTTTCACTGTAAGAAACAATATGGGTCTGAGGCCGGGTGCGGTGTCTCATGCCCGTAATCCCAGCACTTTGAGAGGCTGGAGTACAGTGGCGTGACTGCGGCTCACTGCAACCTCTGCCTCCCAGATTCAAGCAATTCTCCTGCCTCAGCCTTCCCAGTGGCTGGGACTACAGGTGTGTGCCATCATGCCCGGCTAATGCTTTGTATCTTTAGTAGAGAAGGAGTTTCACTGTGTTAGCCAGGATGGTCTCGATATCCTGACCTCATGATCCACCCGCCTTGGCCTCCCAAAGGACATTATTTTTAATTCTTTCATATTCTACAGAATGGAAATTCCTAAAATACAGTATTAAGTAAACCCTAGCTAAAATTCTCACAGGGTTGAGTACTTAAGTCTTTTAACGCCTACCCTCACTTCACAAACGTATCTGTATATGAAGCGCTCTCTATGAAGTTAGAGTCAAGAGTGAGGATTACCGAGGAAAAGCCGGCCTGATGCCATCTGCTGACCACCTGTGTGTGAGGCACAGGGCGAGGTGTTCTCTGAGGGTTCCCGCCTCCCCTCCCATGTGCAGTGGGCACTCCCATCAACAGTGGGCAGTGTCTGCCGTGGACCACCCCCAAGGCAGTGACTGCCTGGGTCAGCGGCTGCGTCCCACGGCGGCACGTCACAATGTGATGCAGCAGCCACACCCCGAGGATGCGGGCCAGGCCCCACCCCTGCACGTTCAGTCAGGGCACAGCCCCCAGAAGTAACCCATTTGGTTTCCTGAGTGCCCAGAACATTTTTAAGCCATTCCAGAGAGAACCAGTGCCGTGGCCCTGTGTGCTGCTCAACAGGGCAAGGGCTGTCTTCACTTAACACTGTCACAAATAAGACAGTGCTCTGACAAATAAGGAAGTCATAAAGAAAAAAGGCAGAGGACATAAACAGACATTTCTGCAGGAATAACTTAAAACTGCCATTAAATAAAGGAAAGCTGTTTTTAACATAAGCACGCACACACACACAAACACACCCTACACACACCACACACACACCACACACACACACACCACACCCCACACACAACACACACACCCCACACATACCACACACACAACACACACACACCAAACACACAACACACACACAAATACACACCACACACACACCCCACACCCACACCACATACACCACACCCAACACACACAAACACACACCACACACAACACACACACACAACACACACACACCACACACACACCACACACACAAACACACCACACACAACACACCACACACACCACACAACACACACACCCCACACACACACACCCCACACAACACACACAAACACACCACACACACCACACCACACAACACACACAAACACACACCACACAACACATACACACAACACACAACACACACACACACAACACACACACACACTTTAAAAAAATTTTTGGAAACAGGGTCTCCATCTGTCACCCAGGCTGGAGTGCAACAGCAGGATCTTCGCTCACTGCAACCTCCTTCTCCCAGACCCAAGCCATCCTCTGGCGACAGTCTCCCGAGTAGTTGGGATTACAGGTGCACACCACATCTGGCCAGTTTTTGTACTTTTTGTAGAGATGGGGTTTCACCAGGTTGCCCAGGCTGGTCTGAAACTCCTGGACACAGAAGATCTGCCTACCTTGGCCTCCCAAAGTAGGTGAGATTACAGGCGTTAGGCACTGTGCCTGGCCAGAATTATATATTAAAGCATCAAAATTCATCTAGGAAGAGTGACACATCATAAAGCAACCATGGTGCTGGCCAGGGCACAGACCCAGGCCGAGCCCCCGCTGGATGCAGACGCAGCCTGTGAAGGGGCGGTGTTATCAGCAGGTGGGAAACGATGGATTATTCAATATGGTGATGTGGGGATGACTGATCATACAGATGGAAAAGGAGAAACTGCATCCTTACTTCACAGGTTACCTTACAGCCAACACCACTTTAAAACCTGAGCCCCAGGGGCCAGATGGGAGTGTCTGCGTGCGGTGGCGCAGGCACTCACACTGCTGAGGGGCGACACTCGGGTCCTGCTCGCGCTCCGCTCTCCGGTCGGGCATGGGCTGGAAGCAGCAGGTGCACAAGGCATGGCTTCCTTGCAGAGGGCACACGTAATCCTGAACTGCTGAAGCACACACACGTTCAGCCGGAGCACATGGGATCCAGGGCAGAAAAACAGCAGGTTAGAGACGTACATCTAAAGAGGCCACCAGGAAGCACACACGAGGAGAGGTGGACCTGAGACAGCCAGGGAAGATGCAGACCTCTCTCTGAAACTGCTAGGGGACTTTCTGCCACTCACACTAGGGGCATTCAAACAGATTAACAATAACCAAAAATGATCTTTGGAGGAAGAATTCAAAGATCTGTTGAAGGTTTTCTATTATTTCCTACAGAGAGGACAGGCCCATGGAGCATATGACCTAGAACAAAACAAGCTGTGTACTCAACTTCTGCTCAGGTGAGAGAACAGCTATCTCCTTCAAATAAACAAGGACAGGCAAGGTGCACAAGACCAGTTGACGTGGCAGCAGGAAGCCTGAGCTCGCCCCGCCAAGCTCCCTGCACCCTCACCATCCACACAGGAAAGACCACAGGGAGGTCACCACAGCGGCCAGCAGGATGGCAATTTCACTGCCCAGGTTCACTGAGGAATCCAGGACCTCAGAAAGAGGTGCTGGTCCTGCCACAAAAACAAAGGAATTTGTCCAGTGACCCAGACAGAGCTACTGAGTGGCAGAGGCAAACCCAGGCTGGCAGATGGGCATCCACACCAAGGCCAAGCACTGCTTTGTGCACTCAATCCACAGGTTCTACAAGAAGCCACTGAGAACGGCAGCACAAGGACGTGGCTCTACATCAATCCCAGGCCAGTGGCCTCCTGATGTGCTCAGACCACCCGTGGCCAGGAAGCCAGGACCCTTGAGGGCCATCTTCACCTTCTATGTGTACTAGAGTGAGCAGGGTGGAGAAGTGCAGCCTTCACACCCCATGCCCGGCTCTCCTCTAACTTCCTTGATGGCACCTGTGGCCCCTTGTTGGAAATAGGCACCTAACGGGAAAGCGTTTAGCATCAAGGCAACTCTAGAGATGCAGGGCGACTTGTGGTGACAATACCACAGCTGCTGGGGAGAAGCCCACCTCTTACTTGAGGGACAGATATATGCAGTCATCACTGGGTCTGGCAAACCCACTGGGGGACATCAGCTGCTCTATGCATGGCTAGGAAGAAACCAAATATTAAGGTCGGGGCTGTTAATTCCCAGCAGTCCTCAGGAGGGGCCATGAATGAAGTTACTCCTCTGATTTCCAAGCCCCAAATCAGTCACGAAAAGCAACGAATTAACACAGGGAGACCTCTGAGGCCAGGGCCCAAAGGGGGCGAGGGGTGCAGAGAGGAGACAGGCAGAGTGAGGCTCACCTGTCATGAGGCTGGCGGATGTGGAGGGTGTGTCCCCGAGGGCCTGTGGAGCCCCTGGCTCGCCCTCGGGTGCTGGGCAGCGGGGAGGCTGCGCCGCCTGCCTTCTGTACTCAGGACACTGCCGGCACACGACGTACGGCTGGCTGCAAGGAAGCACACGCTGAGCTGCATGCAGGCCCCCAGCCTCTTTCAGGCAGGGCTGGTGCAGCACGGTCTGCAGCTGTCACACCTCAGCTCCACCCTCACTCAGCTGCTTGGTATGAGGGGAAGGGCTGGGCCCCCTTCCTGCCCAGCACCCCACTGCTGGAGGATGGGACCAGGAGTTGAAGGGCAAGGACGTGCTGCTCTGCGTATCCAGCTTAGCTCCCACGCTTTGGAATGCCATCCCCAGGGCCACTCAGTCCCCACTGACGTGTGCTCCCAGAAGACAATGCCAGCACAGGGCTCAGGCCAGCACGTGCAAGGCACACCCCATGCTCCTCGAGACACCACCTACTCTCCGGTGACAGGAGCACAGTGCACAAGGTCCAGGGGCCCCACATCAGGCGCCTGCACAGCCCCAAATCACTTATCTTTCTATGCTTCCCTTGTACTTCCAAAAACTAGTAGAGAAAAATGTAAACTACAAAAAAAGAACTTCCCTGTAATCCCAGCACTTTGGGAGGCCAAGGTGGGCAGATCATGAGGTCAAGAGATTGAGACCATCCTGGCCAACATGGTGAAACCTTGTCTCTACTAAAAAATACAAAGGTTAGCTGGGCATGGGGGTGTGCACCTGTAGTCCTAGCTACTCGGGAGGCCGAGGCAGGAGAATTACTTGAACCCAGGAGGCAGAGGTTGCAGTGAGCTGAGATCGCACCACTGCACTCCAGCCTGGCTACTGGCGACAGAGCATGACTCTGTTTAAAAAAAAAAAAAAAAAAAAAAAGAGACTACCTATTTATCCTACTAAACAGGCAAAAAAACTCCATCGTGGTGCAGACCTTGTAGAGTGCATTATACACGCCCTTTCTGATCGGTGTCTGGAGAACAAACTTATCAAATGTCTATCAAGGTGAATTCCCAGTCACACCCCGTGACTTGACTGCTTCACATCTAAACATTTGTCTTCATGCCATCACCGGACATGTGCACAAGTATGGATGTAAGAAATGCACAGCAGCCTGTTTGCACAACAGTGCAAATGCCCATTGCAATCACCTGTGGCTGACGCTCTGTTAGCTGCCAGCCTAAGTATTCACCAGTCCTTGCCACACCTCTCAGGCCTTTGCTGCTAAGGGGCAGAACTAGAACTCAGAACCCATGTGGTCCACCCGGTAGCACGCTCTCAGCCATGGTGCTGATGTTCCTCCAGCTGCCACACTCTGCTCTGAGCCAGGGGCATGATTTACCTAATGTCTGAGGACTCACTGTCAACGTCCGACAGCTCCAGCAGGTCCTCTGAACTCCCGTCTTCATCGGAGAAAGACCGCCTGACTTTGGGCTGCAGCATGTCTTGAGTGATTTTATTCCTGGCATCCATACTTTGCACATCTTCTTCACTGCGACTCTTGTCTAGAATTGAAAGAACACAGCACCATTCACCGGCAGTGAGACACACCAGGCAGACACAGCCCACACTGCGTGCCCAGTGACACAGAAGGAGAGGTCTGGGTAAACCACCCTCACTTGCCTGGGTGCTGGATAAGGTACGCTTCCACGAGGTTGTTGAGGATGTGGTTTTTACAGATCCGCTCCACGGGACAGCGGCAGGTGGGGCACAGGGATGAGCGCTCCATCCAACCAGAGTAGCAAGCCGCACAGAACGTGTGCATGCAGGGCTGCAAACTGAAACCGCGAGAGGGAGCCATGTTCACACAGAGCCGCACACACGCAACCATCACTCTTGGGCCAAGGTCTGCAGCAGCCCTACCACACAAGGGCCTGCAGGGTCCAGCCATCATTCAGCCTAAAACCCTTTAGCTTAGTCTTTGTTAATGAGAAGAAATCAGAGACCACAAGCCCTGTGTTTTCAGGAGGAACGGAGGTGAGTACCTTATGACTTCAGGAACACAAACAACAGAGACACCAAGTGTTTCTAGCCTGGGAGTCGGAAGCTTCTCACTCTTAAGTTCCCATGGAAAAGCAAGGAGGCCCTTCCTCAGCTGCTCCTGCGTTCATTCCATGCTTAAATACACTTTCCTAGCTAAAAAACATTTAAAATGTGCATAGTTCCTTTCTTTTTTTTTTTTGAGACGGAGTTTCGCTCTTGTTACCCAGGCTGGAGTGCAATGGCGCAATCTCAGCTCACCGCAACCTCCGCCTCCTGGGTTCAGGCAATTCTCCTGCCTCTGCCTCCTGAGTAGTTGGGATTACAGGCATGCGCCACCATGCCCAGCTAATTTGTTTGTATTTTTAGTAGAGACGGGGTTTCACCATGTTGACCAGGATGGTCTCGATCTCTTGACCTCATGATACACCTGCCTCAGCCTCCCAGAGTGCTGGGATTACAAGCGTGAGCCACCGCGCCCGGCCAGTTCCTTTCATCTATCTGCAGTGTTCACTGGGTCACATACGACTCACACTCCCGAAACCTTGTGGGGTCTACAGCCTCCGGCTCTGAGTTCCAGGTTTCCTCCTTGATGGTGCCACAAGTAAAATGAAAATGGTGGCCAAGCACAGTGGCTCATGCCTGTAATCCCTGCAATTTGAGAGGCTGAGGCAGGAGAATAAGTTGAGGTCAGGAGTTCAAGACCAGCCTGGGCAACATAGCAAAACCCTGTCTACACAAAAAATACAAAATTAGCCATGTGGCTGGGTGCGATGGCTCATACCTGTAATCCCAGCACTCTGAGAGGCTCAGGTAGGCGGATCATCTGAGGTCAGGAGTTCAAGACCCGCCTGGCCAACATGGCAAAACCGTGTCTCTACTAAAAAATATTAAAAAATTAGCTGGGCGTGGTGGCACATGTCTGTAGTCCAGCTGCTCAGGAGGCTGAAGCAGGAGAATCGTCTGAACCTGGGAGGCACAGGTTGCAGTGAGACAAGATTGCACCACTGCACTACAGCCTGGTGACAGAGTAAGACTCCGTCTCAAAAAAAAAACCAGAATAATAAATAAAAACGACAAAATCAGAACATTAAAAAAAAATCAGCCAGGCATAGTGGTGGGCACCTGTAGTCCCAGCTGCTCAGGAGGCTGAGGTGAGAGAACCACTTGGGCCAAGGAAGGAGAGGTTGCAGTGAGCTGAGATGGCACCACTGCACTCTTACCTGGGTGACAGAGCCAGGCCTTGTCTAAAAAGAAAAATACAATAGTAACCTCAGCAGATTCTATGGCAAACAGGACCCGGAGGCTGGTTTCATGCCCACCCCCCTCCCCACACCAGATGAGGAAACTGCAGCGCCAAGGGTGAACGCAGCCGCACCTCACGCAGTCATGCAGCAGGTCCTGGCAGATGATGCATGTCAGCGTCTCCTCCATCTTGTCTGGCTTCCCAGCCGCAGCTCTGACGTCGTCGTGGACAGTTTGGGTGTTTCTACACGGCTGTGCAACCAACACCTCTAGGTTCAGGTCGAGGTCCCCAGCTGCAAGGGAACGGGATGTGTTCTGACTCTCGTAAACAAGGAGGGAACACATGTAGTATTTTCAGTTTACAAACATCTTCACCTGCAGACACAGAAAGTCTCCAGGCCTCAGTTGTCCAGAACCAGAAGCAGAAAACACACAGGCCTTGCCTTATATTTGTATTTCTAACGGGTATTTTTCACCAGGCATCATGGCTTACACCTGTAATCTCAGCACTTTGGGAGGCTGAGGCAGGCAGATCAACTTCAGGTCAGCAGTTTGACACCAGCCTGGCCGACATGGTGAAATCCTGTCTCTACCAAAAATACAGAAGTTAGCTGGAAATAACTTGAACCTGGGAGGTGGAGGTTGCAGTTAGCTCAGATTGTGCCACTGTACTCCAGCCTGGGCAACAGAGTAAGACTCTGTCTCCAAAATAATAATAATAAAAATAAATAAATAGAGTATTTTTAAGAAGGTCCAAAATAAATCTCCTATTCCAGTAGGTTTAAGTTTTGTATTAGAGGAATGGTTCATAACATTAAAAAAGAAATTCAGGCTGGGTGCGGTGGCTCAAGCTTGTAATCCCCAGCACTTTGGGAGGCCGAGGTGGGTGGATCACGAGGTCAAGAGATCGGGACCATCCTGGTCAACATGCTTAAACCCCGTCTCTACTAAAAATACAAAAAACTAGCTGGGCGTGGCGGTGCGTGCCTGTAATCCAGCTATTCAGGAGGCTGAGGCAGGAGAATTGCCTGAACCCAGGAGGTGGAGGTTGCAGTGAGATCACGCCATTGCACTCCAGCCTGGGTAACAAAAGCGAAACTCCGTCTCAAAATAAAAACAAAAACAAAAAAGAGTTGAAGGCCAGCTGTCAGTGTGTATGATGTCATTTTCTTTAAACACAAACTGTAACTCACGTACACAGAGGAAAGTGCTAAGACTGAAGATGTCACCAGCTCAAAATTTTTTTCTTCTAATGTGTTTTTATTTTTCTACAATGCTCAGATGTTGGTAATCATTAGTTAATTTTTATTTTTAAAGAAACCGCACAGAATTTAAAAAGCCAAATATTTAGAAGAAGCCAGGTGCAGAGGCTTACACCTATAATTCCAGCACTTTCGGAAGTTGAAGCGGGCAGGTCGCTTGAGCCCAGGAGTTCAAGACCAGCTTGGGCAATATAGTGAAACCCCATCTCTACAAAAAATACCAAAAAAAAAAAAAAAATTGGCCGGGTGTGGTGGTGCTCACCTGTGGTCCCACCTACTAGGGAGTCCACGGTGGGAAGACTGTCTGAGTCCAGGAGGTGGAGGTTGCAGTGAGCCAAGACTGCACCACTGCACTCTAGCCTGAGTGACAAAGCAAGACCCTGTCTCTTTAAAAGTGTACACATATTCAGAAGAGAACAAAGGGAGTCACCCTCTGCCTCAGCTTCTCCGCACCCTATCTCCCTCATCTGAGGAAAACTACTTTCATGTCTGTGAGCTGTTTCTTCTGGTATTTACCTCTGTGTTTCTAAGTCATAATGATACATATTAATTTATCAATTTTAGGCATCATCCCTGACACCTATTAAAGTCAGGCAAAACTCTACCTGAGTCTCCCCTGCCAACATTCCTGAACACAACTGTTAGTTTATTACGTTATATTTATATTAGCATGCTATGTAAGTATCCGCTGCTGAGCCAAGGAATGTGCTAGATTACGTTGTGTGACTTGCAGTTTTTCATGTTTGCTAGAACTAAAATTTCCTCACTCCTGTGCTTATTTTTCCTATGTAACTGTTGCTGATTCTTTCCACACCTTGCCCATGCCAATCGACTCAACCTGTCAGAGAACGGGATTTCTTTCCCTGGGGATCCTCCGGGAGCCTTTCTGCCAGTGCCCTGGCCTGTGGGCTGCTCTCAGACTGTGCACAGCCAGCCTTCTACCACAACATTCCCAAACCTTTTCTAATAACCTTTTAACTCTGGCTTTCAAAGTGCAGACTTCTCTCTAAATCATCTTCAGTGTGAAGATTTAAGTTACATTTTTAGAAATTATTGTCCTACTAGGACAGAGGGCTTTCTCTTTTGATTTTTTTTTTTTTTTTTTTGAGACAGAGTTTCACTCTTGTTGCCCAGGCTGGAGTGCAGTGGCAGGATCTCAGCTCACTGCAACCTCGCCTCCTGGGTACAAGCAATTCTCCTGCCTCAGCCTCCTTACTAGCTGGGATTAGGTACCCACCATCAGGCCCAGCTAATTTTTGCATTTTTAGTAGAGACAGGGTTTCACCATGTTGGCCAGGCTAGTCTCAAACTCCTGACCTCAGGTGATTCACCATCCTTGGCCTCCCAAAGTGCTGGAATTAACAGGTGTAAGCCACAGCACCCAGCTTGATTTTTACTTTTAGAGACCAAGTCTTGCTCTGTTGCCCAGGCTGGTCTCGAACACCTGACCTCAAGTTATTCTCTTGCCTTGGCCTCCCAGTGTTAGGATTACAGGTATGAGCTAGTGCACCTGGCCAGGATGGAGGACTTTCAGATTAATTCTTCAATTCAGAATGGACTATTTCCAGACCAAGAGAACAGTCTGTAGTAAACCACAGTTCTATGGGGATTATGCAAACAGCAAAAAACAGGACCAGATTTTCATTCAGAAAATGTCGGAGGTGTTACAGGCATTAGCCTGAGGCAGGGTCCACGTACCCCTGCAGGAAGTAAGGCTTCACAGCACAGAGCATGGCAGCAGCCCCTGAACGCCCCAGGAGATCACGAGAGGGCAAAGGACCCACAGAACCAGACTCTGACCTCCTTTCATTTTCTTTCTCATGGGCTCCACATCCTCCTGATCCTGGGGTTCCAATGAAGAAGATGACACGGCCTTTCTGTCTGGGAGAGCTGAGGCAAAGCTGGAGACTTCATCACTTGTCACGGAAGGACCACCTCCTTTAGGGAAGTTGCCAACGCCCTCAGACCCTGTGAGAGGAATGAAACGAGACAGTACTGACCCGTCCACCTCAGGAGAGAACCACACCTGTAAGATGTCACTGACTGAACAGTGCAGCTGGCAACCTGAGATGCCACAGTTTACGGATGACAAGTGGCTTGCCAGGAGTGTGTGCTCACTGAACCAACACCTTCACTGTACCTGTGCCCATCTCTGTGTGTGGTGGAGCTGGGGGCAAGCAGCACACCGGCAGAGAAACAAATGCAGAGGCCTGTGACCAGGCTTAGCCCTTGAGCGCTGAGTCCTAACGTAGGACAAATCCACACACCGGTGGCCAGATGATGCACACCCTATTGTAAACAATGTGAAAATAGAGGTCTGGGGGCTTGGCTCCCTGCCTATAGGTGGCTCATGCCTATAATCCCAGCACTTAGGGAGGCCAAGGTGGGGCAGATCACCTGAGGTCAGGAGTTTGTGACCTCCTGACACACATGGAGAAACCCTGTCTCTACTAAAAAAAAAAAAATTAGCCAGGTGGTGGCACATGCCTGTAACAACAGCTACTGGAGAGGCTGAGGCAGGAGAATTGCTTGAACCTACCAGGTGGAGGTTGCAGTGAGCTGAGATAGCGCCACTGCACTCCAGCCTGGGCCACAAGAGGGAAGCTCTGTCTTCAAAAAAAAAAAGTCTGTAATCCCAGCACTTTGGAGGCCAAGGCGAGTGGATGTCCTGAGGTCACGAGTTTGAGACCAGCCTGGCCAATATGGTGAAACCTTGTTTCCTTTTTTTTTTTTTCAGATTAATTCTTCAATTCAGAATGGACTATTTCCAGTTTCACTGTTGTTACCCAGACTGGAGTGCAATGGCAAGATCTCAGCTCACCGCAACCTCCGCCTTCTGGGTTCAAGCAATTCTCCCGCCTCAGCCTCCCGAGTAGCTGGGACTACAGGCGCGCACCACCATGCCCAGCTAATTTTTTTGTATTTTTAGTAGAAACGGGGTTTCACCTTGTTGACCAGGATGGTCTCGATCTCTTGACCTCGTGATACACCCGCCTCGACCTCCCAAAGTGCTGGGATTATAGGCGTGAGCCACCGCACCCGGCCGTGAAACCCTGTTTCTACAAAAAATAAAAAAATTAGCCAGGCATGGTGGCAGGTGCCTGTAATCCCAGCTACTTGGGAGGGTGAGGCAGGAGAACTGCTTGAACTTGGGAGGCAGAGGTTTGCAAGGAGCCAAGATTGCGCCACTGTACTCCAGCCTGGACAACAAGGGCAAAACTCCTTCTCTAAAAATAAAAATAAAAAATAGAGGTCTGAGGCTGGGCATAGGGCTCACGCCTGTAATCCCAGTACTTTGGGAGGCTGAGGTGGGCAGATCACTTGATCCCAGGAGTTTGAGACCAGCCTGGGCAACACAGCAAGACCCCATCTCTACAAAAAATGCAAAACAAAAAACTTAACAGGGTGTGACAGTGAGAGTTTATGGTCCCAGCTACTCAGGAGGCTAAGGTGGGAGGATCACTTGAGCCCAGGAGGTCAGGGCTACAGTGAGCTAGGATCACACCACTCCCAACCTGGGCAACAGAGCAAGACCTCATTAAAAAAAATAAATAAATAAATAAACAACCAAACCCATATATGTATGTGTCTGTGTAAAGCACAGACACAGACAATTCAGTGGAGAGATGCATGGTACTGTGTGTGAACTATTTTGTAAGAGGTATGATAACAGGAAGGAGACAGAGCAGTGACCTGTAGGGAAAGCTCTATCTCCAGGAGCAAGAAGCCAGAGTTGTAACGACTAGAACGACCTTGGCAGAAAAACAGGCAAACTTTCTAATCACCTTTTTTTTTTGAGACAGGGTCTCACTCTTCACCTGGACTGGAGCGCAATGGCAAGAGCTCCACTGACTGCAACCTCCACCTCCCGGGCTAAAGCGGTCCTCCCACCTCTGCCTCCCAAGTAGCTGAAACTACAGGTGTGCACCATCATGCCTGGCTAAATTTTTTTTGTATTTTTGGTGGAGACAGGGTCTTGCCACGTTACCCAGGCTGGTCGCAAACTCCTGAACTCAAATAATCCAACCACCTAGGCCCCCCAAAGTGCTGGGATTACAAGTGTGAGTAACCTATACCTTACTAAGGATCTAGTTTATAATACTGTAGCATAATATGTATCTAGCTTACAGTATTCAAGCATGTTATTATTTGAAAAAACAAACTGGCTTATAACAGCTGAAAGAAAACAGAATAGTTTGGGGAACAAATCATCTCATATACCAACAGTAGGAAAGAGGCAGCCTGTGGGCTGGCTCCCAGGTGGCACCCACTCAGGCCATGATCGCCAGCACCCTGTGCTCAGCTGGGCATCTCATCCTCGGAATGAAGGGGATGACAATGGCGCTTCTGTGGCAGTAACTAACATGGTGAGGAGCACCATCTTATCACTTACAAAACGCACCTAGCACACTGTCTTACATTTAGTGGCTCCTCAGTAAGCAGTAACTATAATTGTTTTGTTAGTATGCATACACTTAGGCATACAGATAGAAGAATTCTTATTTATTATTATTATTATTATTTCATTATTTTATTTTTTTGAGACGGAGTTTTGCTCATTACCCAGGCTGGAGTGCAATGGCGCCATCTCAGCTCACCGCAACCTCCGCTTCCTGGGTTCAGGCAATTCTCCTGCCTCAGCCTCCTGAGTAGCTGGGATTACAGGCGTGTGCCACCATGCCCAGCTAATTTTTTGTATTTTTAGTAGAGACAGGGTTTCACCATGTTGACCAGGATGGTCTTGTTCTCTTGACCTTGTGATCCACCCGCCTCGGCCTCCCAAAGTGCTGGGATTACATATTTTTTATTATTTTATTTTATTTTTTTGGTGGGGAGACAGAGTCTTGCGCTGTCGCCCAGGCTAGAGTGCAGTAGCACCATCGTGGCTCACTGCAACCTCCGCCTCCTGGGTTCAAGCGATTCTCTTGCCTTAGCCTCTCAAGCAGCTGGGAATACAGGAAGGCAACTGCCAACCATGCCCAGCTAATTTTGGTATTTTTAGTAAAGATGGGATTTCACTGTATTGGCCAGGCTGGTCTCGAACTCCTGACCCCGTGATCCTCCAACCTCGGCCTCCCAAAGTGCTGGGATTACAAGCGTGAGCCATCATGCCCAGTCTCTCTCTTTTTTTTTTTTGAAACAGGGTCTCACTCTGTCATCCAGGCTGAAGTGCCGTGGCAAGCCCTCGGCTCACTGCAACCCCTGCCCCCTAGTGTCAGGTGATCCTCCTGCCACAGCCTCCCGAGTAGCTGAGACTACAGGCACCCGCCACCACACCTGGCTTATTTTTGCATTTTTAGTAGAGACAACAAGGTTTCACCACGTTGGCTAGGCTCGTCTGAAACTCCTGACTTCCAAGTGATTTGCGTGCCTTGGCCTCCCAAAGTGCTGAGATTATAGGTCTTGTTTCTTTTTTTGAGGTAAGTTCTGCCTTTGTCTCCAAGGCTGGAGTGCAGTGGTGCAATCTCAGCTCACTGCAACCTCCACCTCCCAGGCTCAAGCAATCCTCCCTCCTCAGCCTTCCAAGTAGCTGGGATTACAGGCACACGCCACCATGGCCAGCTGATTTTTTTATTTTTTGTAGAGACAGAGTTTCACCATGTTGCCAAGGCTGGTCTCAAACTCCTGGGCTCAAGGGATCTGCCCATCTCAGCCTCCCAAAGTGCCGGGATTACAGGTGTGCACCACTCTGCCCAGCACTGGAACATTTTCATCTTGAAGTGTTATTTTCTTCCACTCACACATTTAAGGTTACGATGTTAAAACAAAACTAAATTAAAGAGGCTTTGAGAAGTTGGGGTTGTGTTTAGAGTCTACAGGAGACAGGCCAGTAGGAAATGTTTGTCACGGATTTGGTCTAAGCAGCTCCTCTTATCTCCAGAAGTAACGGGTAAAAACTACACAGCACTCACTCTCCACAGTCTTGTCTGCAACTTAGTTTCCCTAATTAGCACCTGAGAAGCCCTCCCAGGTGTGTCCTGAATTCACATCCGAATGTTACAAAACATGTGAATGTTACTCTTCAGAGGTTGGGGGTGTCTTGTCAGAGTGCGGCGGCACGCTTTTAGAACACTCTGCTGTTGGTGACCAGCCTGGCCAACATGGTGAAACCCCATCTTTACTAAAAATACAAAAATTAGCCGGGTGTGGTGTCGGGCGCCTATGATCCCAGCTACTCAGGAGGCTGATGCATGAGAATCACTTGAACCCAGGAGGCAGAGCTGCAGTGAGCTGAGATTGCGCCACTGCACTCCAGCCTGGGCAACAGAGTGTGACTCTGTCTCAAAAAAAAAAAAAAGGCCAGACACAGTGGCTCACAGCTGTAATGCCAGCACTTTAGGAAGCCAAGGTGTGTGGATCATAAGGTCAGGAGTTCAAGACCAGCCTGGCCAATATGGTGAAACCCCGTCTCTACTAAAAATAGAAAGATTAGCTGAGCATGGTGGCAAGTGCCTGTAGTCCCAGCTATTCGGGAGGCTGAGGCGGGAGAATTGCTTGAACCGGTGAGGAGGAGGTTGCAGTGAGCCAAGATCACACCACCACACTCTAGCCTGGGTGACAGAGCAAGACTCCATCTCAAAAAAATAAAAATACAAAAATAAAATAAAGTTTAAAAAAATTATATGTATAGGGCAACCCAATTTAAGGAAAACATATGTCCACATATTCCACAGAACACCTACATGAAAACATTCCCGTCACACTGCACCCAGATGGAATTCTTCTCAATTACCAGGGAGGAGGTAAAAGAGTTCATGCTATAAGAAACAGCATCTGTAAAACTAGTTTTAAATACACCCTCTTTGGCCAGGTGCGGTGGCTCACGCCTGTAATCCCAGGCCTTTGGGAGGCCGAGGTGGGCGGATCACCTGAGATCAGGAGCTCGAGACCAGCCTGACCAATGTGGAGAAACCCCACCTCTAAAAAGTAAAAATAAAAATAAATAAATACACCCTCTTCTGGATAAACTCTGAAAACATCATGCTAAGTGAAAGAGCCCAGTCACAAAGAACCATGCTGGATTCCATGTCCCTGAAATGTCCGGAACAGACAAATCTCAAGACCAAAAGCACATGCAGCTGCCAGGGGTTGGGGGAAGGGGATGGGGGTGACTGCTGATGGGCACCAGTTTCCTCTGGTGCTAGGAAAATGGTGATGGTCCCACAACCTTGTGATGTACTAAAATCCACTAAAATGTATGCTTTATCTGGATGCCTTTGATGGTACATAAATTATAATCTCAATGAAACTGTAAAACACACCATGGTACTGGAGTCCCTAACCTTCACTTCTCTTAGGGATGGAACAACACTGTCAATATTGACTACCACGAAATCTTACTACTGAGAACCTCATGCCAGTCCTCGGTCGTTTATCTGTCTCTGCAACAACACAGTAAAGAGTAGTGAACAAAAGCTATGCAACCAGCACGAAGACCTCATGAGATGGAACCTCACCGCAACTGGAGGAATGCTCTCGCCCTGCAGGAGGCGGCTCCATGGAAGAGGCAGAGGCTGTGGGGAAGAGGTCTGATGTCGATGTTGATGGCTGTGGTTCCTCAAAGCACACCTGAGCGGCGGGTGACGCCGGTGGGACCCGGGGATCGGCCCCTCGCCCTGCACCTGAGGTATCTTTGGTCCCATGGAACACATTTTCCTTATTAGCTTCTGTAATCCAAAAGGAGCAGAAGAAGAACACATCCAGGGCTCAGGCAGACACTCTAGGGACTGAAACGCTCTTAAGAATTCAACAGCCCCAGAGGGGCATGGTGGCTCACGCCTGTAATCCCAGCACTTTGGGAGGCGAAGGCAGGCAGATCCCAAGGGCAGAAGATCAAGACCATCTTGGCTAACATAGTGAAACCCCGTCTATACTAAAAATACAAAATATTAACCAGGTGTGGTGGCACACACCTGTAATCCCAGCTACTCGGGAGGCTGAGGCAGGAGAATCGCTTGAACCTAGGAGGTGGAGGTTGCAGTGAGCTGAGATTGCGCCACTGCACTCCAGCCTGGGTGACAGAGCGAGACTCCAACTCAAAAAAAAAAAAAAAAGGATACAAAAAATTAACCGGGTGTAGTGCTGCACGCTTGTAATCCCAGCTACTTGGGAAGCTGAAGGAGGAGAATCGCTTGAACCCGGGAGGTGGAGCTGAGATTGCGCCACTGCACTCCAGCCTGAGCAACAAGAGGGAAACTCTGTCTCAAAATAAAAAAGAATGCGGCAGCCGCTAATATGCATCTGTTTCTTTGCTATAATCCTACTTACCAAAGGATTCTTGTGTCATGCCTTGCTTTTCATTTAAAGATTCATAGAGATATGCCACGTCTAAAAGAAAAGTAATCAAGTCAGGGAAGTGATAGCCCCTGCTCGAAGTGAGAACTCAAATGTTTCTGTTCCCCCCAGTCATTTGTTTTGTTGATTATTTTGACTCATCAGCTAGTAACAAATTCATCCAAACCAGGTATCTGAAACATCTTTACAACACAAAAGAAATAAGCCTCGGGGAAAAATGACATCAGGAGGCAGACTAAGGTGAAGAATCTATGCCTCACTTATAATTTCACACCACAAAAAGGAGCAGATACAAGATCCTTCTGTGCGGCAAGGGGATGGTTAAGGTTATGCTGAAGATGCCTAAGACATATTGCTCCATTCTTCCTCACCATTGTGGTCTTTAAGTATTTCAGGAGTGGCTGGGTACAGTGGCTCACGTCTGTGATCCCAACACTTTGGGAGGCCGAGGCAGGCGGATCCAGGAGTTTGAGATCAGCCTGGCCAACAGAGTGAAACACCATCTCTACCAAAAACACAAAAATTAGCTGGGCGTGGTGGCGGACGCCTGTAGTCCCAACTACTCAGGAGGCTGAGGCAGGAGAATCGCTTTAACCCAGGAGGCAGAGGTTGCAGTGAGCCAAGATTGCGCCACTGCACTCCCGCCTGGGCAAGAGTGAGACTCTGTCTCAAAAAAAGTTAAAAAGGCCAGGCACAGTGGCTCACACTTGTAATCCCAGCACTTTGGGAGGCCAAGGTGGGCGGATCACGAGGTAAAGAGATCAAGACCATCCTGGCCAACATGGTGAAACCCCATCTCTACTGAAAATACAAAAATTAGTTGGGGGTGGTGGCACATGCCTGTGGTCCCAGCTGCGTGGGAGGCCAAGGCAGGAGAATCACTTGAACCCAGGAGGCAGAGGTTGCAGTGAGCTGAGCTTATGCCACTGCACTCCAGCCTGGCGACAGAACAAGACTCCGTCTAAAAAAAAAAAAATTAAATAAATAAATATTTCAGGGTGACCTTTGAAGGACTCCCATAACTTTCCTTATCCTATACCACCTCCAAAAAACAAAAACACAGACACCTGGAGCTGAGAAAGTCTTACTGGAATCCAGTCTAACCTCCGGTATTTCTCATAAGGTCTCCAAAAACAGGACCATCAATGGCCTCCAGACCCCTGGTCCTAGGTTTTACTCCCCATAACTCAAGTTCCTCTCCTGTATAACCTAACCCAACTCCACTAGTTCCTCCTTGGCTGCCAATTTGAGATCTGCTGCTCATGGCCATAGCGGTATTCCTGAGGAATGGCTGGGACTCAGGTTGCAAAGTCAGCACTCCCATTCCTCAGCAGGTACTACTCACGTCGGGAACCTACATGACCAGTGAAGGGGATGTCGCCAGGAGGAACGTTCCTATGGGACGGATCTGCTGCACAGACTCTCTGAAGATGCCTCCCAGCCTCAGCAGAGCGCACTCCCGAGCGGGTCTGACCCCAGCAAGCCCTCCCCTCTCTTACTGTGTTCTGGCTCATTCTTCCTGTACACCAAGTAGATGACATCCCCAGTCCGTAGAGGGCAAGTCTGCTTCTTAACAACCTTCAGCTTGTTAATCACTGTTCCATTGGTGCTGAAAAAAAGCAAAAACACAATTTATCCTACTTAAAATAACTTGGAGTTACAAGATTTTTTTTCTAGCACCATTAGCAAAGAGGCTCAATATGACTGTTCTGGAAATCCTCGTAGGAACGGCATGGGTATTTAACGATGCATGCACGCACGCATGCACTCTCACCAATCTCTTGAGAAATGGCTTGCCCACTTCTCCCTGACTGACAGCCTAACCAGCAGCCACACCTCCTCACGCGCTTGGCACCTGTGCTGCTGCAGGGCCGGGTTCTCTCCCATGTGCCTCCTGCTGAACTCTGAGGCCTCGTCCTGCAGTATGGTGCTTCCACCTCCAGCCTCCCTGAGTTGGACCTGTGCTATCCACAGTTCCATTCCCTGGGGACATCATGACCCCAGAGCTCATGCCTCAAACAAGTACTGATCCCTTTCCAAGAGACTGGCTCTGGGCATCAGAGTAAGTCCTGGGCCATTAGCTGCAACACGTAGCCCTGTGCTCAGAACCTGTGCTCTGGTTGTCAAGCCCCTCGAGGCGATCTGTCTGGGGAAAGGCCAATGCAGATGCTGCTGACCCCAGGACAGACAGGAGGAGACCAAGTCGATGGGGCAGGAAGTGCCTCCTGGGGACTTCTGAACAGAGACCTGACAGAAAATCAGGCACTGGCTGGGTGGTGAAGGTCCAAGAGCACAGCATACTGACACAAAACCACAACCGAGCAAACCGACCCACTTCAGTCAAAACACACAGCCTCAGCTCTGCAGCTTAACTCTTGAGGCCCCAGCAGTGGACAGAATTCACATCTGAGTGGCCACTACAGTTTGCTGAGGTACGAGAGTGGCAAACGAGTTCTGCAAACAGATGGTAAACAGTGTAGGTTTTGTGGTCACCTGGTCACCAGTCACCACTGCTGCTACTCAGCTCTGCCACCTGTAGCAGGAAAGCAAACGCAGACAGTGAGCAAATGAACTGCCATGGCCATCTCCCCGTAAAATCTTCAAAACCGGGCAGTGGCTGTGTGTGCCCGAGTTCTGCCATTGCAATGCAAAGCTGACCCTGGAAGACGCAGGTTTGAGCTGTGCAGCACTTATATACGGGCTTTTTTCAACTGGAGGGACGCGAAACCCACACATCTGCTGGAACGACTTTCTGTATCCTCGTGTTCCACAGGGCTGGCTACAGGGCGTGAGTGCACACGGGTCTGGGTGCATGCAGGAGTGCAGGAGCCAATCCCCCGGGATGCCAAGGGGTGACTGCAGTCATCACTCATCCTCACGCTCTTTCCAAACCAACAGCTGCTTATTTCACTTCTCTCAATGACTCCTCACTGCCCTCAGGCTAAAGCCCAAGCTCCCTCTGCTGCTCACCACGCACTCTGACCACATGGCCCCTGCTCACACTTGGGGGTCCCCATACATGTGTTTCTTCTGCCTGAGCATCCACCCCTAAGCCCACCTCTGCTGAGGAACGTAGCACCTCTGGAAGCTGGAAAAGGCAGAGAACAAATTCTCCCCTGAAACCTCAAGAAGAAACCAGCCCTGTACAGAGCTTGATTTTAGCCCCATCAGATCCACGTTGGACTTTGGACCTTCCTAACTCTAGTAAGAAATAAATTTGTGTTTTTTAAATCCACTAAGTTTGTGGCAAGTTGTTACAATAGCCACAGGAAACTAGCACCCCCATACAGTCAGCCCATGGAGGCTAAGCCCTGGTACAGGTGGGACGGCTCAGGACCAGCTTCCAGCCCAGGAAAGCCAGGCCCTGGTACAGGTGTAATGGCCCAGGACCAGCACCCAGCATGGGGAAGCCAGGCCCTGGTACAGGTGGAACGACCCAGGACCAGCACCCAGAACAGGGAAGCCAGGCCCAGGTACAGGCGGGACGACCCAGGACCAGCACCCAGCACAGGGAAGCCAGGCCCTGGTACAGGCGGGACGACCCAGGACCAGCACCCAGCACAGGGAAGCCAGGCCCTGGTACAGGCGGGACGACCCAGGACCAGCACCCAGCACAGGGAAGCCAGGCCCTGGTACAGGCGGGACGACCCAGGACCAGCACCCAGCACAGGGAAGCCAGGCCCAGGTACAGGTGGGACGACCCAGGACCAGCACCCAGCACAGGGAAGCCAGGCCCAGGTACAGGTGGGACGACCCAGGACCAGCACCCAGCACAGGGAAGCCAGGCCCAGGTACAGGTGGGACGACCCAGGACCAGCACCCAGCACAGGGAAGCCAGGCCCAGGTACAGGTGGGACGACCCAGGACCAGCACTCTGCCTTCGCCATTGTGCTGAGAAATACAGAACTTGGTCTGACACCTACTAGACTAGGAAAAGGAGCATCAGTTCTCCCTAAAAAAAACCTACTTCCTAATCTTCTATCCCTGAAACTATCAGTTGCCTAAGAATCTCATAAAGCCTAATCTTTATCAACTAAAAAACATCCTGCAGTGAGAAAAGCACACTCTCAACATACTGCTAGAAGACCACCTGCCACTTATAGCAGATTTAAATTAGGCACGTTCTGACAGGGTGCAGGAGCTCACACCTGTAATCCCAGCACTTTGGGAGGCCAAGGTGGGTGGATCACCTGAAGCCAGGAGTTCAAGTCCAGCCTGGCCAACTTGGTAAAACCCCATCTCTACTAAAAAAAATATATATATACAAAAATTAGGTAAGCGTGGTGTCATGTGCCTGTGATCCCAGCTACTTGGGAGGCTGAGACAGGAGAATCACTCAAACCCAGATGGCAGAGGTTGCAATGAGCGAAAATCATGCCACAGAGTGAGACTTCGTCTCAAAAAAAAAAAAAAAAAAAAGGCCAGGTGCGGTAGCTCACATATGTAATCGCAGCACTTCAGGAGACCAAAGCAGGTGGTTCACGAGGTCAAGAGCTCAAGACCATCCTACCCAACATGGTGAAACCCCATCCCTACTAAAAATACAAAAATCAGCTGGGTATGGTAGCGTATGCCCGTAGTCCTAGCTACTCAGGAGGCTAAGGCAAGAGAATCGCTTGAACCTGGGAGATGGAGGTTGCAGCGAGCTGAGATTGCGCCACTGCGCTCCAGCCTGGGCCACAAGAACAAAACACTGTCTCAAAAAAAAAAAAACAAAAAACTACAACCGCCAGGCGCAGTGGCTCTCACCCATAATCCCACACTCTGGGAGGCTGAGGCGGGTGGATCACCTGAGGTCAGCAGTTCAAGACCAGCCTGGCCAAGATGGCAAAACCCCATCTCTACTAAACATATGAAAATTAGCCAGGTATGGTGGTAGGCACCTGTAATCCCAGCTACTCGGGAGGCTGAGGCAGGGAGAATTGCTTCGAGGTTGCGGTAAGCCAAGATTATTACCCTGCACTCCAGCCTGGATGACAAGAGCAAGATTCCATCTCAAAAATGAATAGACACATTCTAACACAGGCTTCCCTTCCAAGAAAACAGACATGAAGGCAGAGTTTGGGAAAGAGTCACTGCAGTGTTATTTATAAGAAAAGTCAGGGTCGGGCGCGGTGTTTCAAGCCTGTAATCCCAGCACTTTGGGAGGCCGAGGCAGGTGAATCACGAGGTTAAGAGATCGAGACCATCCTGGTCAACATGGTGAAACCCCGTCTCTACTAAAAATACAAAAAATAAGCTGGGTGTGGTGGCGCGTGCCTGTAATCCCAGCTACTCAGGAGGCTGAGGCAGGAGAATTGCCTGAACCCAGGAGGCAGAGGTTGCGGTGAGCCGAGATCGCACCATTGCACTCCGACCTGGGTAAGAGCGAAACTCCGTCTCAAAAAAAAAAAGTCAAAACAATAACTGGGCGCGGTGGCTCACGCCTGTAATCCCAGCACTTTGGGAGGCTGAGGTGGATGGACCACCTGAATTTGGGAGTTCAAGACCACCCTGACCAACATGGAGAAACCCCATCTCTTAAAAGTAAAAAATAAAAAAAGTCAAAACAATAAATACCCACCAACAAGGGAAGTGACAAACTATCATAAAACAATGAGAAACAGTGACATATGAAGCGCTACATAAAACACTAAGCAAAAAAAGCTGGCCAGATGCGGTGGTTCACGCCTGTAATCCCAGCACTTTGGAAGACCAAGGCAGGTGGATCACCTGAAGTCAGGAGTTCAAGACCAGCATGGCCAACATGGTGAAAGCCCTCTCTACTAAAAGTACAAAAAAACTAACCAGGAACAGTGGTGCATGCCTGTAATCCCAGCTACATGGGAGGCTGAGGGGGGAGAATCGCTGGAACCTGGGAGGCAGAGGCTGCAGTGAGCTGAGATTGCGCCACTGCATTCCAGCCTGGGCAAAAAAAAAAAAAAAAAAAAAAAGAAAAACGCTGACACCACAACAGTATGTGCAGTGTAATCTCATTTATGTGAAATAAATCTACCTACACATGCATTTTTTTTTTTTGAGAGTCTTGCTCTGTTGCCTAAGATGGGAGTGCAGTGGCATGATCTCGGCTCAATGTAACCTCCACCTCCTGGGTTCGAGCAATTCTCTGCCTCAGCCTCCTGAGTAGCTGGGATTACAGGTGACCGCCACCACTCCTGGCTAATTTTTTTTGTATTTTTAGTAGACACAGAGTTTTATCATCTTGGCCAGGCTGGTCTTGAACCCCTGACCTTGTGATCCACTTGTCTCGGCTTCCCACAGTGCTGAGATTACAAGCATGAGCCACTGCGCCCAGACCTACATGTTCATTTTTAATGTATAAATGGGATTATGGAAAGCTTTCCACTTTCTTTTTTTTTTTTTGAGACAGAGTCTTGCTCTGTAGCAGGCTGGAGTGCAGTGGCGGGATCTCTGCTCACTGCAACCTCCACCTCCCAGGTTCAAGCGATTCTGCCTCAGCCTCCTGAGTAGCTGGGACTATAGGTGTGAACCACCATGCCCAGCTAATTTTTGTATTTTTAGTAGAGACGGGGTTTCACCATGTTGGCCAGGATGGTCTCGATCTCTTGACCTCGCGATCCACCCGCCTCGGCCTCCCAAAGTGCTGGGATTACAGGCGTGAGCCACCGCGCCCGGCCAAGCTTTCCACTTTCTAGCCGAATATTCCTAACCTGAATGTCCCTCATCAGAAATCTCAAATTTGAAACTTTCTGAGCACCAAAAAGACACTCAAAAAAAATACTCACTGGAGCATTTCAGATTTTTGAATCAGATATGCTCAACTCGTAAGTATAATGCAAATATTCCGAAATTTGAAAAAATCCAAAATCTAAACATTTTATTCTCAATCATTTCAGACATGGGATACTCAACCTGTACTTAGGATGTATAAGAACAAGAATTTAGGGGCCGGAGGCGGTGGCTCACGCCTGTAATCCCAGCACTTTGGGAGGCCAAGTTGGGTGGATCACGAGGTCAAGAGATCCAGACCATCCTGGTCAACATGGTGAAACCCTATCTCTACTAAAAATACAAAAAATTAGCTGGGCACGGTGGCGCGTGCCTGTAATCCCAGCTAATCAGGAGGCTGAGGCAGGAGAATTGCCTGAACCCAGGAGGTGGAGGTTGCAGTGAGCCAAGATCGCGACATTGCACACTCCAGCCTGGGTAACAAGAGCGAAACACCGTCTCCAAAAAAAAAAAAAAAAAAAAAAAGAACGAGAATTTATTAGTTTTTAAAAAAGATTTTTTGATTTGGGGAAAAGAGATCAAACTTGAATAGGCTTGCAAGAACCAAAAATGATCAGTATATTTTAAATCTTATTTCTGAGACACATTTAATTTGAATATATTCAAGAAGGGTCACAGACACCAAAGTGTCACCAAGTGTCCCATCCTGGAAACCAGGAGATATATCTTCTCAGACCTTGGGAGGCTAATTAACTACAGTCATGCCCCAGATAATAATGTTTCGTTCAACAGACTGCATATACGATAGTAGTACCATAAGATTAAAATATCACATTTTCACTGTACTTTTTCTATGCTTAGATAGATACTCTCATCATTGCGGTACAACTGCCTACAGGATTCAGTATAGTAGCACGCTGTACAGGTTTACAGCCCAGGAGCAACCGGCCAGACCATAACCTGGGTGTGGAGTAGGCCATGCCAGCCAGGTTTGTGTAAGTACACTCTATGATGTTTGCAAGATGACGGAACTGTCTAACGACACATTTCTCAGACGTCTTCCTGTCACTAAGCGACACGGGCCTGTGCTATGTGATAAAAATGAGTCGCTGTCATCACTAAAGTCACGGCATTTCTCCTCCTCCTCAGCCATGGCACACAGTGCGCTTCTTATGCACAAAGTCAGGCTTCTTAAGCTACTGGAAGAAACACCAAAAGAAGCTCAGAATGTACTCACCTGGTATCTTCCAGTGTCACTTGACCTGATTTTTCATCCACTACAATCTTACAGTGATCTCCAGAGACCAGTTTATTGCTGGGGAATGAAAGGTCGCAACCTAAAAATGAGAGGGTGGGACAGAATGGAATACGATCATGGGAACTGTGACCATTACTGCCCTTTGCTTTACTGAAGTATGTGGTTCAAACTCAGGATTCCCATTGCACATACGTAAAAACACACTTAAGCAAGCAACGTATGAAGAAGTTTTAAAAGTATTTAAGTGCTAACCCAAAGTAAAGGGGCAAGGACTATGTCCTGAACCTTTCTGAATCCCCATCCTCAGGACACCCCATCAACACCTCCAGCTACACACAGACTCTTAAATAGCAATTTTACAATATGCACACATACACAGCTAACCTGGTAAGTATTATTGGAACTTTAAAAAAACTCAGGGGCTTAAGTAATTCTTCAGTATCTTAATTTAGTCCTGAATTTCTTTCCTGTATAAACTTAGGTTTTATAAATCACCATAAAAACTGAAGCAACAACAGTCACAGAAAAAGTGACTGAGCCAATTGTTTATAGGCATACGTACAAATGTAAGAAAATGCATCTTATATACAGGGATGCAACTGTACCTGAGTACAATAATTCTATCTTCATTAAATGCATGAGGGAAAATCCTCAATACCTGCTCTCTCCTTAAAAGAACAAAGGCTTTTTAATATCTCATAATTAACCTTTACTGTTTCATATAATCTGTAAGGATATATAAAGATAGTGTAAGACACCAAAGGCGATTAAAAAGCAAAGGATCTGTGCAGGAGACAGTGACCATGCAAATGTTCTTTTCCTAAATGTTCCCCACAGAATGACAACCTGAATCCGCTACAGCCTGAGCCTTGCTCCCATCACTGACCTATGGGTGTGTGAATCACAAGACAATATTGTTAAGATGCCAGCTCTCCCCCAGATTGTTTCATAGATTCAACGCAATTTCAATCAAAATCCCCAAGGGCTTGTAGAAACTGACAAGCAGATTCTAAAGTTCATGGAAAAAATTGCAGGACAACCGAAGCAATTTTGAAAAAGAATGAAGTTGGAAGACTCACATTACTTAACTGACTTACCATCACACTATAGTAATCAGTACAGTATTGCAGCCGCGTGTAAGGATGGGCAGACAAACAAATGTAACATCTAAAACTATGAAACTTCCAGTGGAAAAGAGGAGGCGAAAATCTTAGTTCCACTGGGTCTGCGCATGGACTTCACAGATAGGACACAAAAAGCACAAACCAGAAAGAAAAAATGATAAACTGAGGTTCATCAAAAATAAAATCTGGGCCAGGCCGCAGTGGCTCACACCTGTAATCCCAGCACTTTGGGAAGCCAAGGCGGGCGGATCATGAGGTCAGGAGTTCAAGAGCATCCTGACCAACATGGTGAAACCCCGTCTCTACTAAAAATACAAAAATTAGCTGGGCTTGGTGGCACACACCTATAATCCCAGCTACTCAGGAGGCTGAGGCAGGAGAACTGCTTGAACCTGGGAGGCAGAGGTTGCAGAGAGTGGAGATAATACCACTGCACTCAGGCCTGGGCAACATGAGCAAGACTCCATCTCAAAAAAAAAAAAAAAAAAAAGGAATAAATAGCTCTTTGGGAAGACAAGGTTTTTACATCACTTCCTACACGTTAACTAGGCTTTCCCTTTTCCCCCAAATAATGTCTTGCATGTGGCAGGCACATCGTTGCTTTAAAATAATCAAGTTCTGGCTGGCCACAGTGGCTCATGCCTATAATCCCAGCACTTTGGGAGACCAAGGCAGGTGGAACATTTAAGGTCAGGAATTCAAGACCAGCCTGGCCAACATGATGAAACCCTGTCTCTACTAAAAAAATACAAAAATTAGCTGCCTGTCATCCCATCGACTCAGGACGCTGAGGCAGGAGAATTGCTCGAACTCAGGAGGTGGAAAATGCAGTGAGCCAATATCGCATGCGCCACTGCACTCCAGCCTGGGCGACAGAGAGAGACTCTGTCTCAAAAAAAACAAAAAAAATTAGCCTGGTATGGTAGCACACACCTGTAATCTCAGCTAGTCTGGAGGCTGAGGCAGGAGAATCACTTTAACCTGGGAGATGGAGATTGCAGTGAGGGAAGACCATGCCACTGTGCTACAGCCTGGGTGACACCGCAAGATTCCGTCACAAAAAAATACATAAATAGGCCTGGCACAGTGGCTCACGCCTATAATTCCAGCACCTTGGGAGGCCAAAGTGGGTAGATCACGAGGCCAGGAGTTCAAGACCAGTCTGGCCAATATAGTGAAACCCTGTTGCTACAAAAATATGAAAATCAGCCAGGCGTGGTGGCACAAGCCTGTAATCCCAGCTACTCGGGAGGCTGAGGTGAGAGAATTGCTTAAACCCCGAAGACGGAGGTTGCAATGTGCCGAGCTCACGCCACTGTACTCCAGCCTAGGTGACAGAGCAAGACTCTGTCTTAATATAAATAAATAAAATAATTAAGTTCTACAATAGTTAGGAACTGAGTGTCTGTATCCCCCTAAAATTCATATATTTAAGTCCTAATCTGTAGGAATGAAGATCCCATTAAGTGCCAGGCAGGAGCCAAAAGCCTCAGCCTATTTCCATATCAATAAGGAAGTAGTAGAAATATAACCGTAGCAGTTATTAGCTATTCATAGGTAATCCTAGTTAATCACAGGTGATCTTAATTCTTTTACTAATGCCTCTCAGGCCGGAAGTGTGAGCCTGGAGCGACACTGTGAAAAGAATGACCCTAAGGCAAGCTGCTTTAAGCCTTCAGTCAGGACTGCTGGAGGGCGCCTTGGCTGAGCCACAGCACCAGCGCTGGGAAAGCGCTTACTGTTTAGCCAGCTAGAGAAGGAGGGGTCTCCTTCCTTGGAGGAGTCAGGAGAAAGCTTCGCTTCTCCAAGCTCTTGTGGTAGGCCTGCCGCTGTCAGACAGTAGACCCACAGACATGTGGGGCCTTAATTATTTCTGTGTGATGCTGTGCTTCAGTGGCCACGTTCCATGTCAATCTCATGTTCTGCTTCTGCACCTGTTTTCTTTTTTCTTAGAAGAGATCATCAGTAAAAGTAACATAAATCTTAACGTCTGGTTCTTTCTTAACAAGTACAGAAAACTGCTGATGCACTAGGCTCCTCACCTCATCTCGGCTGCTGAAAATTCCTGAGCCCCTACCTGTATGACAAGTGATGTACTTGACCCTATCACTGCCATGCCCTGCCCCCAGGCACTGACCAACAAGGCCACGCCCTACTGACACCCTACCTTCCCTGCCCTCAGCTGTGTACTCAATCCAAGTCAGAATGCGCTGACACTCCAAGATTTGGTTGGCAGTGGATCCCCGGGCCCAAACTCTCTTTTCTCTATCTCTGTGCCTTGTGTCTTTTATTTCTACAATTTCTCGGTCTCCACGCCGGCAGAGACGGGCTCACAGAACCCAGTAGGGCTGGACCCAATGTGACTGTATTTGGAAATGGGGCCTGTGAGCTGATAAAGGTTAAATGAGGTTACTTGATGTGAATCTGCCCTCTTAAGAGGAGACATAGAGGCAGAGTCCTCCCTCTCCACCATTGGCAACAGAGCAAGAAAGTGCCATCTGCAAGCCAAGAAGAGAGCCCTCCTGCCAGGACCTTCATATTGGACGTCCCAGCCTCTGGAACCATGAAAATAAATTTATGGCCAGGCACAGTGGCTCACACCCGTAATCATACCACTTTGGGAGGCTGAGGCAGGCGGACTGCCGGAGCTCAGGAGTTCGAGACCAGCCTGGGCAACATGGTGAAACCCTGTCTCTACTAAAAGAGAAAAAATTAGCTGGGCATAGTGGTGCGTGCCTGTAGTTCCAATTACTCAGGAGGCTGAGGTAGGAGAATCACTTGAACCCGGGAGGCGGAGGTTGCAGTGAGCAGAGATCACACCACTGCAGTCCAGCCTGGGTGTCAGAACAAGACTGACTCAAAAAATAAATAAATAAAATAAATTCTTGGTGCTTAAGCCACCCAGAACGTAGTATCTTGTTATGGCAGTATGAACAGACTAGTACAATAATCTTTAAGTCTATGCTGGCAACATTATTTATAAATTCACTAAGATCATTCCTATTAAGGAAAAGACAGGCCGGGTGCGGTGGCTCATGCCTGTAATCCCAGTACTTTAGGAGGCTGAGGCGAGTGGATCATGACATCAGGAGTTCAAGACCAGCCTGGCCAAGATGCTGAAACCTTGTCTCTACTGAAAAAAAAAAAATTAGACGGGCACCGTAGCAGGTGCCTATTATCCCAGCTACACGGGAGGCAGGGAGGCTGAGGCAGGGAATCGCTTGGGCTCGGAGGGAGGAGCTGCAGTGAGCGGAGTTCACACCACTGCACTCCAGCCTGGGACACAGAACAAGACTCCATCTCAAAAAAAAAAAAAAAAAAAAGGAGGCCGGGCACGGTGGCTCAAGCCTGTAATCCCAGCACTTTGGGAGGCCGAAGCGGGTGGATCACGAGGTCAAGAGATCGAGACCATTCTGGTCAACATGGTGAAACCTCGTCTCCACTAAAAATACAAAAAATTAGCTGGGCATGGTGGTGCGTGCCTGTAATCCCAGCTACTCGGGAGGCTTAGGCAGGAGAATTGCCTGAACCCAGGAGGCGGAGATCGCACCATTGCACTCCAGCCTGGGTAACAACAGTGAAATTCCATCTCAAAAAAAAAAAAAAAAAAAGGAAAAAAGGGAAAAGATAAACTTGATGACTTATTTTTGCTCCTTGTCTTAACATGCATATCCTAACATGTAATAACATGTATATTTCAATAACAATAGTCAACATTAAGTGCTAACCCTAAAGTTCCCTCTAAGCAGTTCGTGTACGATCTCATTAATTTCTCAGACTAACTCTATGAAATAGGTACAAAGGCACAGAAAGATATGCTGTTAGCTCAGAGTTATGTGGTGACAGGTTCGTTAACACGTAATTTATCTCTAGAGTCTGCTCTTCACCAAACCTAGTCTATCAAGTAAGGACAAAGGGAAAAATCCTCAAATACTTCCTCTTATCTTAAAGGAATAACTTTGATATGCTGTAATGATATCAAAATACTTTCAAAGTTGTAAAATAAACTTTAACTTGATACTGGAATTTAAGACTGCCAAATCTCGGAACACAGTGGTTCACGCCTGTAATCCCAGCACTTTGGGAGGCCGAAACAGATGAATCACTTGAGCTCAGTTGTTCAAGACCAGCCTGGGCAACATGGCAAAACCTCGTCTCTACTGAAAATACAAAAATTATCCAGGCATGGTGGCGCACACCTGTAGTCCCAGCTACTCCACAGGCTGAGGCAGGAAAATCATTTGAACTGGGAGGCAGAGGTTGCAGTGAGCTGAGACTACACCACTGCACCCCAACCTGGGTGACAGAGCAAGACTCTGTCTCGAAAAACAAACAAAACAAAACACAAAAAACATTTCATGCTGTGGGCAAAGAAAAAAAAAAACAAACAAACAGATGCAAGCATATTGTAAGGGGCTAAATTAACCAAAAAAAAATTGCTTCTAAAGAGCAAATATTTCCCATCCTCACTCCTTTTTAAAGTATAATGTCAGGCTGGGAGCGGTGCCTCACACCTGTAATTCCAGCACTTTGATAGGCCAAGGCAGGTGGATCACCTGAGGTCGTGAGTTTGAGACCAGCCCGACCAACATGGAGAAACCCCGTTTCTACTAAAAATACAAAATTAGGCCAGGCGCGGTGGCTCATGCCTATAATCCCAGCACTTTGGGAGGCCGAGGCAGGTGGATCACGAGGTCAAGAGTTCGAGACCATCCTGGTCAACAAGGTGAAACCCCATCTCTACTAAAAATACAAAAATTAGCTGGGCATGGTGGTCCCAGCTACTTGGGAGGCTGAGGCAGAACTGCTTGAACCCAGGAGGCGGAAGTTGCGGTGAGCCAAGATCGTGCCATTGCACTTCAGTCTGGGTAAAAACAGCGAAACTGCGTCTCAAAAAAAAAAAAAGAACACAAAATTAGTCAGACGTGGTGGTCCATGCCTTTAATCCCAGGTACTTGGAAGGCTGAGGCGGGCATCACTTGAACCCAGAGCGGGAGGTTGCAGTGAGCCGAGATCGCGCCACTGCACTCCAGCCTGGGAAACAAAAGTGAAACTCCATCTCAAAAAAAAAAAAAAAAAAGAGGTATAATGTCAGAATGCTAATTTATTAATTTTCAAAGTAAACGTTTCTGTTGACATGACCACTGCATTTCTCTTCCCGTACAAAGGCTACAGGGGAAATCACACTACCAGATGATCACTTAGGAGCATGGAGGCAGTCAATGTGGAGGGTGAGGGAACTTCCTCTGACTTTGTTCAAGTTCTTACCTTTCAGGTTCATTAGTAAATAAATATTCTAGGGGCTGCAACTTGAGATCGTTTTTAATGTAGGCACTACAGCTATAAATTTCCCTCTGAGTACTGCATTGGCTGCATCCTAAATACCTTTTGGTGTATTCTATTTTTGTTTCATTTGTCTCGAGATATTTTTAAAGGTTCCCTATGAGGACTTCTTTGACCCATCGGTTGCTTTAAGGGCGTGGTGTTTCATGTCCATTTATCTGTGAATTTTCCACTTTTCCTTCAGTTACTGATTCCTAATTTCGTTCCACTGTAGTCTGAAAATATACTTTGTATAGCAACGAACTTGACAGTATTGCATTCTGGAGGATACATCACAATATAACTAGTTTATAAAGTTGTAATGAGAGCTAAACGATCCGCATGACTCATGCACGCAGACACCCAAATAAACAGCAGTGCGGAATATCCGGCGAGCACACTGCCCCGGCGCCCCAGAGGCCTGCCGCCAACGGGTGGCTCAGTCCGAGACCGGCCCGCCCCCCCCCCCCGCCCCGGGCCCCGCACCTCGTCTCCGCCCGATGGTCCACTCCGGCTTCCTCAGGAGGACGTGTGGCTCGCCGTCCTCGGCGCCCAGGCGCAGGAGCCGCCCCCAGGGCTGCGACGGCGGCGGCTGCTTGCCTTCCTCGGGCCGCTCCATCGGGATTCACATCTGCGGAGACCCCGGAAACGCCCGTAGAGACTCCGGACCCCAGAGGCCGAGACTCGGCGCCCGCCCCACCCCGCGGGCCCCGGCCAGGCCGCCCGCGCCCAGGCGCCCACGCGGCCCCGCGGCCCGGCCCGGACGCCGGCGGCGCCCCCCTCCCAAGGGCGCAGCCGCGTCCCCCGTCGCCGCCCAACGCAGCGCCCTCGCCAGCCGCGCTTACCCCCTCCCCGCGCCGAACCCGGAACCGGCTGCGCTGCCGCCGCTGTCAACAGACATTGCGGCTCCCTCAGCTGATCCGCGGGGCGGGGCCAGTGGCGTCTGCGCCCCGCGATTGGCTGGCGGCGGCGCTCACCGAGAGCGGCGGCTAGAGCGGAGCCGGGAGTGGCCGGGGAGGGCAGGCGCGTGGGGGTGGGGGAGGGGGCGCGGCCATCTTTGATCCTGGCGGGCGGACTTCGTCGCCTGCTGATCGCGGAAGTGGCTGCGGTCGGCGCCATGCTATGTTTGGGCAGAAGGGACGGCGAACTTCCGTATTGGAAGCCCAGGGGCTTCTGAAAGCCCCGCCGACCTACAGATGACTTCGAGAAGTAGGAGAGGGTCCGCCTTAGTTGTCACGTGAAGACCCTTTCGGGTGCCATTTCTCTTCGGATCACACGGATCCGAGGTCTGATGGACAGGGCGCGCTCCGCGAGTGGGAGCCGCTGCGCTGCGGGCCGGGCGGACTGGGGCCACGTCTGGGCGGGTGTTTTCCGGGGTCTTCCCATTCTGAACGCGCCCACCCTTTGCATCAGTACCCACTTCTTGGAGTCCCGCGGCGTTCGCGTGTGTGCTCCAGAGAAGGGCGCCAGAGGGTATTCCCTGAAAGTGAACGATCTGGGAAAGCGGAGGCAAGACGGCAAAGCGCGTTCCGCGCAGGGGAGGAACGAGCCCAGGTGTGCACTGAGGAGGAGCCCACAAGTGCCCAGGAGTTCGAAATTAGCCTGAGACCTCATCGCTACCAAAAAAAAAAAAAAAAAAAAAAAAAGTAGGCATCATTTGTGTAGAACAAACCATACAGACACACATATATACATAAACATTTTTTATATAGGTATAGGCATAGTTATCTATACCTTGTAAACCAAAAATAAAATTCCTGAAGAAGCGGTTCAGTCCCTGGTGGAAACCAGGCTTTGGACATGTCCCATTATACTCACCACCCTTTGGAATTCAGGTATAACTGCCCAGCATCAACATTAAAACAGATACCTTAAGACTGACCAAACAGACTGTAGCATTGAGATACATCACATGATAGCAAGTCCTGGAAACAAAAGTATGTCACCCTGAAATGTAGACCTGCAAAACTGTCTCCTGGGGAAAATCTATTTTGTAGAGAATCTCCTTCCATGTCTTTTCCCAATCCAGGAGAAAATGTAAGAGTCTGGCACCTTTTTAACTCTGGTAAGAAACGTTTGCAATATATTCTCTCAGAAGCCTACCTGGAACCGCATCTTTCTAGGAACCTTGGCCTGCGTGGTGGCTCATTCCTGTAATCCCAGCACTTTGGGAGGCCGCCAGGAAGTCCAGGCTGCAATAAACCACAGATTGTGCCACTACAATCCAGCCTGGGCAACAGAGACCCTGTCAAATTAAAATTAAATTAATTTAAATAGAACCTTGGTCTCCCTTATCTTAACCCAGACATTTTATTAACTCCAGGTCTTTTTTTTTTTTTTTTTTTTGACGGAGTTTCACTCTTGTTACCCAGGCTGGAGTGCAATGGCATGATCTCAGTTCACCGCAACCTCTGCCTCCTGGGTTCAGGCAATTCTCCTGCCTCAGCCTACTGAGTAGCTGGGATTACAGGCACGTACCACTCATGCCCAGCTAATTTTTTGTATTTTTAATAGAGGCAGAGTTTCACCATGTTGACCAGGATGGTCTCGATCTCTTGACCTCGTGATCCACCCGCCTTGGCCTCCCAAAGTGCTGGGATTACAGGCGTGAGCCACCGATCCCTGCCCATCTCCAGGTCTTTAGATAATAACTTACCTCTTTCAACCAAGTTCCAATCAGAAAATCTTTGAATCCATCAAGTTCACAAACGTTCTGGAGGAAGGAAGAAAAAGAAAAAAAGATTAAAAAAAGAAAAGAAAAGAAAATCTTTGAATCCATCAATGATCTATGTATAAAACCAAACTGTAGTCTCACCATCTCGGGCACAGGATCTTAGGAGCTCTTGGGACTGTGCCTTGGGCCATAATCACTCATTTCTGGCTCAGAATAAACCTCCTCAAATATTATAGAATTTGACTTTTTTTTTTTTTTTTTTTTTTTTTTATATGAAGTCTTGCTCTGTCACCAGGCTGGAGTGCAATGGCACGATCTCAGCTCACTGCAACCCCTGCCTCCTGGGCTCAAGTGATTCTCCTGCCTCAGCCTCCAGAGTAGCTGGGATTGGCTAACTTTGTATTTTTAATAGAGACAGGGTTTCTCCATGTTGGTAAGGCTGGTCTCGAACACTCAATCTCAGGTGATTCGCCTGTCTCAGCCTCTCAACGTCCTGGGATTTCAGGCATGAGCCACCACGCCCAGCTGAGTTTGACTCTTTTAATTGATAACGTGTACATACAAATATGTTTATGAAAATATCTCTAGAAGGATACACAAGGAAATGCAGTGGCTTCCTCTGGAACATGGACTTGAAGTCAAGGGGATAGGAAGACTTACTTTCACTATGTATTTGTCTCAGTCTGAGTTATAGCAGAAAAACAGAACCAGTAGGATGATGGATAGCAGTGCATGACCCCTGAATTTCATGAGCATGGGCCCATGGTGTATTTCATTTACTGTGAAGTGAGTGCCTTGATCAGTAGCTATGCCGTTGCTACAGGAAAAAGTAGTCCCCGTCCAGACTCTAAGAAAGAGTTCTTAGATCTTACACAGGAAAAATTTGAGGCGAGTCACTGAGCACAGTGAAGGAAGCAAGTTTATCATAATTTACTCTGTTCCAGAGTGGCATCCTCAGAAAGCAGGAGGAGGAACATTGTACAAGAAATGATAAGGCGCTACCATTAAACCCGGGATGTGCAGATATGCTGACTAAAGGTGGGGCTGTTGGTGCTGTCAGTGACCATTAGTCCTTCAACCTCAGCCTGCTCATCAAGGTTCTAAGTAAAGTGGGCTCCACTCTTAGGACACCCGGACATTCTGCAGGCTTGGTGGGAGATGTCCTGTATGACCATAAATATTCTGCAGTTATAATTGGTGGGCAGCTTAGAATGTGGCTACTTTCAGACCATAACAATTAACTTTACAGATGCCTTGTAAGAAAGAACCCTTTCTTGGAGTCTGGACTGGGACTTCTTTTTCCTGAAGCAACGGCATTGCTTATGATCGTGGAACCCACTTCACAGTGAATTAAGTACACCACGGGCCGGTGCTCATGGAATTCATGGGTCCTGCAGTGTTCTCCATCATCCTACTGGTTCTGCTAGCTACTCATCTTCAGACAGACTCACTCTGGTCATGTTTTATTAAACCAGAGGCCTGGTAAACAGGTTTCTCTAAGACTGCAACCATGGATAAGACATTCTGTGCTGGGTGCAGTGGCTCACGCCTGTAATCTCAGCACTTTGGGAGGCCGAGGCAGATGGATCACGAGGTCAGGAGATCGAGACCAGGCTGACCAACAAGGTGAAACCCTGTCACTACTAAAAATACAAAAATGAGCCAGATGTAGCGGTGCACGCCTATAGCCCCAGCTACTCGGGAGGCTGAGGCATGAGAATTGCTTGAACCCAGGAGGCAGAGGTTACAGTGAGCCGAGATTGCGCCACTGCACTCCAGCCTGCCGCCTGGCAACAGAACAAGACCCTGTCTCAAAATAATAATAATAAATAAAAAACTTTTTTGTTTTTAGACGGAGTCTCGCTCTGTCACCCAGGCTGTAGTGCAGTGTCCTGATCTCAGCACTGCAACCTCCGATTCCTGGGTTTAAGCAATTCTCCCGCCTCAGCCTTCTGAGTAGCTGGTGAGACTACAGACACCCGCCACCACGCCCGGCTAATTTTTGTATTTTTAGTAGAGACGGGGTTTCACCATGTTGGCCAGGATGGTCTCGATCTCTTGTGATACACCAGCCTCAGCCTTCCAAAGTGCTGGGATTACAGGCGTGAGCCACCGCGACAGGCCAAAAAAATTTTTAAAAGTTAAATAACTCTAGAGACCACCCTCCTCCCGGCAGAGTTCCTCTGGGAAGCTTTTTCCTCACCGACGGCGCAGCCCCAGGTCATCCCCAAGCCGCACCCCTGGCGGTTCCTGGGGAAGCCAAGCTCCCGCACCCTGAGGCAAAGCCGCGGACGGAATGTGCACACGAGCCACGAAGCCTCAAAGGAACGCTCGGGTGCCCCCTGCTGGCCTCCAGGGGTAGCGCAGGACGGTCTGCGCTCCCCAGCAGCGGAAGCAGCGCGTTCCCTCCGCTCTTCTATGATTTTGGAAACTGAAAGCGAGGTGAAGGGTGGGGCGCGGTGGCTCATGCCTGTAATCCCAGCACTCTGGGAGGCCAAGGCGAGCGGATCACGAGGTCAGGAGTTCGAGACCAGCCTGTCCAACATGGTGAAACCCCACCTCTACTAAAAAGACAAAAATTAGCTGGGTGTAGTGGTGCATGCCTGTAATTCCAGCTACTCGGGAGCCTGAGGCAAGAGACTCGCTTAAACCTGGGAGATGGAGGTTGTGGTGAGCTGAGATTGCGCCTGGGCAACAAAAGTGAAACTCCGTCTCAAAAAAAAAAAAGAAAATGAGGTGGAGCCTCCTCTCCCTGGCTTGATAGGAGTGGGGAGATAACAAGAAGCAAAAGTACAAGGCCAATATATTAAGTCCACTGAAACTGGAAAACTTTAAAAGCCTGTCATTTGCAATAAAGCAACAAAAAGAAGTCCTTGTATACAAATCTAACAAAATATGAATTATAATACGAACCTGTCTGTATCCAGAAAACTATGAAACACAATTAAAACGTAGTACCAGCTCTCTGGAAGGCCTGGGAGCCAGGAGGGGTCACCTGAGGTCAGGAGTCCAGATGAGCCTGGGCAACTTGGCCAAGCCAAACCCTGTTACTAAAAATACAAAAATTAGCCTGGCATGATGGTGTGCACCTGTGATCTCAGCTACTAGGGAGGCTGAGGTGGAAGGATGGATTGAGCGCTGGAGATGGAGGCTGCAGTGCCATGATCCGGCCAATGCACTCACTCTGACTGGGGAAACAGATGGAGACCCTGTCTCAAGAAAGGGAGAGAGGGAGCGAGGGAGGGAGAGGAGGGAAGGCAACGAAGGGGAAGAGAGAAAAGGAAGAGAAAGAGAAAAAGGAAAACCTAAATAAATGGAGCATACTCCTTTTTCATTATTGCAGTGACAATATTGGTAAGATGTGACTTCTTCCCAGCTATAGAGTTGGTGCTGCTCCAACGAAAATACCCGCAATTTATTTCGTAGATATTGACAAACTGTTTCCGAACCTAGAACTGTAAGCACAACCTGAATAATAATAAACTTGAAGAACTCAATTTCCAAATCCAAACTTTTAAAAGCTACCAAAATCAAAAGCGCATGATCTTTGCAAAATAATGGACATTCTTTCACATGAACAATATCATTTTATCTTATTTTTAATTTTTTTCAAGGTGTTGCTGTCACCCAGGCTGGAGAGCAGTGGCACCATCATAGCTCGCTGCAGCCTCAAACTCCTGGGCTCTAGGGATCCTCCCAGCACAGCCTCCCAAGTAGCTGGGACTATAGGTGCCGCCACACCCGGCTGGAGAAATATCATATAAACGAAGCTTACATAGAATGTATTAATAATATAACCAAAGGCAAGGATCCTTACTTCAAATGTCTTAGGAAGCTGCAGAATTGAGGCCAGCCAAAACAGAGAAACCACATCATACATTTCTAGCTTTAATTTGCTTCCTATTTTCACAGATGGTGATTTTCAGAATGATAATACATGAAGTGGTCCTTATCATAATGAGATTCTACAGAGATGTGTATTGTATCAGCAGTCACCTGGTGTAGCATGCCACTTCCACTTCCATCACAGCTACTGAACACAATGTTATCTACAATCAATTTAAAAAATTTCAGAAGCCAATTTCCCCAATATAACAAACTTCAGTATTCAATGATGTACGGAAAACTTCAGCAATAATAGATTTTCGGGTAGTTCTTATTAGGACAGGATGGTTTTTTTGTTGTTGTTTTTTTATTTTTTTTGAGATGGAGTTTCGCTGTTGTTACCCAGGCTGGAGTGCGATGGCACTGTGATATAGCTGGCCTAGAGTTAGAACCTGTACAATGCCATTTTATAAAGAGACAAAACTGTTTCCATTCTCCTCACAATGACTGCTAACCTTGGCCTCTGTAAACTGCTAATTTACTTTGCAGAATGCAGAGAGGTAAAGCTGCATACCTTCTCTTATCTGTAACTGCCAGAATTGCTGGCCTTTGTTTACCGGTACTGACCAGAGTAAGCACCCTCAGATAACTCCATCCTGGCGCCAAGCAACTAAAAAATCTGTGGACCCCACACCTGCCGAATTAATGTATAAACTAATGTTTATATTAGCTTCTGTGAACCTCTTAAGTGGCAATCAGCATGACAAAAGTCCCCTGGCCCTTGGAATGTCCGGAGCCCCCCTCACCCTTGTCTCAGCCTAGGAGGTGATTGACAGCTTTCATCCCCATCTCCACTCTTCAACCCCACTCCCAAGGTGGTTTTGCGGGTATAAAAACGTCTTGTCACCCTTCTTTCTCTGCCACGGGTTGGAGAGACGTGAGTCCTCCGTGGTCGCCAGCAATAAACCCTGCAATTTGGCATACTTTTGTCTTGGTGTTGACTTCCTGGGCTCGGTCCGATACAACGGCACGATCTCGGCTCACCGCAACCTCTGCCTTCTGAGTTCAGGCAATTCTCCCGCCTCAGCCTCCTGAGTAGCTGGGATTACAGGCGCGCACCATCATGCCCAGCTAATTTTTGTATTTTTAGTAGGGACGGGGTTTCACCTTGTTGACCAGGATGGTCTCGATCTCTTGACCTCGTGATCCACCCGCCTCGGCCTCCCAAAGTGCTGGGATTATAGGCGTGAGCCACCGTGCCCGGCCTAGGACAGGGTGGTTTTAATATTGAGGATAGCCAGGAAGTTTCAGTTGAGCAGGTTCTATTTTGTTTGAGTGGGTCCATTAAAAAGATTGTTATTATTGCTCGGTGTGATGGCTCCTGCCTGTAATCCCAGCACTCTAAGAGGCAGAGGCAGGACTGCTTGAGCCCAGGAGTTTGAGACCAGCCTGGGCAACCTAGGCAGAGCTCATCTCTAATAAAAATACAAAAATCAGCCTGATGCGGTGGCACATGCCTGTAGTCTCAGCTACTTGGGAGGCTAAGGCAGGGGACCACTTGAGCCCAGGAGTTTGAGGTTGCAGTGAACTATGATGGCACCACTGCACTCCAGATGAGGCGACAGAGACCCCCCACAACCCCTCTAATAAATAAAAAAATGAAAAATTTAAAAAGGATTACTTGTTGACTGTCAGGGTGATTTATTCTTCTAATGAATATCACGTTTACTTACAAGTGTACACTTTCTCATTAGTGCTCCAGTTCTAGTTATGAACTGGCAAAAAATGAGATAAAATAATGGAAATAACCAGAAAAACATTGACCTGCTAAAAAAAATAGAATCCGGGCCGGGCCTGGTGGCTCAAGCCTGTAATCCCAGCACTTTGGGAGGCCAAGGAGGGTGGATCACGAGGTCAGGAGATTGAGACCATCCTGGTTAACATGGTGAAACCCCGTCTCTACTAAAAATACAAAAAATTAGCTGGGCATGGTGGCGCGTGCCTGTAATCCCAGCTACTCGGGAGGCTGAGGCAGGAGAATTGCCTGAACCCAGGAGGCGGAGGTTGCAGTGAGCCGAGATTGCGCCATTGCACTCCAGCCTGGGTAACAAGAGCGAAACTCCATCTCAAAAAAAAAAAAAAAAAATAGAATCCGTAAAACCACTCAGAAAATATTTGCTATAGCAGATTACACTCTCTGTTAAAGTGTCCCATGTAGAGAAATTTCTATGACTATCTAGCAGTTAAATAAAACAAAAAACTGAGTGGGCAGGGACAGGGAATTCAGATTAATCAAAAGCAACATGGGATTCAGGACACTATGGTGAGACACAATCTTTAAAGCACAGACTAATAGCTTTGCATGCAGAAGCTTGATCTCCAGTCTCTCCTTCCAGAGAAAAGCCAGTGCGGGGGGCGCACCGTGTAGCTTCCTGCCCCCACTCCACCGCCCCTCCTGGCTGCTGCCCGCCGTCCCTGAGAAAAGCTCAGACTTCTCTCTCTCTCTCTTTTTGATATGGGAGTCTCGCGCTATCTCGAAGGCTGGAATGCTCACTACAACCTCTGCCTCCTGGGTTCAAGCAATTCTCCTGCCTCAGTCTCCCGAGTAGCTGATATTACAGTCATGCACCACCACGCATTGTATTTTTAGTAGAGATGGGGTTTCACCACCAGGCAGTGCGGCTCACGCTTGTAATCCCAGCTCTTAGGGAGGTAGAGGAGTGATAGCTTGAGCCCCGGAGTTCGAGACCTGCCTAGGCAATATAGTGAGACTCCGTTCTCAAAATAAAATAAAATAATAAAGAGAGAGAGAGAGAGATGGGGTTTCGCCATGTTGGCCAGGCTGGTCTTGAACTCCTGACCTCAGGTGATCCGTCTGTCTCGGCCTCCCAAAGTCCTGTGATGACAGGTGTAAGCCACCGCGCCCGGCCTCAGACGCTTCTCTCTAGGTGGAGCTGCGGGATGAACCAGCCCCTGTAGAAATTTAGAAATCACGTCGTCAATTTCTGTATGAAAAATACACAGATCGGTGACAAGTCTTCTAGGAAGGAAAGTCGGCTAAACTCGCCGCCACGAGTAGACGAACACATTCGGTTTGTCGCTCGGAGGAAAACAACGCCAAGGACACAAATGACCCAAGCGCTGGGTGAAGCAGCGACCCAGGAGGGGACGGGGACTGGAACCGGAACCGAGACGCCGGCTGGGAAGAATCCCGCGGGAACAGGGACAGGAGAGGACTCGGGCGTCAATACGGAGACGAGCAGGGAAGCCCGGGCCGGGGGGCGCATGCCCCAACGGTGCACTGCGCAGTGGCCACGCCCGCAGTCTCGCCAGCGCGGGCGCCTCTTGCGCGGACGCGCTCCCCGCAAGTGGAGACCCCTTCTCCACAGCGAATGCCGAAGACTCGGCTCCGCAGCCCGCCTGGCCGCACCTGGGCGCAGACCCCGGCGAGTCCCAGCCGGGCCGGGCCGGGCGGGGCGGGGCCGGGCGGGGCGGGGCGGGGCGGAGAGGCGCGGCCAATGGCAATGGAAGCCGCGCGTTACTAGGCAACATGCTGTCTCCCGGCAACCTAGAGGCGGGGAATTCGCCAACTGTCTAAAACAGACAAGGATTTTAACCAACGGCTGTGTGGGCCTTGGGCGTCCCGGCCAAGGGGAATAGCGCGGGGGGGCCTGTCACTAAGATAGGGTCCCTAAGCAGGGCGTAGGAGGGTGGAATCCACAGGCGCCGACCGAGCCGCGGTGACGGGCGGGAGTGCACGACCTGTGAGCCAGACTGAAGAGTGGCGTTTCCTCCCTAAGCTTTCGGCGTTCTCCAGCCTCGCCACGCCCCTGCCGCGGGCCGCCCACTCTCGGACGCTCCTCCCGGCGGGAAGCTGAGCGCTCGGGAGCGAGCCCGCCGGAGGCCGCGGGGAGGAGGCGCCGGGCCTGGACACGCCCGTCGGGAAGCTCGGGCGCCAGCACCAATTCTGCGTTTCTTTCTGCTTTATTTTTACTCTTTCCTTGGCTTAAAAGTCAAACGCCGACCCGAGGCGTCAGATGGGCGGCCGTTGGGCGCAGCGGCGGCCCGGGGTGTGCGTGGTGGGACTGTGGGCTTGGAACGTGCGGACGGGAGCGTCGGAGCTGGGAGCCCCGTCAGGCCGGGGCTGGGCCCGCGCGGTGCTGCGGTCTCCGCTGCGGGTCACGGGGACCTGCAGGCCTCGTCCTTGGGGTGTGTCAGTGACGTGGGGTCTGCCGGTGACGTGGCCTCCTGGGCAGTGAGGTCTCTCGTGGGAGGCCACTCCCACTGATCCCCTCTCCCAGCTGCTTCCCTGAGAAAAGCCATCTTTGACGTGAGACAACTTGATGAAAACAACCCCAAGCGATTTTATATCCAGCCAAAATATTCATGTTCCAGTTTTTTTTATTGGAATATACATTTCACTTATAGGTACAGTTCACATATATGTGACTTTTGAAAGTACACTTAGCTTCAAACACGTGGTACAGCTGTGCAAATATGTTTTCCCTATTTATATACCTATTCTACAAGCTTTTTTCTATTAAAAAAAAAAAACAAAAAACTGGGGGCCGGGCGCAGTGTCTTCACGCCTGTAATCCCAGCACTTTGGGAGGCCGAGGTGAGTGGATTGCCTGAGGTCAGGAGTTCAATACCAACCTGGTCAACATGGGGAAATCCCATCTCTACTGAAAATGCAAAAATTAGCCTGTCGTGGGGGCAGGCGCCTGTAATCTCAGCTACTCGGGAAGCTGAGGCAGGAGAATAGCGTGAACCTAGGAAGCAGAGGTTGCTGTAAGCCGAGATCGCTCCACTGCACTCTAGCCTGGGTGACAAGAGCGATACTTCGTCTCAAAAAAAAAAAAAAAAAACTGGGAGGCCACGTGCGTGGCTTACGTCTGTATCCCAAAACTTTGGGAAGCGGAGGCAGGAGGATCGCTTTAGCTCTGGATTTGGAGACCAGACTGTGTAACACAGAGAGACCCTGTCTCTACAAAAAATTAAAAATTAGCTGAGTGCGTAGTCCTAGGTACTTGGGGGCTGAGGTGGGAGGATATTAGTTTACTTCTTAAACAGTTTTGTTAAAAAGTAAGACACACACACTAGCCTATTGGCCTAGACTTACACAGATAATCAGGATCACTCATCTCTGCATCCGTTCTGTTACACTTTTATGGCTCAACCATCATTTATTCAGCTAATCGTTGATACGTTATTCTGTAGTTCATGACTATTTTGTTTACTTATAATTTGTTCATATATATATCTACATATACATGTCTGCATATTTCATCCAGTGTATGTGTGAGAGAGATCTCACACTGGATGTAATGTTTAGATGAATGAAAAGAAAAGCTATGAAACCAAAAATAACCCCCCAAACAGGATAAAATGTAAAACTGAAACAAAAACTATGAAACAAAAAATAGCCCCCCAAATAGAATAAAATGTAATGACTATGGTTATTACTTTTTTTTTTTTTTTTTTGAGATAGGGTCTCACTCTGTCACCCAAGCAGCAGTGCAGTGGCACAGTTTCAGCTCACTGTAACTTCCACCTCCCAGACTCAAATAATCCTCCCACGTCAGCCTCCCGAGTAGCTGAGACTACAGGCACATGCCACCATGCCAAGCTAATTTTTTTTTAAGATGGAGTCTCCCACTGTCACCCAGGCTGTAGTGCAGTGGTGCGATCTCGGCTCACTGCAATCTCTGCCTGCTGGGTTCAAGCAATTCTCCTGCCTTAGGCTCCCGAGTAGCTGGGACTACAGGTGTGTGCCCCCATGCCCAGCTAATTTTTTGTATTTTTTAGTAGAGACAGGGTTTCACCATGTTGGCCAGGATGGTCTCGATCTCCTGACCTTGTGATCTGCCCACCTTAGCCTCCCAAAGCGCTGGGATTAACCTGGCCTTTTTTTTTTTTTGTAGAGATGGGGGTGTCACCATGCTGGCCAAGCTGGTTTCCAACTACTGAGCTCAAGCATCTGCCCACTTTGGCCTTCCAAAGTGCTGAAATTACAGGCATGAGCCCCGCAGGCCATTACTCCCATTTTATATCAGCATTTTATTTAAGTTTCTCATTTGTTTTTATTATACTAATTAAGATTAATCTTTTTTTTTTTTTTTTTTTGAGACAGAGTCTTGCACTGCCACCGTGGCTGGAGTGCAATGGCGCCATCTCGGCTCACCGCAACCTCCGCCTCCTGGGTTCAGGCAATTCTCCTGCCTCAGTCTCCTGAGTAGCTGGGATTACAGGCACGTGCCACCATGCCCAGCTAATTTTTTGTATTTTTAGTAGAGACGGGGTTTCACCATGTTGACCAGGATAGTCACCGCAACCTCCGCCTCCTGGGTTCAGGCAATTCTCCTGCCTCAGCCTCCTGAGTAGCTGGGATTACAGGCACGCGCCACCATGCCCAGGTAATTTTTTTTTTTGTTTGTATTTTTAGTAGAGACGGGGTTTCACCATGTTGACCAGGATGGTCTCGATCTCTTGATCTCGTGATCCACCCGCCTCAGCCTCCCAAAGTGCTGGGATTACAGGCGTGAGCCACCATACCCCGCCCCTAATTTTTGTCTTTTGAGCAGAGATGGGGTTTCACCATCTTGGCTAGGCTGGTCTCAGACTCCTGAGCTCATGATCCACTGGTCTCAGCCTCCCAAAGGGCTGGGATTACAGATGTGAGCCACCACGCCCAGCCAAACAGTCTCCTTCTTAAATAGGAAGACACGGTTCTGTGTACAGGAATCACCCTCAGGTTTGGAATGTGAAGGGTCCAGGCCCCAGCTTCCTTGGAAACTGCAAAGTTAAGAGGAACGCTGGATGCTATGTCCAGAAAGCCCTTCTTTGAACCTCCACCCCTGGGTGGGACATGAGGGCTGCTTCTCTGGGTCGAAGGACTAAGGCAAGAGTGGGATGTTTTATTTGTACTGATATAATTTCAACAGCAATGTTTCTAATAGTCTATTATTTTGGATATAAAGTTTTCTCAGTGAATGAGAAAGGGTGAGGAGGGGACCCAGCCCCCCACCCATGATGCATATTTTTCCACACCAGCAGATTAGCAGACCTTCACTCAAGGCAGTCCACCCTGTTTCCTACATGGCCACAAGACCAGGGGAACGACGGCCTTTGCCAGTGCGTCATTATCAACTAAGACCTCTGCGAGGGAGGGGCCTGCTGCCCTTCCCTGATGACGTGTCAGCATGACCCCCCACTACCCTGTGCCTGTGGCGCTGCCCATCATGAACTGCACGTGGTTTCTTCCAGGCACTGCTCTTGTCGCCCAGGCTGCAGAGCAGTGGGGCAATCTTGGCTCACTGCAACCTCCGCCTCCCACGTTCAAGCGATTCTCCTGCCTCAGCCTCCCGAGTAGCTGGGACTACAGGCGCCCACCACCACGCCTGGCTAATTTTTGCATTTTTAATAGAGTCAGGGTTTCAACATGTTGGTCATGATGGTCTCGATCTCTTAACCTCGTTATCCACCTGCCTTGGCCTCCCAAAGTGCTGGGATTACAGGTGTGAGCCACCGTGCCCACCCTATGCATTTCTTCTATAAACATATATGTGGAATATTTTAAAGCATACTCGGACTTTTTTTTTTTTAAAGATGGAGTTTCACCATGATGGCCAAGCTGGTCTTGAACTCCTGACCTCAGGTGATCCACCCACCTCGGCCTCCCAAAGTGCTAGGATTACAGACGTGAGCCACAGCGCCTGGCCCGGACATTCTTTCTTTAAGTTGATGAGGTTATGTGAATTGTGATTCTTGATACAATTAGGTTTATTTCTATCATTTTACTTTTTGTTTTCCATTGCCCTTGCATTTTTTATCCCTTACTCCTTATTTTCCATCTTCTTTTGAATTTAATCAAGCTTTCTCAATTCCCTTTTCAATATCTATTCTTTTTGTGTTAATGTTAAGATGCTGCAACGTATACAAGACTTAACAAAGCCTAAAGGTAATCACTTAATGCGCTCTCCATAAACAATAGAGAGATATCCCAACTTTCTTTTTTTTGAGATGGAGTCCTGCACTTTCACCAGGCTAGAATGCAGTGGCACAATCTTGGTTTCACCATATTGGCCAGGATGGTCTCGATGTCTTGACTTCCTGATCCACCTGCTTTGGACTTCCAAAGTGCTGGGATTACAGGCGTGAGCCACTGGGCCCGGCCGGCCTACTGTAGAGTTTTAAAGATGAATTACATTGATGTATTTTGAAACTTACCCTTGTATACCTGGAACAAATCCCACTTGGTCATCGTGCATACTTCTTATATATTTTGAATTTTGTTTTTAAATATTTTGTTGAGGATTTTCATATGTAGTGCATGTGTGTGGGTGTGCGCACGTGTGTACACACTCATGCTGTCTTGGTTTGGTATCAGGGTAGTGTAATTTGGGCCTCATAAAATGAATTGAGGCATAGTTCACCTCTTCTACTTTTTTCTGGAATATAATGTAAAACTGGTATAAATTCTTTAAATGACTGGTACAATTATCCACCGAAACCATCTGGGCCTAGAGCTTTCTCTTTGGGTAGATCATGAGTAGTTCAATTTCTTTCTTTTTTTAGTCTTAGAGTAGTTCAATTTCTTTACTGGATATAGGGCTATTCAGATAATCAACTTTATGATGGGTGAGTTTTGGTAGTTTGTGGGGTTTTTTACATTTTTATTTCTTTTCAGACAGAGTCTCACTCTGTCAGCCAGCCTGGAGTGCAGTGCGACCTCGGCTCACTGCAACCTCCGCCTCCTGGGTTCAAGCGATTCTCCTGCCTCAGCCTCCCAAGTAGCTGAAACTACAAGTGTGTGCCGCCATGCCTGGCTAATGTTTTGTAGTCTTAGTAGAGGTGGGGTTTCACTGTCTTAGCCAG